TCAAGAAATATGCCTATATTAAATTAAATAAGTGAAGTCGTATTTTTTCCGATGATTAAAGTGGTTGTAATGACTTGACTTTTTTAGTAGGACACCTTACTTATTGATTGACACCGTTTTTTCAACAAAAAAGAAAATAAGGCAAATTGCAATCACCTGTCACTGTTCATTGTACAAATTATTACTAAAGTTCATATGTTCAAAGGTTCTATACATTCTTGGGCGCACTTAAGAACGCTTTGTTTTAGCTGACAATAAATAATGCCAACAATTTTCTTATTTGCTGTTAATTTCATAGCTCTTTAATTATTAATTTTAGAAAAAATATCGAATAACGTTTTAAACTGCATTAAAAAAATGCATTCTTTTGCATAAATCGGTAACGCGATGTTCAATTGTTTTTTAATCAATAATAAAAACGTTCTTTTCGCGCCGTAGGAAAGGTTTTTGCTGCCGACCGCAAACAGGGTAAGTCACCTTTTCTGACGAGTTTTTATTGCTGCCGTTGGTTAATTTTAGGCGATTCCAACTTGCTTTGCTTGCCTAAAATAGTTCCGCTTTTCTCACCACGCAGCGAAGTTTGGAAAGAACAACTTAATTCGACTAAAAATGATTTGGAAATACTGACTTGGGTTAGTATAATAACACATTAATAATCATTATTTTGGAGAAAATTAACACAAATTACATCATGTTTATTAATTGTAGGCTTAGGCACGTCATGATTGTAACAAAAAAACGTTCGTGACAATCATACCAACTTAAACAACGGAATGGTTAGTATATTGCAATTAATGAAGATATGGCAATGTTTACCAATTGAAATAAAATAAATATTTAAAGTTACCTGTTGCCGATTACCAGAAATAAAATACTAAATCAAGCCAATATAAGTGCTTACTGGTGTTAAATCTTTTCTTTTAAAGCAAACAAAACATTTTTTCTGCCAAAAAGCATAATAAAACATTTCTTAGGATTTAAGAATAGTGAAAAAGTGAAAAAGATTGTTTATTTAGATCTCGGCACATGACTTGACAGCCCAGGCGAACGCTTGACCTATAACAGGAAAAGTATACTTGTGTATCGTCTGCATAGTATTGTGCTCGGCAGTTTTCAAGGGCCGTAGCCAGATTTGACGCATATATTGCGTACAACAACAGGCTCAGAATTGATCCCTGCGGAACGCCACTGACGACAGTCACCTCCGCGGAAATTTTATTGTCAATGCAGTCTCTCTACGTACGATCAGCCAAAAAAGATTTAAAAAGTAATACCGCTTGCTCGCTAAGACCAACATAATGAAGAATTGCAAGCAGAATTTAATGTATCGAATCCATGGTTTTTCCTAAAATCCGACTGGGTTTCGCGCAAGATTTTATATTGTTCCACATAAACAGAAAGCTGTGGATTAATTATTTTTTCAGCAATTTTTGACATACATAGTAATACACTAATCTTTTAACTGAAGCGGGTTTTTGACCTTTAGCAGTAGGGTCACAAAGGCTTTCTTTCAAGTCTCCATATACAAATTTTGTAATGCAAGAGTTAACAACATTTGTAATATATGGCAAAATAAAAGGACAACAAATTTGTATTATATAATTACTTAGACCGTCAACACCCTTGGATTCAATAGAAGAAATGATTTTTAGCACATCAATTTCTGAGATCGTTTTAAAATGTAGGCTCTCCGTGTAATGTAAATTTCTGCTGCTTTTATAAAAATCTAGTAATTCTTGCGGACCAACTGCATTAGGTATTGATGTTCTAAAAAATTGTTTATCGAGTTTGGATTCCTTAAATTTTGAAGTATTTCTATTTGTGTTTTCTGAGCACATACATTGCATTTATTTAGATCTTGCCAAATGTTAGAGACCTTTATCCATTCTCAAAAAAAAAACTTTCTTTTCATGACGAATTGTGTTAGTTGTAAAATTTCGTATAGATTTGTAGTATTCCCAGTGAATTTTATCCCAACTTTTTTTATACCTGGAAAGCGCATAATTTCTTAACTTTAATTACTACCTCCCAATTCACTGGTGACCGATCCAAATGCGTCGAGCACCGACAAGTAGCTACGCGAAGAAACCGACCTGAAGATACAAATTTAATTTTGCCAAAACGTCGACTTTAGCCACATTTCGTTAAATTAAATATTATTGTTTACAAGTTGCTCCTTCCTTATAATGCAAATTAATTTTACATTGTTTGAAATAAAAATATTTCATTTTTATTACTTCGAGGAAAAGTTCTCCCAAATAAATAATAATTGTACCTACTATATCCCTTTTTTGCAATAAATAAAGTAAAATTGTATAGTGTAAAACTTATCCTGGCAAATAGAAGTTTCATGCAACAAATACATTTTATTTGAGATACGAATTAAAAAAAAATTAATTACCCTAATTCGATATTTAATTTAATTTAATTATTTTAACTAGAACAAAAGTGCTTTATTTTCAGGAACTAATTCTTTTTCTCTGTGTAGTATACAACAAGTCAGTCGTCTAGTAAACACTCGATCCGCTCTAGCCAAATCAAACTAGTAACTAAAGTGGCGTTTATCCACCATATCTCATACTATATTATTTTGAAAATTCAAGCAGGTCACTAAAAACAAAGCACAGCTATAAGAGGGCGAAGGTTCGTTATTATTAGAATCTAACTCAACACCGCATGCGGAATTTTTAGGATGATGTAAAAAGATATCCCTAGGAATTTTTGCATGGGCTCATAGGATGAATGCATTGAGAAAGCAATTACGGAAATATTTTCGTAGGTGTTCGAAGAATAGAATTTCTACATAAATAATCAGTATAACATGGCGAGGCCTCACCTCGATGGTATGATAAGTTGCGTAAATTTCATATCCTCTTCAATGGCATCATAAATTTTACTTGATGTGTCGCGTTTAAATAAAACGAAAAATTATACTTACACAGTTGATTTTGCTTGTCATTTTCAGACCGAAAACGTAGGCATTTTTTTAAAACCTACAACGTTTATATTATATTATATTATCTATTTACCTTAATTAGTTAATTAAGAGCTTAAACACTAGTCATACTTAGTTAACCATAGGGCAATTGCCAAATAATTTTTATCACAATTAACAAATAGGTTTAAAGATTTTAAGAAAATTTACAAAAAATGTGGAGAAGAATTGCTGGGGGATCCATAGGCATCCAAAATATCAGATTGGTCAAACAATTTAGAAACTACATGACCCAAATTTAGACAGGTACCAAATAAGTATTTTTCCTAGTAAACAATTAAAAATGTCGTAAGGAAAAGTTGTCATTTATTAATTTAATTCCGACTCAATCGCAACACATATATTGAGATTAATGAACTATTATTATAATTAAGATCTGTAATCTCCGAAACAGAAAAAAAATCAGCAACGACAAACAACGGGCGAGGAAAGCAACATTACTTAGGTGTGTGCATGGTGGTGCATTATATCGAAATAAAACTCAGTAACAAACGTTTTTCGGGAAAAGTTTCAAATTTTGTAAAGAAATAAAATTGTATTTGTTTATTGGGAAACCCTTCACAACGACTTTGCTTATTGTACAATAAACAAAGTGATTGTGTTTGCAAAAACTTGTAATACTGGAGCTCATTTCATTTTTAGACATAACGCAAAAAACAACCATTTTTAACCACTGTGAAAACGATCGAAAACAGTGGGTTGTTTTAGAGAAGATACAGAGAATACAGAAAACTATATTTAGTGTGTTCAAAGACTGATTATAAAAAAAGTAGGTACGCCCATTTTTTCATGAATATCTTAAGTTAATGAATTAAATTAATTAAAGTACTTAAATACTTCACTCGTATAAAAAAAATGTTTCTAGTATGTGCAACAGTTTTCTCGGACCCAAAGTTTATCCGAAGCTTTTAGGATTCGAAATACTATTACATGTCTTACACCGGAATATAGACTATTGGTAGGAAAAAACAAGTTGCTCAATGCTGGTTTTAGTGGTTTTATGTTATTCCAGGTACGGGCAATAAAAATTATGTTCTCTTCATAATCAACAACACAAAACACTATTTTAAAAATATGTTTTTAAAAAGCGAGTTCTAGCACTAGAGAAGTATTTTCGAATCGTAGATCTCATCCGCTTACGTTAACACCAATAATTTGATTCATCCCCTGTGAGCCGGGTGTACAGCGTGCGAATATTATTAATGTTATTGGAAAAGATCAATGAAAAATAAAGAGTCTTAATTTTCCATGTGAAGCACCTAGTCGTGAACTCCCGGATACGCACACGTCCTCTTCTTGACCTCTTCTCCGTGACGTAACCAACACACGCTCTCACCTGGGGTTGGGAATGCCGACTTCTTCGAAAGTCGGTCACTGTGTTCCAGCAGCGACCATCCGAAACGCCACCGCCGTCTTGATCCGGTACCTTAGTCACCGAATGTACGAAACAGTTGAACTTTGTCAGCCTAGTAGAACACAAAGCTCTCAAATCGCGCGCGAAATTCGAACTGTTTACGTCGTTCAATTGAATCCGTGTTTGTGTTTAATTCAGCATCTTTAATCAAGGAATTTTTCGTTTAGTTTATGTGTGAGTATTAACTAGTTTAAATTGTAAGGGTTTCGGAAATCCGTTGAAAATAGAAACAGAGATTTTTAGTGTTTTGAGAATTTTATTTATTTAATTTGGTAAAAAATTTGTCTCATTAATTAAAATATTATTATAGTATTTATAAATTACTGATTCTTTTTAAATTTAGCTGCTTTAAAATGTATCAATGAACATCTTCCATACCTTATTAAAATTTGTCCTCAGATAAAGGAAAAACAAATTAATGCACTTTTGGAATTTCTTAATAATTAATTATTTTAAATACAGATACAGTAACACTTACCGAACAATAGGTTATAGTCAAACTTACTCTCTTGCACCTTTTTCCGAAGAAAGTTGCGCGTTTCTCTTTGTGATACATTAGATGCTAAAACCGTATAGCCTCCATTTTAAACATTACCTTATGCTTAAACAGCATTATTCTATTTATTTATCTATTCAGCACGTTATTTAAACACAAATAAACGATTTTTTTATAAGCGCACAATCACGTCGTTTCATTCTGAAGAAAGTTTTACGCTCTTATGATACGTCAAAGTGTGAATTCCATTAGCCCAATTTCTAGGCCGATATTGTTTTATCTAGGTAACGCTTTGTGCCATGTTGACAAGGTAAAGTGCAGTATTATATATGGAAATAATATTATATATTCTATTCATGTTTATCTTGCAATCGTCTATTCGTCATTTCAGCCGTAACAATTACCTGCAGTTACAGTATCCGTTTGTTGTTGGGATTGTTTATATTAAATATCAATAGTCCTGTCGAAATAAATGCTTCATAATAAATAATATTATTATGCACGGTATGAACTTTTTAAAACATCTACCTCATAGTGATATAACTATAACTATCTATGATATACTTATGACCGTCAATTTTAAATCATATATCTTTTTTATTAAATTTACATATGAAAAATTCATTTAAGGAAGAAAATTTGAATTCAGAATTTTATTTTTTTAATTTAATTTAATCCAAACAAAACAACTAGAAACGGAAAAACACATTTTTTTTAAATAAATATCTATTAATTTCAATCTTTTTATATCAAGCAATACAATTTAAATTGAACTTAATTTGTAAATTTAGCAGCTTTTAAAAAATAATTTAATGGAGTTCTTAAAAATTCAAACTTTAAAACTGATACAAAGTAAATATAACAGCAAATTGGAAATATCTGACAATATTATCATCAGCTTGACAGTTACAAATACCACTACCTACTTATGAAATATATGATTTTCGGAAAGTTATATTTTTATTATTTAATTTTGATGTAATAATAAATCCTTGATAATGAAATTTTAAAATTTCAGGGAAATACATGTTAGTGGCAATAAATTTGTATACGTCAACTAGAAAATACACTACAAATAAATGTTTTGGGGCAGTGGATATTATGTTTTTAATATGGAAAATCTGCTTAATATAATATTTATTTGGTATATCACAAATCGGCATTTGTACCTAATCAAGAATAAAAACTCCGTAATGTACTACACTAGGTAAATGGCACATTGATGAATCTTAAAGAATTAACAAAAAGTGCAGACAATGCCATAACGCGCATATTATAGGTAGTAAATAATACCAACTTAGGCTTTAGATAGTTTTTTAAAGGATCTGATAACTATGAAATTTTAGCAAATAACAAATACTAATTGATGGTAATAATGCCATTTTTTTTGTGTTAGTAAATGGCCTAGATAGGATGTTTTTTCAACTTAGTATTTCTAATCTTTAAAACTTCCTCATAACGAACTTTTGCACTTTGCATTCCTCATATGATTCGTTCCTCTTCGTCCGCCTGCACCCCATACAATTATATCGACTACACATAATATTGTGCTAATTTTAATTGTATTGAATCTTCTGATTTGACTGTGGACCCCAGGTATTTGTCGATTCTTTCTATTTTCTTTTCTTCTTTCCAAGTCGCGCGTTAACTGTTTGCTTTTTTGAGAAGACCATCTTCGCATTCATTATTAGGGTCATTACTCAACTTTTTCTGTTGAAAATGTTGTGTTACAGTAATGATCACTTCAATTACGATTTTTATACAACCTTGCGTGATACGTTTCTTGATCGCGTTCTTTAATCTTCATGTCGTCTAACTACAGTTGTTATAATTGATATTTTTTCTTAGTTTAAATGCCTCTTTGATCTATAAATGTTGATAAATCGAACGCCTGATGAAGACTATCTCTGCCATTTTTTTTTCAATATTTGTAATGCATTATTACGAAAATAATATAAACCTGAATATTAAGTCAAACACGTATTTTATTCAAAAGAAAAACGATCCAATATTGATATTTACCGTTTAAACTGGTTCAATTATTTATCGTTTTCTGTTATTACAGTACAACAGATGGCTACCGCACTAACCTTTGACGAACACAAATAGTAATTAATTTTATACTCAATACCCCCATTTTCTTGCAGCTACAATAACTTAGCGTGACCGAAACTATTGTGTAAAATTGTTATAAACTTCCAAAAAATTTTCAAACGGAAAATATTTTAAATTTGGTGCTCTAAAAAGTGGTCTTTTCAACATAATACTTTAAGATTACAGTTGTTTTATAACACAAATTGCGCAAATAACAACTATAATCGGGCTATACCATTGATTAATTTAGGTGGGCAAATATGCAGATTTAAAATAATGACATCTCCTTCCATTGTAATTTCATTGAGAGTAATGTGCAACGACTGTCATTCTCCGTACAGGTGATATTCATTTTACACTATATAGCTGCTAGAGATAATACAGGAACCTATGAAACAACCATACATTTTTTTTTGAGGTCCATTCAACGTGCACATGCGCGAGATTTAAAATGGCCGCTGATAGATCGTTAATAAGTTTTAATGCAATATTCTAAGAAAACGAGTTAAATACCGCAAAGTGCAGTTTACCTTTGTAGAGCCACTATATTGTCTAATAGCTATACATTTTACAGTTACACTTCAGTTGTTGCACACGTGATTCTAATAGATGTTTTATTTTTCAGATTTTCAAATATGATTGTGCGATGGCAATTAATTTTTGGATTGCTTCTCTGCTTTGTTGCATCAGCGTTGTCCAGAAAAAGTAAGTGCTGTACTTGTGACTTCCAACTAAAAGAGACCGCATAAGTCATTCATAAAATTGCTGTTATACTATTTACAATTCTTCTGGATTGTTGATAAATCGTATTTTGATATTCCGCCAATCGTCATGTTGTCTTCTTCAGAGCTCAACTAAGACTAAACTGAATTGAACTCTTGAGTTTCAGTTAAGCTCTGAAGAATCCAACAGGGTAGTTGAATAATTGTAATTGTAACAATAGATTGTGGAAGTTTCTTTGAAAAATCTAAATTGCTGTAGTTGTGATATCAATATAAGGCATTTTGGCAAGGGAAGGGTGAGGAGTGTTGGCTAAATAAAAACGGTTGCTAGGGAAACCTCATAAGGTGGAAGAAAATCATTTCAGAGAGGCGCAGTGAATCATTGGCGTGTGAGGTTATGATGTAATATTATAAAAAAAATCCTAATTACTTTTAGTACATATTTTTTCGATACCTTGAAATATTACCGCGATATGGAGAATCAAACACGGTAAATTTAAAATATTAGAGAGTTATTTGACAAAAGTAATGTAGGTAATAATTTTTCATCTAGAATAACTTAACGACCCTATAGAGATAAAGGTAAATCTGTCATTTGATTGCACAAATCCAAGAAGTTAATTAGTTCTAGAAACGGATACAAATTCATTGAAAAATTTTGACCACAATTTTTATATCTACGGTAAAAAATAATTACATGAAATGTTTTTGCAACCATATGGTATAAATCTTTTAATTAAATAACGGTTCAACCTCTGTATATCAACATTAAGCAATTATTCACAAACCGTTGGTAAATACTTTGCAGGCGCTTTCCATCGGTTGTCGCTCTGGGACGCCTTTTCTAATATCAAAATGGACGGACTGTATTCCTTTGTTTTCTTTTATTCATGTGAACATCACAACTTGAGTGCCTCGCGTAACGCACAACTAGAAACCTATGGCACTTATCTGTGATGACTGCCGTAGCTCTTGTTCTATGTAAGATAGGATTTCACTGCAGCGTGCTATCAGGATAGCATATCGATTTTTATTTACTTTGATTTATTTATATACTTCGATATTACGTGTCCAGGAAATAGATTTGCTAAGAGCGTCGGGTATTATCGAATAATTGTTTAATTTCAATGAAATGAATATACGAGTGGTGTAGAGTTAACTAAAAGTGTTTTTCATAACTTACTAACATACTTATAACTATCCAAAACTAACATACTTGGTAATTTTGAATTAACAACTGTCAAAATCTCTTTTTTAGGATGTTGCGGACTAGTAATTCTTCTTATTTAGCATTTCTAAAAGATTATTAAATGACACATTTATTACTAATACTATAAAATCAGGTAATTTCAACTCCAATCTAGCCCGAATAAGACGAAAACCTGTTTTAACACGGAGTGGTATACCTACGTATAAAATTCAAGTGTGCAACATAAAAACAGATTCAGCATTATATATAAGTGTTTCTTAAATGAATTTTTGGCAGTTCTCGTTGTAAATGGATGTGATATGCTAAACTGATGTAAAGATATGTGTACCGTAATCGCTCTTCTATCTGCATACCAACAAATAATCCCGCAAATCCAAAACCGTAGTCGCGTGAGTTGGTTCCCACATATGTATTTTTCAATATTATTAACTATTATTAACTAATTATCTTCTACCTAGCTAACTTTAAAAATGCTAATAGATACCAACAAAAACGCTCAATACCTCAAAACCTCAACCCATGGTGTTTTTATTTTTAGATATGTATAATATTTGCAAAAAGTATAACAGTTTAACAACATAAAAAAATATTTCACTCGCGCTACAACAAATGAAAACTAAATAAATTTGTAAATTCCTCCACCGACATCGAAACATGCGCGAAATAATCACTATACGAAACAAAAAAAAATTTACAACACTGACTGTTATGCTATTAAATCAATCCAAAATGAAAGCGAAAGTCAAATGCTTTCGCTGGAAAGGACGATACATTCTCAGATAATTATGATACGTCAATCGCGTCAATAACTTAGGCAGTCTGATAGAAAGGGCGATAGCATAACCACAATTCATTGTCTATTTAATTAGATTAGCGCAGGCCCAACTGATTACTTGGGGTGTTTATTCCACGAGGCTGATTATGATTCTGTCACAAATTGGTATGCATTATGCAACAAAGACGCATACGAGGACTGTTAAAGTAGAAAGCGTGACATAGAATGTCGACTTTAGAATGAGGTATTTACATTTTGTTTAAAATTTCATTATGAAATGAAAAGCTACACGGAAAAAATACTTGCTTCAAATAGTTTAAGCTCAACTTGAGCATAAGAAAGCCTTACATATACTCAAGACTATGTCAGCTTAAAATAAAAATGACAAATTCTCAATATCTTAAGCTTCTTTTAAAAAAATGAAATGTTTCGTTAGAGAATTTCTATTTTGTTAACAAAAATGTAGGTAATTAATATTAAATATTGATCGCTTATTTTTTTAATTTTAGATATAGCAACTTGAATGGCGCATACACCGATTCGTTTTTAAAGAATTTTTATACTAAGTTTTTGATAGGTTTAAATTAATTAGATATAGAATTAAAAATATTCATATAGTTGCTTTAAATCGAGCATTATGTTAGTTCCATCCAACAAATTTGTTTTGTTTGACGTTATGCCAGTTTTATATTGCGATGGTCTTAATTCCACCATAAAAATGGAGATATTTTCAAAGTAAATATTTGTATAATTTTGTTTAGACTATTCTACCAACTGAAAACTTTTATTCTGGGAGATAAGAAAATATATGCAAAAATTATAAATAGCTTTTCGGCTTATCTTTTTTCTAAAACATTTTTTAACAAATAAAGGTTGTTAAGAAATAATTTTAAAATTGGGCTTTTTCAGAGGTGTCAATAATTATGATAAATATAAATTTCTACCGCCGTTAAAGACCAGTGATAAATAAAACGTTTTTTTAAGAAGGTAAGCCGAAGCAGATATTTTCATTATTTGCAGTAATTTTATCCATCCAAAGGTAGTTTTTCTTTTATTACATACAGAGAACTTTTATGATCCAGATCCCAAAATAGTTACTTTAAAACTACTTACTTCTGGACGAAGCAAAAAATTCATTACCGACTTTTTCTTTTAATCCGAAAATGAAAGGAAGGATGGAATTAGAAAAGATTTTTACCACCATGTAATTTGTTTAGACAATTTTTCAAATTGTAAATTTGATGTTAACATTTGGTTGTCTGCTTTGCCTTATAGTAAATCTTACAAAAAAGATAATGAAATATAATTCTTTTTTTATTAACAAATGATACAAAAATCTTAAAAACTTGTTAAGCTTGAGAAGTGCAAGAACATTTTAAGTGCTTTTACCTAAAATAAAGATACCGCACTTAATCTAAACAAAATTATTATTTTTTGGTTTGTATCTAGTTTTGCAAAAACAAAAGGATGCATATCCCACATACTACATGTTGGTACTGTATCCAAAATAATTTTCATTATTTTATTAAATTTGGATGTGGCCCAAAAAATTGTTTTTCTACTCTCTTCCGTAAAATACCTAATAATACACCGATCTAGCGTGCGAAAAACGTCACTTTACCACGTCAGTTTCGTTTCGCATACATCCCAGCGCCTTCGGACATTTCCGGAATTTTACCGCACCGACCAATCGGATGTTTTCGGAGATATTTCCATACGCCTGGAATTTTAACATTTGTCAATTCTAACGGTCATGTCAGTGAATGTATTCTTGCTGTTGTGCGAAAATGTAACCAAAAACAATGGTAGTAGAAAAAGTATAGTATGCAACACGTCCGGTAAACTTTTTAAGTCACTCGTGAGTCAACTGCCGTTTATCGCACTTGCTGCATAATATACTATTTTCTACTCCCTTTCGTAAAATACCTAATTATACAGCGTTCTAGGGTGCGGGAAGCGTCACTATACCATGTGAGTTTCTTGTCCCACGGATCCGAGCCCCTTCGGACATTTCCGCGATATTACCTCACGGGTTTGACAGCAATCGGATGTTGTCGGAGACTTTACCGCACGGCTTGAATTTTAACGTTTGTGAATTCGGACGGAGATGTCAATGAATGTTTATTAAAGGCTCGCTCTGCTCGTGCCAAATAAACGCGTGACTCAAATTTCCGTTTACCGCAAATACATGTTTCAAACATATTAAATTTATTAATTTAAACTGGTGTTTTTATTTTAAAAATACTTAAATTTTCTGTGTACAGATTTGAAAAATCAAAGCTAACCAAAACTATTAGGCTAAAATAGATTGCTCTAGTATAACTGTAACTTACAATTATATTGTTTGAAGCCAGTCGTACAGTAAAAGTAAATAATAATAATAATAATGGTCTTTATTGGTAAAAAAAAAATAAATAAATAATTACAAAATGAAATAGAGAAACACAGAATTAAAAAACAAAAATGATACAAAATAACAGAATACACCGGATGCCCAGATAAGAACACAGCGCGTCTATATTTCGTACACTATTCAAGGGAAATATCTGGAAATTTCGTTCATCAAGTTCATCTCATTCAACAGATTGGAAGAAATATAAAATTCGGAAAGTAGTATGATGAGCTATCATTGTAAATACAACGTAGGCATATTTTTGGTTCCTTTAACTTGAGTCACACAACGTCACCACATCTTGCTTAATTTAAGTAGCATCCCTTATACACCCTTCAGGCTTCGGCTGTACCTATCTGTTTTCATCTTACGCGATATGGGTGGGTATTGATAACTCTAAGTTTAAAAAAAAGCTTAGCACCTGGATGGAGTAAAACCAAAAGTAACCAATTGCACTTTAATTTACAATATACACCAGAATTATTTTTTTAATTTACTGAAACTCGAAAAAATTATAATAATTATAGTATAGTATATGAATGAAAATAATTAACAATGTCGGCAAATACATTTATCTTGCTGTAACAGGAAAATTGGCACAATAACAAAAATTGCGATAACCCGCCAACGCTTCAGACATGTTTTTAGTTGATACATAGCTGAGACACAATGAATAAGAAGTCAGAGAAAATCCGCTTAAATATTGAAAAAAGGAAAATCTGGATCGTTCAGATCAATAACATCGTAATTAACATATTTCCAACACTTTTCGTCAATTCCTGGTATTATTGCGCCAATCTGCATGGTGACTCAGTGACCCAGTGGCACCATCGTCTGTTAGTACCGGTTCGCCAATCTTCACTTCCTTTCGCACTGCGACATTCTTAAACCGGTTTAATTTTGTTGTATAGTGTTCACGGCAAGTTGCGGTGATTAGAAGTTATTTTATATGCCGCATTTCGTTTTTGTTAAAACTTCCTTTTTCAGTTTTAATTAGTTCAACTCGTTCAACCATTTACAATTGGTGTTTCTTAACACCTATCAAACACAGTAGTACGGAAATAGAAGGTTTACATGGAATAAACAGTTTTGCTCCAAACTCAAAATATTTTTATTTTTACTTTCGATTTTGGTAACAGACAACTATTTTTCATAATGAGGAAACTCTCAAATGAAGATTTTAAGGGACCGTTAACAAAACCTTTATACACACAGCGTATTTCAAATTTAGAGAGCTCGATAATATTCAAGTTAATAGGTAACTCCCACAAATATGGCCGAAAAATAACATTTTTGGGTTTTATTTTTTTAATCATTAGTTTTGTCATTAAAAAGATAATAGCATGGGATTTTTGCCTTAGCTAGAAGATGAAGCTCAAAAGACACCAACGACTTAAATGATCAAAATTCGGAAGAGCGTTTTTAAAAACATTTATTTAGACAGAAAGCAAAATAAAGTTTTATTTGAACTGGCCGAAACAAAGGAATAATTAAGAGCACATTTTACACTATGACAATCGAATAAATAGGGCTTTTGATGCGGTGTCAGCGTTATCTTCGCTTAGCTTTGGGCTTCGTCTGCAGTTTGGGGCATATAACTCCTCCCTCCTTAACTTTCCAAAATAACGGAGTGTTTTTTCGAAAAAGCTTGAAGATTTTCTCCCTGGAAGGTTTCCTCTTTGGATGCGATTTTCTTCATTTCTTAAACGAAGAACTTCTTAGTAATGAAAATTAAAATTAGAATCATGATTATCTCAAACACAATAACAATTATTTGGAACGTATTTGTTTCTTCTTTCACTGGTTTCCTAGGAGTTATTTTTTATGCTAAATCTCTTAGCTGGTATATTTCGTCAATGTTTATTATCCAGTATCCAGGACTGTCATTGCGTTCATTTGCGTCAATTATATTTTTGATAAAAATATTGGTTTTTCGAACTGGATTTTCACATCGTTGACGAATTTTTCTTCATTAATTTCTATTTGACAGTTTACTGGCATCTTAATCAGTACTGGTACTTCGATTTGCATATATCGATCCGTATTACACTTGATTAGCAGTTTTTCAAGCGTCTGTGGCAGAAAAAGAACTAAATTTTCACTGATTTGTTCTATAATTGCTTCTGACAGGTTCATTTTTGTAATGGGGCAGTTTTTCATTCCGATGTCGTCAAACAATTTCTCCACGCATACATCTGGGGGGTGATTTTCTTCTTTACAAAAGTAGATTTCTTGGATGACGGGACTTGTTTCTGCGGTGAATTGTCTCTTCTTCTCCGGTTGTGCCATATTGGGGTATGAAAATTGATTGATTTTGGATTTTGGATTATTGGGAACGGGAATATTTTCATACAATTTTTTTAAATTTTATCATAAACCAACAAAAACAAAAACGCAATTTTTTCATTTTTAGGCAACACACCTCTCGTTCCCAGCGTAAATGCCTATTGGCATCATAACGAATGAAATTCTATAAATGACTTATGCGGCCTCTTTTAGTTAGAAAAAACAAGAGAATTGTTTGAGTCGGCCTATAAATACTTTGTTTTGGTAACTACAAAGCTTGTGATCAAAATACATTTTTTAAATTAAGTGATGCTATATCTGTTGCCAGCAGCAGTGACCACAGATCGGCCTATATATTTTTGTAATGTATCTTTGTAGTTATTAAAGATAAATAACAAAGCTAAGATATTCATATATTGCTTTTTCACTAGCTACGTATTATATGTGTGCAATGATATGATTACTGCCAAAAAAATCCCAATTGGTTAACCCAGGCACGTCCAGCTTACTTGCTAAATCTTTTGTTTCAAATTTTCACAATACTTCGACATACCAGGCAAATATACTAAGGTCGTCCGATTATCGCAAACCAATGGGCTAATCATTTATTTTACAAATCACTTCGTATACGCAAATTGATTATGCTACCTTTTGTATTTATATATATTTATAGTGGTTTCGACAAGAAAGTAGTTGCATAGAAAAATTAAGAATTCAGTATCGGCGCGATTCCAAGATCGCTGGTTCGAATTGCTGCACATTGCTAAGGTGGTAACGCATGGAGAAAGTTATGCTTCGAACGATGCTAATGTGGCACAAAATTACGTACAAAGAAAAGTTATGTATTTGTCTCAGGCGTGATATATAAACCCACTTAACACTTCGTAATGACAACAAGGAAGTTAACTTTTTATGTTACAAGTACCGATAAACTGATTTATTTTCTTCCTTCAATAAAAGTACGATATAATATTATCGAGAAAATTATGCGAAATTTCACATTCGTAATTCACGAAGTCAATTGAAATTCCAATTTTATTTAGAAATTGTATTTAAAGCAGGTTATTTTTGTAAACAAATCTACGACTATCTAACCTGACTAATTAACCAAAACTAACACTTCACAAGTATTGTGAAGTTATATACATTGTATATCTAGATTTAGTATATTATGACGTTATATACAATTTTATGTTAGCATATACTTACATATATTCAATTTTTTTTTCCTTTGTACGACTTGCTACAAGCAATGATATTGTAAAGTAGTCAATAAACTATCTATCTATTGGAAAATCCTAAATTCCTTGATTTTGCCATTTAAGCAAAATAACATCCTTACCTATCCAAAAACTCATAGGCTAGAATTAACCAGATCTGGTCGGTTTTAATACAAACTCGGATTCTTCATTTTTTTGCATTATGCACTACATTAGGACTTACTTTCAGATGTGACTGCGGAACTGTCCTCGAAGTGCCCTATGCTCACCGAATGTCCGTATAGAGCTGAGCAATGCCAAGAGGACGACGACTGTTCGTTGAACTCGATTTGCTGCAAAAGTCCCTGCGGAAAAGTTTGCACGAAACAATTATTCACAGGTAACCACAAATATCGCATACAGATATATTGGGTAGCTCACTACTGCAGGGTTCTTTTATTTCTTTAAGATTTTATTTTACATATTACATAAGCATATTGTTTCATTGTTGGTTTTCTGGAAAGAATTTGTGGTAGATTCCTTCAGATTCCGCTATGCCTAATTTAGATATCTTGATTATTTGGAAAATTTTGAAAGATGTCGCATTGTTTTGAATTTTTAAATTATTTTTAATTTGATACTGATCTATCGCCTACCAATTCAACAGTTTTAAATTGGGATTTGGCATTTTTTGCCAGGATTTTGCAAAATACACCCACATTTAAGAAAAAGCAGATAAAAAAATTGTTACAAATTCCAACAGTATGAAAATATCGTAGCAGGCAGACAAGAAGCTATTTTTGCTTTCGATCGTTTTTTTTTTTTAATTATAAACTGATAGTTGGTGGTGGTGATTTTCAGGTCCATAGTTTTCATTATTAGTATTTAGGATAAAATGTACAGAAGCTCGAAAGATGTAGAACCAAACTATTTTGAAACTTCAAATCGGCCTATGTACCATAAAAAATCTGAACCAAAACTTCAAATAGATATTTCAATGACACATCTAAATGACTGGGCCGATAAATATGAGGAAACTGAAAGTATAAAAAATGTGGGATGATTGTGTGAACCATAGCAAAGAAGGCACGACTGATACTAACAATTATTGCTAAGAAATGGCGTGCTAAATAAAATACAGAAGACTTCTTGCAGTGCAAACTTTGTTTCTCAGAGCGATTAAGACCTAAATTGAAATCCATTTACTTATTTTCACACCGGGAATCCATGTTTCTTCACCGGTAAATATTATCAGTAGTATATCGGGTTAACAGAGTAAAGTCTGTTCATAGATATAAGAAAGTAACTAATTGATACGAATTAAGGAAAGACCTGGGCAAGCTGTAAGAATGAAATACGGCCGAACAGGTCCGTACTTTGCTTAGAATTTAATTATTTGGGGTTTTGTTAGGAAAGATACTAAACAATATGTATTTATGTTTAAATTACTTAATATTATTCACATAATACATCAGTATCACTATCGCTATGATCGCGTGTTCTAATTATTATTTGTTCTATATTATTTGCAATATGGATATACGATTGTTCTGCTTTTTCTATATGTTTAACAGAATTTGCCCAACTTTGTGGAGGGACGTTAAAAACTTCGGTTTCTATAAGTTTAAGGACATTGGAGTTAACACAGGGAAAAACATTATTACGACCAATGACAGATTTCAGTTGGTGCCAAACATGTTCAATGGGATTAAATATACAGTGGTAAGGTGGAAGCCTTAAAACTGAATGCCCTAGATTTTTTGCATAATTATCACAGACGTATTCCTTTTGTAAGTTCAAGCTTTGTAGAACCTCAATTGCTTTTTGGTATAATCTTCGTGAAAATAAATGTCGTTATTATACATGTAGTTTTGGATTATTGCTTTTGTGTCACATGAGTAAGGGGTCAACTGTCTACTGTGATAACTTGCATTCTCCATTACAATGACGCTATTAGGAGGAATGTTTGGAACTAATTTGTTTTTAAACTAACTTTCAAATAAATCAGTGTCAGGTGGTGTCTTCAGAGTAATCCCGAGAAGAATCTTTAATATTTTCCGCAGACAAAGAAAGTCCATTTGGAATACAATCATCATTAGAGACAGCATGCAAAATAGTTATTCTTTTGACTCTTTTTGATGGCGCGTTTGTTTTACACTTATCAGTTGAGTCAACCCAACCATTTTTCCGAGGTATCATAAGTGTGACTTTAGGTAATAATCTTGTTGCATTCTATGTTAATGACCATCCTTGGATAATTCCATTCAAAAGCAATTGATCACTTTCTTATATCTATGAACAGACCATACCAGCACGCTTAAATATCTCCGAAACTGCCGAAGCTGGAACGATAAAATTCAATACTAACAGCAATGTTGTCATATTTACGACTTTTACGTTACACTTTATAATTTTGTTGTTTTATATTTATTTTTGTCGACTTTAGTAAGGTCTCATAATTCAAAAACTTGGTTTCTATTTTTATGTGAGCTACGGCAATTCCGCTTTTTCAGTAGAAAGTACCGCATCCAGTTTTTACTCTCTGCGCACTCATTTAGAATATTAACTTTTATATTAGGAGCAAATTTATGACCCGCGGACCAAATATGAGTAGCGAATGGTGCCTGATAAAAATCTTTTTGCCAGACTTATAGGATGTAAACTGTTACAATCTTCCCAGTTAAAAGCATCTCCCCATCTAGAAAAATAGTCCATAGAATTCTTAATTTTCAGTAAACTGGCTTCAGTGTATTGTTGGCTTTAAAAGCTATAGAGACTAAGATGCCTGAAAAGGGTCAAACATTTCAATTTACGAAGGTTTTGACTTTATTATGCTACGTCAAACAATTTATTAATTTTATAGTACGATGTGAATAACCGTCATCGTCAAATCATTCTTAAAAGTTTCTTTTGAAAGTGTAATGAATGTTAGGTTTATGGAACAAAGAATTAACCTTTACGAGAATTATTATCCTAAACCCAAGTAATTCTAGGAAAACGGTAATACTCCCCTCCCCGACTTCTTTTATTACTAATTTTTAAGAACTTGATTTGTGGGTTTGCTCACAAAATCCTTAATTTTGTTGATTTGTTTCACTGTTAGTATATCTGAATTTATCAAATTTTATTATAATGAATGTTCTTTAAAAATTCAGGATTAAATTCACTCTATTGCTACTATTCCCTTGAATCGTGGGTCATTACTTGTAATTTCTATTACCGGCCGTTCAACTTCACTACTCGTCAATGGCAACAACTCGTAACACGCGCATTAATTTTTTTTTATATCATTAAATCTGTAACGGTGTGTTCTAAAAAATGGTAGGACCCAACAAATGGAGATGCACGCGGCAATAACTGTAAGCGGCTGAAAAAATATACGCGACACGAACAATGGTTTCCGAGTTCACGGTCCAAAGCCATGTGAGTCTGTCTGCTTTTTCAACCGCCACTCTTGCGAAACGTGACCGATACTTTAAAATAACATATTTGGAATGATTATGTTTTAAATGGAAATTAAAGAATAGAATGTGGCACATTCCAATTGAAATCACCCACCGCAAAATGAGAATTTTTCAACCGATTAGGAAGTTTTTTTTGGGTTATATTAGCATTAAGTTATTAGTACCTTATGCAACAAGTTTTGACATCCTTTTCACACTACTGCTTGCTCAAAATATTGTTTCCTATTTGTAGTATTTACTACTTTTTACTATTTACCTATTATCTATTTACTATTTGTAGTGTTGAAAAGTGACTTTCAATATCAGTCAATTTTTCTCTTCTCTGACTGAGGAACGGTCCCAAATTCCGGACTATTTTAGGTTGTAATGATTGATCTAAGCGTTCTTCGAATATAATAAAAGCACTTTCACTTCGAAAGTCACACAATATTTTCTTTGGCGAAAAATATGAATAATCCAAAATTACAAGCACAATGTCGCATTGTCCACAATATGAATGAAATGAAACTCTCGACTTGCTGCTAAAAAAGTCACATCCAACAGAAAAAACCAAAACACTAATGTTCGTGCATCAAATTTTCATTTTCTTTTTTTTTTCAAGTTTCCTACCCACCTTTTCAGTAGCACGAACCACGCTTACTTCGTCATGACCTTAGGTACTCTATCAACAGTTCCTAGGCATTCTTCCTCTCACATTTCTTAAAAAAATCTTCACTACTAGAGTCATACTTTGCTCATTATTAATAATAATTAAATTTTTATGTCTTATCTTTTACAACTCTTATCTCTTCAACTCTAGAACCAGGAAATACCCAAACTGATTACTTTCTAAACTTAATAACAATTTTTTCAGTGAAAATTATTTAAAAAATTTTTGGAAGAAATATTTCATTTTTTAAATACTCTGTGGTGACGCATTTAATTGTCAAATTTAAGTTAAAACAGACCACAGCAATTACGCTCCCTGGCTATACAAATGGGAACAAAAACAATATTTCCAGAAATTGATTATGACTGATTGATTAGAAAATAATTAATCAGTAAATCTTCATTCGCCACCACCAGTGGTTGACAAATTTAGAATTAGTTGCAAATATAAAATATTTGTGCAAAACCACAGACGATTAGATAATTCGAATCACTGTTCAGTTCCTATTAAAAAAGTTATTTCAATAGAATGGAACTATAGCAAAAAAATAATTAATGAAATACCAATTATGTAAAAAATTAATCTTTGCGGACAGAGTTTAAAGAGAAGTGGAAAGTAATGCGGATTTTATAATGGTCACCAAAATAATTTTCAATATGAAAATTTATAAATAAAACATTTTCTTTTATGTCTTGGCACTTTTATATAAGGCGGCCTTTTATTGAGTTGCAACAAAATATTTTATGGTTGATTTGTAATTAAACACAGGTAGTAGAATTGTAAATAACTAGCGGAACGCAGCGAAGCGAGTGCTTAATAAACGAGTGATTTAATTTTTTTTGAAAAACAACACGAATGAATACATTTACTGACATGACTGTCAGAATTGGCAAACGTCAAAATTCAAACCTTGGGGTAATAATGGGTGTTTTTATTCGATGTATAGAACTTTAAGTTGGCATTACTGTTCAAGATGGCGGCCGATTTAATAGTTGTTAAGTGATTTATTCTCAGTTTGGTTTGGAAATTCGTCATGAATAGACTCACGCCTGAACAACGCTTGAAATAATGCAATTTTATTTCGGAAATAATGGTTCTGTGCGGCATACGTATCGCGCACTACGTCCATTTTATCGTCGACAAAATCGTCCATCAGAGCAGTTAATTCGATTAACCATGGAACGTTTTCGCACCACGTTTACTCTTATTGATAACTCGCATCTCCAGAGACACCGTACGGTGCGTACAGAAGAATCTGTTGCTGCGTAAGAGCGTAGCATTGAGGAAGACCCGAATGAGACCATCCACCATCGAGCAGGGGAATTGGATCTGTGTCCATCCTCTTTATGGAAGGTTTTGCGGCAGGATCTTGGTTTACGTGCTTACAAAATCCAACTCGTGCAAGAATTGAAGCCAAACGATCATCAAGTAAGGCGTAGATTCGTCGAATGGGCTCAAACCGAGATTGCCGTTGTTCCCGATTTTCTTAAGCGAATTCTGTTTAGCGATGAAGCGCACTTCTGGTTGAATGGCTACGTCAACAAACAAAACTGCCTCATTTGGAGAGAAGCTAATCCTCAAGTGTATGTCGAAACACCGTTACATCCAGAAAAACTGCCAGTGTGGTGCATTTTATGGGCTGGTGGAACCATTGGTCCGTACTTCTTCAAAAACGATGATGGCCAGAACGTTACAGCCAATGGTGACCGCTTGACCATTTGTAAGACAACATTCGCCGTGTTATTGCCGATATACGGGCACCAATGTTGGAAAAAGTCATCGAAAATTGGACGTCCAGATTGGACTACATCCGCGCCAGCTGTGGCGGTCATATGCCAGAAATCATATTTAAAATGTAATGCCACAAGATTTTATCTTTCGGATAAATAAAATTTATGTCAATCGAATAATCCATCGTTGTTTTATTGCAACTTAAAGTTCTATACAACGAAAAAAAAACACCCCTTATCTCGAAAATGTCCGAAGTGGCTCGGATCCGTGAGAAACGAATCTGACTTGATAAAATGACACTTTCCTCACGCTAGACCGGTGGATAATTATGCATTTTACAGAAAGTAGTAGAAGAAATAGTATATTATGCAACAAGTTTATTTGGCACTAGCGGAGCGCAGCGGAGCGAGTGTTTAATAAACGAGTTATTTAAAAAGTTTACCAAACGTGTTGCATACTATACTTTTTCTACGACCATTAGTTCTTGGGTATATTTTAGCAAAATAACACGAACACATTCACTCACATGACCGTCAGAATTAACAAACGTCAAATTGTAAGCCGTGCGATAAAATCTCCGAAAACATCCGATTGCTCCCAAACCCGTGCGGTAATACCCTGCAAATGTCTGAAGTGACTCGGATCCGTGGGACAAGAATCTCACGTGGTAAAGTGACGCTTCCCGCAAGCTAGATAGGTGAATAATGAGGTATTTTACAAAAGGGAGCAACAAAAACTATTACGTTAAATGGAAATCAATTCCTGGTAATTGTAAAGAATCGAAAATACGCAGGGTGTTTGAAAACAAATGCGAAAAACACAAGGGGGCGATTTCTAATTCAAAATAAATAGTTAACGCCGAATAAAATTGGGGATAGTGTTATGTAAGCACCATATTTAAATCATTGGTTGCCCAATATGTTTTTTTATTTTTGACGTCTTAATTTTCAGAACTTCTGATGTTGAATTTCCTCAGTAGTTACGGAACCTGTTTTCTTTTTATTTTTTAGGTTGTTAAAAATATTTTCTCAGACATGCACTTCTACCGGTCTTGATATTGTGGATGTTAACAATAACTATCTATATTATGTAGACTTTTATACTTTTCTTCTGATTCGTTAAGGTTGCCAAACACTCAGAATGGCAGCATCTAGGCGCGCTAAGGCTCTAGGAGTGGAAGCAAAAAGTGTAAGGATGCCGAGGTGTAATAAAAATGGAGGCTTTGAGCCTATACAATGTGATAACGAAATAGTCAGCTCCTGCTGGTGTGTGGACGAAACTGGATTTGAACTACCGGGTACCAGAGCACCAGCTGCAGCATTGGTAAATTGCACAGGTAAAAAATAATTTGCTAATAATTTTAATTTTCCGTAAGCAAGACGAGTGTTCACCCTGTCTCGCCCTCCCTAATGGAACTTTAACGGTGTTATTACCTACTCCTATTGGGTAAAGTAGATTTCTACTGAATTGACTGACGAGGCAGGGGTGGGCCACGTAGATTTCTTTCTCTCTGATATATTTCTTGAGTGTTGACCATTTGTTTCGAACAAGCTGTTTTACGAGAATATAACAACGTAGCGTTGAAACCATTTGTCGCTTGATGCAAAACAAGTTGTTAAAAATGTGTATGAAACTTTAATCTTATTAAACAAGAAGCTTTAGAAGAAATGTGTCTACTTACCAAAACGCCGATATTGTCGATAAGGCATACTCTTACTCATGGAGAATTGAAGAAAAGGAATGAACGTAGTGATTGCCAAACTCACCGTATAGACAATAGTGATCAGGACTTAATAAGAAGTATAATATATTGCCTTTATCAAGGCGAAGTTGTTCCTACCTCGGATAAACTGATAAAGAAGCTATAAGAAGATTAAATCAATATAAATATAAAGTTATTTGTAAAATGGGATTTAAGTACCGCAAAATATACAAAAGGCAAGTAGTAATGGAATCACACAAATTACGCACTTGGAGATTTAATTACCGTCAACAAATTAAAAGGTATAGATTAGACAACAGATCCATCAATTACCTTGATGAAACATGGTTCGATACACACAACACTGTATCCAAAGAATGGGTTGGTTTCAAAACAATTTATTTTTGAACAAATGTTCCCAATAACACTATTATTGTTATGGATAACGCAATCTATCACAGCCATCTGCTACACAAAGTACCAGCCTCATCAAGTTCAAAAACTAAAATCTAGGCTCAAAAAAGTGGAAGTTCTAAATTCATATGCAATTAAAAACAGTATATATGTAATAATTGGGCTGGACAGGCTGAGCATAATGTTTTACGTCCTCCTCCACATCGTTGAAAGTATAACCCCATAGAGCATTCGTGGAACCAAGTAAAATCAGTCAGGTCAGAGCAGAAAATGTTACTTCTAGTTTAAGTTACTAATTTGATAAAAAATATAATTAATAACATACCGATGGAGAGCTGGAAAAATTCAGTACAGCACGTTATAAAAATTGAGTTTCTATACCAATATTTAATCTCAATGACAGACATCTGTACAAAGGCCAAATTTTGTTTATTGACTGCCACTAGCACTAGCGACGCAATTATAGACATAAAAACTTTTTAATGGTTTTAAAATGTTTTCCTGAGAGTAGTAAGAATGTTCAATATTAATTTTCTTAACAGTATTTGTTAAATGGCATTGTACTACTACACCCAGTACAGAAGGACTACAAGTTATATACTCACTCTTTAATTGTAGTTTTGAATTTTCATCCATATTATAAGAATCGTAAGTAGTCTCCTGTCGCTGTCCTTATGTCCGAAATAACACCAATTTTAGACATTCTGAACCGGATAAGTCCGGAAGGGATCAATTCTATCAAGTTTATATCTTTCTCAGGACATTGATTTGGAGAAGGTTCATTACTATGTTCGTTGGAAGAAGCATCAAATATTGGTATTAACCTTATTTCAACTATTCATGTAATACTTTGTTATATTCTTGTACCCATCCTTTTCTAACTTTTTCATTAGACCATCTAGCCGTTTCTTCCATCGTCTATCTATAAAACATTTCATAGTGTGCATTTCCTTTTCTTTTCTATTCTGCTGGATCAGTTATTTCAAGAAAATCAAAACTCCACAACGTCCTTGCAATAAAGTGATGTTACAACTATTGAACTAGAAATTAGAATGTATCTCTGCGAATAATTTACCTTTCCTATCAACGTCCAAACACGAAGAGTCTCCATTGCAACTAGATCACATGACAATTGGTGTTTATTTGCTGTGAACAATTTTCCAGAAATATCTGCGCGAATTAAGACTTCTACTGGACCATCTCGAGCATCACTTATTTCTTTTCCCAACCTTTGCAATTCTTGTGTCCATTTACTCATTTTTTCTTGGCTCAAAAAATCATAGGTCATTTCTGCAGCAACATACTGTACGACATTTGGGAATCAGTGTCAATGAAAACTTTGACCAGCCTAGAAGTACTTTTGCCTTTTATTCTGGTAAAAAAAAATCCAGTAAAGGAGCTGTTGGATAGATTTTCAGTTACCTCTTTTGTTATTTCTTGAAGTTCATTTACAGGCCGTTCTTTTTTCCGCAGGTGCGAAATGCACACAGCCTTTACTTGACAGTCCCTTTCTTTGTTCTGGCAAGTTTAACTTCTGAGCCTCAGAACAACTATCACTGGCGGCGCTGCCTCTGCAAAAGGCGCATTTAAAAATAACTTTTTCTATTTTGAAATCCATAAGTTTGTGAAGTTTGTTTTTTGACTCAGCGTTGGAATCATATAAATCGTTTCCCTATCATACACGAAGAGTGTCTATTGGTAAGCAATATTCAGTTTGCTAGTGCACAAAGCTGAGCTTTTAATTTATCGAAAAAATTACTCAGTCTAATTTTACTCTTTAAATTGCTAAAAACCAATTTCAGAAGCTCACTATAATATACAACTAATAAATCTTCACGGCCAAATCTCGACCTTAAACTGTGCTTTAAGATAATTTTCTATCTGTTGGTGGATAACTTTCTGCTAATTGTCTAGCTCGAGATCTTGAAACGTAGGTTTCTTATAACTAGCTGGGATTTTAACAGCGGTTGCAACTTCGAAATCAATGCCATGTTGAGTGTCTTCTTATTCAAGTCACTTATAGAATTCAACTTTACTTCCAGTAAGGTTTGGTTCTGGCTATTGTAGCTCCTTAGCACTAGCTGCAACAACAGTCTTCTAGTCTTCGTAGTATCCATATATATCTGTCACGATCGCCAAATGGTAAGAATGCTAGTATCCAAACTCTTGTAGTGAATTATGTAAGTAAATGTGTTCAACAAAATCAGACCAGGATATTTTACGGTTAGTGGGACGAATTTATAATACTGTAATATCAGAGTTCAAGTTTGATCCCACAAATGACGTAAGCATTTGATTTGGAGAGAAAAATTTAGGATGGGAAATCACACATCGTTTCTACATGAAGCGAATTTAGACACGTAATACGTATTAGCATTGCACATATGAATTTAAATAGTAAATTAACTAATACAGCGTGGAAATAAGCATTACTAAGCGATATTGCTGAAACCGTAACAATTTGAACGGATGTTTCGGTGTACCCATGACCCGATTTTTCCGTAATTATGACTAAAATATGCAAGGAGACCAAAGTGACGTTAAAGTATCAAGTAAATAGTGTAAAACAAGAACAAGTAAATAATGAAATTATAATAATCATTTAAGATCTTTAATTACATGCAAGCCGACTTTAGACTGTGCGGTATACCTAAATGAATTAAGAAATTGAACGGGACTTATCTTGAAAGTGTTACGAGTCACAAAACCAGTAAGAAAAAATTTTAACAGTGGCATACGGATTACAGATTACAATTTGGAAGCTCTTAGCCTGTCCGTGACTGCCTCCATACTTGTAGAGCTTCATCTTTCTGATTAGACTCCACTACTTCGATAATGACTCCTTGGTGTATGATGTTGCATCTGGTTTGTTTACGCCAAGCAGATGGAAACGTTCGATAAGCCTTCATACTCTGTGTGGCCTGTTTTTGTAGTAGAATTATTAGAAGTCAGTAAACCATTATTCTTACAACCTTCCTTTTGTCACATAGCCGGTTGGATTTTATTTTGCTGGAGCTTTTATTGACGGCGTTATTAAGAATGTAGTACTCACGTGTGACTCGCACACAAATCTCACGCTAATATGAGGTTTGTTTAGTGGAGTCCGTTTTAAACAAATTGCACATGCATTATATTTTGTTTGCGACAGTAGAAAAGAAAAAATTATTATTACAACTTTGGTAAAATTGAACAATTGAATTGAAAATTGAACACCTTGTGAAAAGTTGTTCACACTTGTTCCAAAATTTGAAAGCAAATTTTTATAATGAAAAACGAAGAACAGAAAGTAACGAATGGAATCTTCTAACTAGAAAAGAAGAAGAGAATTACGAACAAAAAGGCGAAACGATAATATAGAAAACTTCATGGTCCATCAGAATAAAAATAGATAAACGGCTACACCTACATTAAAGGGAAAAGTTTCGAGACCGGAAATTGTGCCTTCAGATCTGAGTATTCCTAAGTCAATTGACTTAAGTGAACTGTTCCAAAACTGTACTAATAATACAGTTCAAATCCTAGGGTTTTTATATTTGACATTAATCTTTAAAAAAGGTTTGAAAGAATAATATAACGTAACTATAATATAGATAAGCCGAAAAGCCAGCAGGATTTCGAGCGGATAGATTAAGAATAATAGGTGTATTAGTCGATCTAAAGAAGACCTGCGACAGCGTGAATCTTCGGAAATTATGAGAAGCTCTATGTACAATAAACATAATTATTAATGTGGTAATTGCAATAAAATGACTGTAATATATTCAGAAGAAACATTAACCACTGTGGGTGCCTACGCAAAAACAAAAGTGATCTCATTCTAAGGATGCAATGTTAGTATTCCGTTGAAATCTACTGGCGTGAAATAAGTATTATAGTTATTAACATTTTAGATTTGGTTTGGCGTATTATTTGGATAATATTTACCAATAAAAATTTCACAATAGGCATCTAATTATTTAATTCTAGTTCTAAACTTTTAAGCAATAAAAAAAATTGATGATCAGCGGTTTGTTGCTGCCATTTCTAACCGCTTTCTCTTTTAAACAATAAATGTTTCCTAAAACGTGCGGTGGTGAGTAACACTTTAGGAAACTTTAGTTTTAGTTATAATTCAACAAAGTTGCCCGCTAGCTATTAACTGAATAGCAATAAACAAAGTATATACCTGCCCCATAGATGATAATAATGAGCTATTAGATATTATAGGGTGTATAAAAAACCCAAAATTGAAGCAGCTCACTAACCTGCACTTTGGAATCCGCGATCTCTGCACACTTAACTCACGTTTTCCATAAAAAATTAATATGATTAAATGCAGGTTTGAAATGACAAGCTTCATTGGTGTGTGTTATTATCTGCATAAGCTGCTAGTAGCTATATTGTTGATACTATTAACATTAATAAATTTTTTATAAAACTTTTTATGTATATATATTTTAAGTACTGTGTAAAGTTTAGTTCAAATTAGAAAATCAAAATCGAAATACACTAACACGCGTAGATGAAAAAAAGTACACAATTATAGAAAAACAGCAGAAAATAAAAAAAAATAGAAAAAAAAAATTCAAAAAATAAAAATAGTTTAATTTGAAAGTTCTCTTTTTCCTTTCCTTTCCTTAGGATGTGCTTTCAACCAAAACACAACTCACTCTTTTGACATATGGTCTAAATATTTAATTTCAATTTTTTTTTCGCATCTATTATAAAGAAATGAGAACCTAAAAGATAAATTTAAGAAGTAAATTTTAGATCATTAACACTCGCAGCAAAACTATCGCTCCTAATTCATGTAGACGAATTACTAACTGTGTTACTGTGTTTGGTCACATTTTCGATAATAGATTTAAAATGTGGGAAAAATATGCAATGCAGCTGGATTGGACAGCACCATCGCCTTCTTGTGCTAAAAATGTAACACGACGAGAAGGAATTGTATTTGTGATGAGTTGTTAATTAATATATTCCATTCAGTTATACATTTATTCATTTTTAATTACAGGACAACAGGAATGCAATAGACTTGCAAATTGCAGTGAAACAATTAACATTTTAATATCAATCAACAATTCGATTTTGCTTATTTCACATAGACCAGAGGCTTAATAAGAAACACGATAATTTAGTAACCTATCAATTATCTAAATCCTATATAATACGGAGACTTAACTTCTTAACGGTTTTAGTTCCCAAAGCCTGTGCCGAAGCGACTTGTCGGATGTTCTGTCCTCACGGGTTTTCTTTGGACAAGAGCGGTTGCCCGCTTTGCCATTGCAGAGATCCATGTGATGATATTAAATGTCCGAATGCGTTAGAATGTCATTTGGAAGACCTCGCATGTGCCGATCCGCCATGCCCGCCAGTGCCCACGTGTGAGTATTTTTGTGTACCTATATAAATTATAATTTAATATTTCAAAGAAACTTCCACAGGCTGCTGTAATACTATTTAGAAATCTTTTGGATTCCTCTTGCTTCCGTTGGTGATAGATGGAAGTTGCTATTTACCCCTGTTGGCTGAACAATTTGAGTTAAGGTCTTAAGAAGCCAACAGGATGATTGGCGAAATAACAGCAAGTTTGGTTTGGCCGAATTCTAAATTAAATCCGTACTAGGCCGCTCTAAATCTTTAAAAAGAAAAGCCCGTTTTAATTTCTTCTAAGTCTCATATTTGTAAAAATCCGTTGATATCCAAATCAAACACTTCGGAGTTCTTTGTGTGCCTAGCCAGAGAAATTTATTAGAAATGTCGAGTAGATACATTTTTATTCTTCAGTTGTGAGGTGAATGCGGATGTAAAATTAATTCTAAAATTATCATTACTTGATCTACAGTCACTTAAAAATCGTAGAAAAATAGTTGTATATTGACTGCGTCAATGGTTTGGCAGATCAATTTGTCTGTAGCAAATTGTTGGGATCTCTTTTATATAGTGTGTCACAACTATGCATTCACCAATAGATCTCCCAGGTATTGAGAGAACTTTCTAGACAAATAGGCATTTTTCCTGCCTTCCGACTTATATTATTTTCCATTGCCGACTGCTTAAAAATTTGTAATTCTAGCGCATACACCATTCAAAATATCATTTGGCACATACAAATAGAACACCTATATCGCCATACAAGTAAAAGTAACGAAATAAGAAAATATTTAAAAATTACTTTTATTTTTTTTTAAAGCTTTGTTCAAAATCGTATAAAACGGTCCCACAGAAGTAAGTAACCTCAATCCGCAAAATTTAAAACGACTTTTAAATAATTATTCATTATTTGGCATAATAAAACCAGATCAAGTTTGCCGCTTGAGATTTTTAGAACTAGTCAATATTTGAAACCAGTTTGAAACAAAGCTGTTCTACAAATGTATTCGAAATTTAAATCTAATTCGTCGAAAGCGTATTTTGAGAAAAACAAAAGTGAATGTCCAAAATGGTCCAGAGATCTTAAAAAATAGATTACGCCAAGATTGTGAAATTAAGAATCATATCCCATCTAATCTGATGTGCAAGAACAGAAATAATCTAGTGATTAGTGTCACGATTTGGTGATACCTTATATTAGGTACCTCACGAATTTGACATATTCAGCAAACATTCAAAGTCTAGATTGAAATCTACGAATAGATGGAAAATATAAATGTATATTTCGCCTTAGAAGTTATTTCGTTTTAGTTGGTCAGTTTTGCGTCATCGTCTTTCCAAGAGAAATATATGGCCACATCCTATGGACGAAAACACAGGTAATGCCCACAAGCGCCGTTTCTCTCCGAAAACTTCCACAAAATTTTGATAAGGCGAAAGATCAAACGTTAGATTTTCTTCGAAAAATTGGGGCGGTCGCAAATTTTCTAGTGTAGTTTCGTTTCTGAATAATAAAATTATATGGTAACAGAGAAAAACTACAGTGACGATCGCTAAAATTAGGGCGAAACCAAATCCCACGGCGACAGGTATAAAAGTGGTGTTGTCAGCATTTTCGACGTATTCCAAAACAGGTTGGAACGTAGTGCTGACGTAAAAAATGCAGTACACGCTGGTGTATAAAAGGAGCAACACGAAGCTCTTGTAATTGTGAAATCCAACGCAGTTGTTGATCCACGGGCAATGATGATCCATTTTTAAAACACACTCGTTACAGGCCGAACAGTGGTGAGTCCTGTCGGGTTTTATGTGCATACAGGTCACACAGTAGCGTATACTTCCCGTTGCTGTACACGTATGAATCAACAAATTTCTTTCTTCGCAGAAACGTTCCAAGAGTTCATCTTTTGTCTCCTCTGTTCTTGTATCCAACAATGCCCTGTGTTCGCTCCTGGAAAGCTTATATTCCACTGGTACCTTTCCCACCTTGGAGTAGGTCGTTGCAAAAAATGACCACAGCAACATCGCACCGCAAATGTTAAGTAAAATGCCGCAAATAGTTTTGCTGTGAAAACTTTTCAAAGTCCATAGACAAAAGTGTACCGAATAAATGTAATACGATACGACGAACAGTAGTAAAACAAATACAGGTGCCAGAAACATTTGACGTGTGATCCGAAAATGTCAGAATTTTGGAAAAGTTGTTTACAGATCCAGATGCGACCGTGAGTTTAATTGACGTACAAAACAATTATACAATAGAAACATCCACCATGTTTTCCTTTATTTGACACCCATAAAATTACTTTTTTCGACTGCTTATATATGTATAGCAAACAATCACGTCACACGTTGCAGGAGCTGATGTTCATAGAAAAGGAAAAGTGGATCTTCTTCTCTTCTTCAATCAGTTGTTTAGATTCGTTGCTAAAATGGCATTTATCAAACCTGTTGCATTACTCTTCCAGACGATTGCTATGAAAAATATCTAAAAACGCAATCAATTCATTTTTGTTATATAACAATATTGAAACGTCTTCTTCTTTTTCAAAACTTGTTGCACAATATACTATTACACCAGTCACTTCGCTTATTCTAGAATATAAAAAAGGCGCATTACTGAAATTTATAAATTTTTCAATAAAAATTATTGGCTTAGGTCTATTTTTAACCAAAAATAACCTGTAATAATCGACATTGATATCATACTGTATTGACTCCGCCCAGGAATATTATTTCATTGCTTCTATATTAATACCTTAGAAAGGTATTTTTAAGAAATACTTTGAGCAAACCTCAAATAAGACAAATGTTTAAAATAATAACAAAATATTCAGTTTTTCTAATAAAGATTTGGGAAAATGCCTAAAATATAATGGAGATATTGAAAGAAAAAAAAGGTTAAAAGATTAATATGATTCCGACATAAGAATAGTGTTTGGGAAACAAACATACATATACAATACTATCTTCATAAGTAATATTTTTAAATATTATGTACTTCCTAACCACGAACGGGTTGTGACACGCAATATATAAATAAACGCACAACATTCCTTTGCGGTTGATTTTGATATGTTTATTGAAATTATTCGCATATTATTTCGCTATCGTTTATTATTTGCGGTCTGTGTTGCATAATTCTTTATTATGACATGCTATTGATTTCCACAGATTTTGGGATTTTAACACAGATATTCGTAAAAAATTGCATTATGCATATTAGAAAAGATTAAACATAAAAAATGAGTATAGTATAACTATATAGCTACTACTTTTACCTACTTATATCGACTATATTATCTAATAACAATCTAACATTTATACAGGATAAAATATTAATACATAAATAAAATAAATGCAGGAAAAAGCCAGATTTAATTAAGAAAAATTAAATGAAACGGTAAAATGGCAATTGAACTTGGAATTACAAAATTTCAAAACTCCCGAAAATTTTTCATAAATTCATAATTTGGACCACCATTCCATCACATTGTTGTTATTTTTCATGATCTTCATATTCATTAAAAATCATATCTACTCGTTGAAACACCTCAAGCATTCCTAATTAATGGTAATCTCCCGACTTTCACTTAGCATCGTCAAATATCATTGCTTCTAGCAGATTCCAAGGAAGTTAACATTATATGGCAACGGCAAATTTATAACCTGAAGACAAAGTTCATCAACAACCAATAGGTTAATTTTGATAAATGCATGGTATATGTGATACATCTACTGCACATATTGTTCACGTTTAAGTATAAATTATTATTCATGTTTTTTTTCGTTGAATGAGAAAGCTATGTCAAACATTAACACATTTTTTAAATAGGTGTAATGTATTGCGAAATTTATAAAAAACTTTTGATAATTTTAAAATGAAATTAGTTTATTTCTACATCATTGCTTTGGGCAATTATTTCGACTGGAAACTACGAGACTTTTAATGGGGAACTTGAACTTTTTTTTATTTATTTAATACATTTGTTTATGAATAGAAATAACGCATACCAAATATCAAAAGTCAAAACCCAATATTTAAGTTGCAATTATGGCGTGCTTAGTGTGATTTACGTGATAATAATGGAAGCAAAACAAAAAAGTTGATTACAATATTATATTGGTTTGAAACTAGTGGCTAAATTTTCAGACAGACCTTTTAGTTTTACCACCGCGAACCTTAGCAAAACAAAAAACTTTCGATACTTTGTATGTAAGATGTCACCATAAACATATCCACTAAAGGTAAATTACCAAATTGATCTTTTAAAAATCAGTTTCGGTCATTTTCAAAACTTTCTTTTTGATACTAAACACAAAATAACAAAAGCAAGAGACAGGATCAAAACAAAAACTGAAATTAAAACGACGAAGACGAACGCGTCGTGGTTCTCTAATGGCTTCTCTATGCTACCGTCCGGCTAGCGTGTAGTCGGTCAACGGCGAATTGACGTTACAACCGGCCAATCACAGCGCGTTTCAAAGTGGATTTAAATTTTACAATTTTTAATTGCCTATATTTGTTACATGGAACTACAAAATTATTTTTTTTGTGAACTGTGGTTCTTTTAATAGTATAAACTTAGTTTTATAAACAATATTTTTCAAATTAAAATGTTGTCAAGTTCCCAATTGCATAAGCAAAATTTTACGCATTTGTTCGACAAATATCAATTCCATAAGCATCCTGTCATTAATAAACCACCAAGGTGTAACAACGCACGAGAATAGTTAAATTTTCGCAGTTTTGTTCTAAAACGGTAAACCCACAAATATCCCTATGCAGAACATGTGGCAGTCGTTTAACAAAAAATAATGAAAATAATTAATTTCTCGAAAACTTCCAAAAATGATTATAAAGTGATTGAACGACGTCTCGTCGATTAAAACTCTTTTATCATATGTCTCGTTTTTCATAAGCGTATAACGTGTCATCTACCGCGAATCACTCTACATGTATACTAGGCTTTCAAATTACCATAATTTAACTTTTTAGTCACACTTATTCACGTGCACTAAATGCATGCGCATATATTGCACTAATTATATTCCGAACAAATACTCTTTAGGTGCGGTGTCACATTTTCATACGCCGATAGATGTAGGAGACGCGTCCATTAGCGATAAATTAATTATGACAAGAGATTGCTTTGTTCCTCTTCCTCTTACCAACAAACTAATCGCGTTTAATTTTATGTAAATTACTTGTCTGCATACTCTATGCTGTACCATCGAGAAATTTCATCAACTACGTCTAAATCGCTTGACTAGTCAATGCGCGGAACAGTGTTTTAAATTTACCGAAAATATCCGATCCCTCCCGATACGCTCGAAGTAGCTCGGGACAGTGTTTAATGAAGCTGACGTTTTGAAGTGACACCCGATCAGTGGGTAGAGGATTTTTATAACTGGATATAACGATAAGAGAAAATGCTCTGTGAAACATGCAAAATTTCAATATCCTAGTTGTATTTTATAATTGGTTATGACATCAACCTGTAACCATAGAAGTTATAAAGGGAAACCCAATCATCTCATCCACTGGGCGATCGAATGAACTTTGCAATGTGGATGAAATAAAGTTGATTGCAGTTAGTTGCAGCAATATCATAAACAATATCACTTCTACTTAAATGTAAAAGCATGTTTTCGAAATTATTTGCAAACGCCTGATAAGTGCAACTCTTTGACTTGATCAAAGTTGCTGACTTTGTTATGAAAACATTACCTATCCACGGTGTCGCACTGGGAAATTCGTCGATCTGCTATGAGAAAACTATAAGTGGCCAGACATCCAGACATATTTCATTTCACCATTCTTGAGATATCTATCATTTTATGTCAAACATTACGTTTGCAGACCGACCAATATCTGTAAATTTTTCCCACACGTGATCCTTTAAAAATTTGCTCTATTACTTACCTTGTAGAAAATGCTCTGTTGAATCAATTTAGTTAATAATTTCGGTTATTAATAAAACTGGATGTTGAAAAACTAGCGAAAATCATACTATCAACATTACTTTAATTCAAAATTTTGCTACTCATAGTTTTCCCATACCAGGTCGACGAAGTTCTCGGTGGGACATTTTGTATAAAATAGAAAATTGTAGAATTTCTATTGTAAGCACATAATATGTAATATTTACTTTCTTTATTGAAGACAATGAAAACAAATATTGAGAATATTAAGAAACAAATGAAAATATGAAATAAGTTGAGAATTACATAATTGATCAACAAAACAAAAAATGTCCTTTAAATATTAAATAAAAAAAACTGTTCAATAACACCAAACATGACTCCACCTCACCCCAACCCAGGGGTGGTGGGAACGGGTCAACTTTGAAATAAACAATAAAATCCCCCGTCTCTTACACAAAGTTTCTTTTGTATTCTGGGTAGATGGCGCTGAACACTCAAAAAACAAATAAACAATATAATAAATAAATCTTATGAATCCGACTTTAGTGTTATCATACCTCAGTTTTAACAATTTTTTTCTACTCTCGCCCATAACCTTCTCGCCACCAGTGGGTTGGACATTTGTTGTTTTTGAGCAATTGTGTAATTCTGTAGATATTTCACCGTTTCCGTACTATTTGAACATCTGATATATGCGAGGATATATGCTTCTCTATAGATGAAAATTTACTCGTGTGCACTTGACAGGCGTGTGCACTTTAGTTACGAATTAGGAGTGGCGGCAATTTTAGGGCAGTATTTTCTCAAACTGTGCCTAGATCTCGTTAAATGTTTTGGAAAACCGAGTTCAGTGTGTGGATATCGTGGTTTAAAAAGAGAATGGCGCAAAGTTCAGGTTAGTAGTTTTTACCGTAGTAGGGCCACTATATTATATAATACTATATGGCTCCGACAGTCACGTCATACGTCACTCGTGTTTTGCAAATGGTCGTAGAAAAAGTATAAAAAGCGTAGTATGCAACACTGGCACAAACCTCCTCAGTCACTTGGTATTAATCAAACTTTATCTATGAATGGCGTTTATCAAACTTGTTGCATAATATACTAATTAGAACTTTTATAGAAAAAGCTTCACAGCTGCCTAGCTGGCGATTCCAAAAATGGATCTTATTTTCCGGCCTGTTGCATATGCATTAATTTAGATACCTTCCGATCTACGCAGGTTTATTTTAAATTGAACTCTTTATCTCCTTGTTGTATAAGAAACACATTTTGCACTGAACTTGATCACACTTGACCAACTTTTACACTTTTGAAATTACTACATTATTCCTAAGAAATCGATTCGGTACAATAAGCGTGCTATTAGCTTCCGCAATTTACACTATTAACCGATAAATAACGTGTTAATGGCATGAGAAAAAAAACAATAAATTAATCTAGACCTACTTTACCGCATTTAATTATGACTCCAACACTCCTTGGTTTATGAATGCCATAAAAATTCCTTTCTTTGGTTAAACACAAAAATATTAGGTTTGCAGTCTTGACGATTTGACATTACAGGTGTGCCTGACTCACGTTTTAAGAATGATATTTTCGTCTTTTTGCAGCGATCGTTTTCAGTTCATTAGCCCGTTTTCTAAAGTTCACGGACTACATGCCGATTTCATGCAATTTATATTGCTGCGTAATGAATCTATTGCATAATTATTTGTTTACAAACAATTCGGGCGAAATTTTGATATCAAATTAACAGGACCGTGGTCTAGGCCTTCAAGAATTTGGATTGCTTATTTAGTGATTAGATTCACTAGTAACTGACTAATTATGATCCAGAATTAAGTTTTCTATAACTTGATGCAAGTATTAGTATTGTTTAAGAATTTTTTTATCGGTACTACTGAACGTACTTAATTTCGTTTTTTTTTAACTTACGATGGCATCGTCAACAACCCCGTGATATCTAAATATTTACTTTTTTAATTTTAATGTTACATGGCGTAGCGCTAAAAAAATAGCGTAAATTATTTTTTATTCCTATTTGTATATTATTATTGTTTGTCCTTTCTGATGATTTTGTTGACTGGGATTTTGAGATTTGAACTCGTTACTACCTTGTTCCTCAATTTTCATGTTAACTTACAACGCTCTTACTGTTGGGACTGATCAATTGACAGTCAATTGACCACTTCTTAATTGGCTAGTTAAAAAATATTTTAAATTAAATATTGCAATTGTAGAGTGTTATCTATCATTATTTAATAATAACAATATGTATTTTATTATCCTTTTGTGATGTTCAATTTACCTATAACCATCTTCAAGGAATATCCGAATACGATACTTAGCGATTCGGGGATCCCAATAATCATATCGACTCCATGTGGTTCTCAGAATGTCGCGACGGCGACGTTACTCACAATATAAGTAAATACAAATAAATAAATATTAATTTCATAGCATTTGTAAAATTATTTCGGTCAATCGACACAGAAAAATTTGACCGGTCAATTCCACAACCTAATCACTCTACCATAAGCCTTTTGCAATATTATAAAAATGAGCGTTTAGCGGCTAAAAGCGTTTTCTAAATTTTATTCCAGATTGAAAAAAAAACAACAAAATTATTCCGCACTTAAAAATAAATTCGCAATTTCTTTTTTACCTTAAATCAGAAAATTAATTTAAATTATACGATTTAAGGTTATTTCTAATCTTTTATTAAAAAGACATTTAACAATGGGAGACAAAAAAATTCTTAGAATTGGATGCCGATTTAGAAAGTAATTCGTTGCTGCGTAGATATTAATTTTTAAGTAATTTGCTATCATTAATTTTCTTCGTCAATATAGACATATTTAGACAAATAATCCAAATTTGAATACCATTCGAAGAAGAAAACAAATGGGAAAAACAACAAGCAATCTAAAACTGCAGAATACGTATCAACCGAATTATTTTTCGTGATACCGATACATAAAGAACCATCCCTTTTTCCATAAAGTTCAAATAATAAAATGAGCCAATCCTATTTCGATTTGAATTGTAATAAAGAGTCATCCTTGACTTATCAGAAGTCTTCGTGAAACAAGCTGCACCTATAGAAGAAAATGTGTTTTGTTAAATCACTTGAAAGGTCACGACTAACCTTTTTCATCTCAAGACTGTCTCTCCTCTTTATTTTCAATTTAAGAAAAAGTTATAATACGTAGACAATATGTAAGCAATTATTTTATAATTAAATTTTGTTTCAGGCAAGAAGGGAAGGAGTTTGGATAACATATGTCCCGTGGGTGATCCTCTACGTATAAGCGATACGGTCCGACCTTTTTTGTGTGGAAATGATCTTGGCAAACCAACATGTCCGCCCATGTATCAGTGTTTAGTACAGAAAGGTAGCTTCCAGTTTAAGTTTATGTTGCAAATGAAAACGAAAATTGTCCTAATGCTTTCCAGGCAATGATTATGGGGTGTGTTGCCCCGCATCATTGAAAATTCAGAAAACCGGAACGTGTCCTTCAGGATTAGATTCAGATATCGAGTGTGGTCCGCTTTGTACGCACGATCTAGAATGTCCATCGATACAGAAATGTTGTCAAAGTGATCAGTGTGGGTCGTCCTGCACTAACCCCACAAATCTAACAGGTATTCTTATCATATTGAATATATCTAAATTGCTAATAATCATGAAAAGTCCGTTTCAAAAACATTCGTTGACTTGTTCCACGTTCAGCCTTTATAATACTGTTTATCTTAATTAAAATTTTTATGGATATGTAGCCGAAATTGACGTAAAAGCACTAAAAAACGACGGAGGTTTATTAAGTCGTAAATTTGTGGAAGTGTTTTAACAATTTATATAGTACATTAAAAGTCAACCAAAATTTCTAAAACAGAAATTATAATAATTATCCTTCTAGTATATTTCAGAAAGGTTTAAAATAATAAAACGTGATTAAGTATGCTAAGTTACCCAAAAGATACTTAAGCGAATTTCAGTCCAGAATTCTTTCTTTTCATCGATTCACCATTCACCAAATCTGAACATTTTTAAAGCAAAACTAGCACTATCACTATTTCCATAAAAAACTTAATGGTGAAAACCGCAAATTAATATCTGGAGTTATAGGGTATATTTCGAAAAATGTACATTTTTAAACAATATCTGCAACTTCTTTGTTATTAAAAATTTTGTATTTCTATGAAAGCATCTCGAAAGGAAGCTATTGCAGAGAATTTATTGACTTTCGTACAATATTTCTAAAACTAATAGTTCATTAGTGATCAAATCGAAAGTTCAATTTTTTAAGGGACACCGTGCATATTTTTTAATAATTGAAAATAACTTGAAATTATATATTTTGGTAGAGTTTTTTTCAAAAGCCATATTGTGGGAGTAATACCCGAATTTGGTTGTTTATACGCCGAGTTTTCATTTTTAGCCTTTCAAATAAATAAAAATGCATTATCTTCAATTTCTTTTTTTTTATTTCATCGCTAACAAGTTGACAATTTTTTCTTTTCCCTTATTGTTTGAAATTGGAGTCTTCGCCATGCGCGGTGAATGATAGATTGCGTTATCGATAACTATATGAATCAGCTGGAATATTTTTTAGCACTTCACCACAATAGTCTTCAAAAATAACTGAATTCATGTCTTCGTAGTAATTTCTCCTAACTAAAAGTTTAGCAAACCTTTTTAAAAAATACCTCTTCGCTCCCAATTTCCTGAAAGCACCTTAATTCCCATTGATAGGATTTCTATGAAAGCTGGATGAGCATATTTTTACCTTGACAACGAAGCCTAATTATTGGTATCGAATCTACAATATAGATCAAAAATATTTTTTTCTACTCCCGTCTGTAAAATACCTAATTACACACCGATCTAGCATGCGGGAAGCGTCACTTTACCACTTCAGTTTCGTTTCCCAGGGATCCCAGCCACTTCGGACATTTCCGGGATTTTACCGCACAGATTTGAGAGCAATCGGATGTTTTCGGAGATATTTCCCACGCTTTGAATTTTGACGTTTGTCAATTCTGACAGGGAATGTATTCGTGTTATTTTGCGAAAATGTACCCAAAAACTAACGGTCGTAGAAAAAGTATAGTATGCAACACGTTCGGTAATAGTATATTATGCAACAAGTGCGGTAAACGGCATTTGACTCACGAGTTTTTAATAAACGAGTGAGTTAAAAAGTTTACCGAACGTGTTGCATACTATACCTTCCTACGACCGTTAGTGTTCGGGTACATTTTCGCAAAACAACAAGAATACATTCACTGACACGACCGTCAGAATTGACAAACGTCAAAATTCAAAGCGTGGGAAATATCTCCGAAAACATCCGATTGCTCTCAAATCCGTGCGGTAAAATCCAGGAAATGTCCGAAGTGGCTCGGATTCATGGGAAACGAAACTGACGTGGTAAAGTGACGCTTCCCGCACGCTAGATCGGTGGGTAATTAGGTGTTTTACAGACGGGAGTAGAAAAACGTTTTAACTCACTCGTTTATTAAAAACTCGCTCCGCTGCGCTCCACTAGTGTCAAATAAACTCGTGAGACAAATGCCATTTACCGCACTTGTTGCATAATATACTAATTATTGCACCGATATTGAACGGAACTGGACGGAATTTCCCATTTCATTAGTTCACATTTTTCTAAAACAGCCTATAATTAAATTTTTAATTATCCTACAATATATACCAAACATGTCTGAAATAGCATAATGTGACGTTTCGTCTTGTTAGAATGTTTCCATCAAAGGGAATTATCGGAAATTCTGTCCGTAAATGAAAGAGCGGGAAGGGGCTATGTCCCTCAGTGTTCGGAGGATGGTCAATTCGAACCCAAACAATGCAGCAGGAACGAATTAGTCTGCTGGTGCGTCGATCGAATGGGAAGAAAAATTAAAGGATCCATGGGCCCCGCCGAGAACGTAAATTGTTCGTTAGAAAATTGTGAGTGATGTTTCACTTACCTTGTGAGTACCGGGCATTACATCATGTATACTATTTTCAGTACGTGTCCATTCGGTAGCCAGGAGTCTGGACAAAAATGGCCAAGAGTGCGAGCATTTAGAATGTGCGGCGATTTGCGAATATGGATTCAAACTTGGTGAAGACGGCTGCCACACCTGTAAATGTGACGATCCCTGCGACGGTTACACTTGCCCGGAGGATGAAGAATGTGTTAACGTGAAGGAGTCTTCTTGTACTGAATTTTTATGTCCGTCGCTGCCTGTATGTAAGTACACTTATTTACCTGGGATGTAAATATTTAATACATTTCGGTATCGTAAAGGGGCGGCAAGTACTGTAGGGCTTTCATGGTCAACACCTGAGTTGACAATTTTGCCTCGTAGCTTTCTACTGTCATATTAACCATATATATTGAGATACTGTAACAAATTTACACGAATCGGGAAAATGCCATCCATAAAGCTATAGAATTCCTCTGGTCTGTGTCTTGCGTTGAGCTTCAAACAAAAGAATATATAATATATATATAAGAATATATAATTTTAATAAAGCTAATTTTGACGATACCTACCTATCAGAAATAGACAATTTTTAAGCGCGGCGATAGAGAGGATGTTAAGAACTATAGGGCTATAGGAATGTTTTGTGCCTTTGGCAAAATCGTAGAGAAACTCATCCAAGAACAACATGTTTTTTTTCCAAGGAGGTCTCTCGATACAAACTTACTGAGTTTCTCTGAATGTGTTACTAGGGCAATTGACAGTAAAGGGCAGGTTGACGTAGTCTACACCGACTTCAGTAAGATATTCGACAAGACAGACCACCAAATATTGTCGACTAGGCTTGCAGAGGTCGGGGTTGAGGCCGAAATGGTTTGATTGTCCAGTAATTATAATTATAAATAATTATAAAAATTAAGAGTGACAGTCGATGGATACAAATCGGAGTTTTTTGACATCACCTCCGGTGTACCACAGGGCAGTCATCTTGGCCCTTTGTTTTTTATAATATGTAATAATTCAATACAAAATTGTCTCAAACATTGTAAAATACTACTCTTCGCCGATGGCTTCAAAATATATACCAAGATTGAAACCTCCGATAACTGTCTAAATCTCCAAGAAGACCTTCTGCGCTTGGAACAATACTGTCAAAATAATCATCTTTTCCTGAATCGAGCTAAATGTATTAGCATAACCTTCACCAAAAATGTGAAAAACTTAGAGGGAGTGGCAGAAATTAGACGCTGGACGAAAAGAAGATTTTTAAGACTCATATGGATAGAGTAATAATCGAATCGAATAAAATCACAAATTTCAGATTTTAAAAACCCCAAATCTCCCCTTGCAGTGTACTATGCGTTTGTTCATAGTACGCTTTCGTTCGCTTCAGTCTAATTACATCGTCCACATCACGCGTTTGGAACGAGTACAAAACAGATTTTTAAGATATTTTGCATACAAAACTAACACTAATGTTGAAAACCATAACTACAACCACATTAGATCAAAATTTAAAATTCTAACTCTCCAAAACAAAAGAACGCAAACAAATTGTTGCGATCAGGTTGACTCTCCTTACGTCTTATCAAAACTTAACCTACGATTACCATGGCAGAATGCAAGAGACAGGGCTCTATTCGATGTCGACCACTACCGAACCAACATCGGACAGAACTCTCCGATCACTAGATTATAAAATATATCTAATTTTCATAACTGCTTTCTTGATGTCGATATTTTTGTTACTCATATTAAAGGTTTTAAATGCAGGATGAAAAAATATTTTCTAGTTCTAATACGACATAGAACACCCTAATTAAAATATGAATTTGTAATAGTTTTTATATTATTATATCACTGCATCATGCTATATTCACATACGCTTATCAAGCAAAGTGTAGAAACCAGCAAACCACATACAGGTGTTTTTTAAAAAGCTATTGACTTTTCCAAATTGGTTGATCTAAGATCAGATGTGCGCCAGGTGACACTTTAAAATGCCAGCTTCATTAAGCACAGTCGCAAGTCAATTTGAGCGTTGGCAACGATCAGATATTTGAAGCACTGACAGTATGTTTGTATTCTGTTCATTGTCGTAGAAATAGTATTGTAATCAACACGTTTATAAACTTCGTCAGAGACTCATTTAATAAACACCCGCTGACAAACCTGTGACTACGGAAACTAAAACTGTGACGGAGCGAATATTTAAGCGACTCAAATTCTCAAATTAAAGTGACACTTTGAGCACGTTTGATTAGTGAGTGCATAAATGGGTATTTTAGTCTAGGAATGTGTTTGCTTACAGTCTGTACTAAGGATGACAAATATTTTAAATTTAAACCAATCTTAGATTTTGATTTTTTTGCGAAGATATTAAATACATCATTTTCAATGTGTTGATTTATTTCTAGGCCGGCCAAAAACTGTGTATGCAAATCCCTGCGAAGAGGGAACGCCGCTGACCGACGACCTGAGCGGTGCACCAGTGGCGTGCGCATTGAGGTCCGAAGATGGAACAGTTTGTCCGTCTTCTTACGAATGTACTGCCGTGCCCGGATCTACCCAAGCCGTCTGCTGTCCATTTGGGGAAGTCGACGAATATCAGGGCGAAGCATCTGAAGATTACAGTCAATCGGAAGAAAGGCCCCAAACGAGTGAGTTTTTAAAACATGTGTTTTGGCAACAAACACGATATTGGCGTTAAGCGATTTCTTATGGTGATTATGGGACAGTGTTTATTATATTAATAACACTGAAGAAAAGATTGTATACCTTTTTGATATTCATGACCCAGTTAAAACAGTTATTCTGAGCAAACTCTTTGTGCCATGCTTACAGACGCAGTAAAGCAGATAAGAAACGAGAGACGTAGAGCAAAAGAACAAGACTGTCGAAAACTGGAATAGATACAATAGTCTACGTAACTATACTTTGTTTTCCCTCAGACTTCAAAAAGGTGCATATTTAAAATTTCTTACCTCTGAAGATGCTGCTACCATCTGGAGACCTTTAAGAAGAATAAATATCATGTCAAGAACTAATTACCAGCAAATTTGCAAGATCCACAAATTATTAACAAATATTTCTTATCTACTTTTTCCAATCCAATAGGATAAGTAATTCTGTTTTTGATTTTGTGGTATCCTTTCAAGAAGACACTAGCAGAATCATAAAACAGATTAAATCCAATGCTGCGGGATGTTACACTATTGATTTGCTTATGGTCAGACTGTGTCTCCCGGTCATACTGAATCACTTGACTCATATTATAAATATTTGTTTAGAGACTGCGTATTATCCATCCATATGGAAGGTTGCTTCTCCATCATGCGTCAATGATCCTAGACCAATAAGCGTATTATCTGTGCTCAGCAAGATGTTAGAGAAGGTTGTTCATCAGCAAATACTTTCGTATACAACTAATCATAATATAATTCCATCAAACCAGTCAGGTTTAATAAAAAATTTAGATAAAAATGTTACTGAACTTACTTGACTTTTCACGGCAATCGGCAATCGAGTGTATCATGAGTTATTGCGCGCTAAACTAAAGCACAGTCGTATTTAAACAGTAGGCAGTAGTTCGTTAGAACTAATATCGGTATATCAGATTTGTTATTTCGGGAGTGCCACAGGGTTCAATTCTTGGACCTCTGTTGGATCTCTTGCACAGATTTTATATGTCTAAGGAAGTCAAATTTTCTCAAATTTATATGCAGATGACACCCAGCTGTTACGTACGTTTATCTCAGCTAAGAGTGATAGCTGTGAGTGAGTGTGGCTAATCTTAGGTTGGATCTTAAACGTGTTTCTCAGTACAGCAAAAAACACCAGCCAAATTCTAAAAAAACACAAATTATGTTATTTGCTCCCCCTGCTAGCAATAATTTTTTGCGTGATCATATTAAAATTCAATTGGGAAATGAAGATCTTCAATTTACAAATGAAGCAAAAAGCTTAGGAGCAATTGAGGTATAGTGGCTACATTTTTAAGTTATGTAAAAAGACCTCAAAACGCTATATGCAAATAAACATTTATTGAATTTTAAAGTACAAAAAAAACTCTCTGAGGAATTTATCCTTTCTAAAGATATATACTGCCTTCCATTATACTATCCATTCTTTACCGTTGCTGATAATCTTCTAGGGCTAGCTAGACCTTGCCGTTTGAGATGTGTAACTATATCAGTTTGTATTAAGTAATTTTGTGCTAACCTTATTAATTTAAATTATCTCAATAAAAACTATTATTATTGTTATTATTATAAATAATAATATTATTATTATAATACAATGTTGCATTGTAGTGTGCGAATATCTTCATGAATTTACTGAAAGTATGGAGGGAACAAGGGAAGGCATGAGCCTAGCTCTCCCCACTCCTGAGTGTGACTCAGAAGGCAACTATTTTCCGACGCAATGCGATCCGGCAACAGGTGATTGTTGGTGCGTTGATAACTTTGGCACTGAAATACCACGTTCGAGGTAAGAACATTTTTGATTTTTGAATTGAATCGAACTTTCACTTCACTTCGAAATAGAATTTCATTTTTTGGCAAAAGATGACCAACCTTTTGGTGATCACCTGATTTATCAACTCTATATCAAAAGCAGCGATTCTATTGACACGACACAACATATTTTATATTATATTGATTTTGCATATCTTCCTTATAGAACGAAGGATAACTCAACAAATTGTTTGGATCTGAGAAAATCTTTGGATTGCCTAGATCTGACTTGTAGAATGGGTTGCGAATACGGTTTTATTTTGTCTGAGGAAACAAGCTGCCCAACTTGTCAATGCAGAGATCCATGTGCCGGTGTTTCTTGTAAAGATGACGAGCAATGTCAGCTAGTTGAAGTTAGCTGTAAAGATCACTATTGCCCACCTGTACCTGCATGTAAATTCGATATATAGATGCAAAAAAATTTTTAAGTTTATTCGCCAATTGCAGGTTTGCCGAAAAAAGTTGGACAATGTCCCTATCTAGTCCCTGCTACGTCGACCACTTGCGACTTCGAATGTAACTCCGATCTTACATGCAATAGCACTATGAGATGTTGTTCAAATGGTTGTGGAACTCAGTGTATTGAGCCCCTTTTATTCACCGGTATGCCTCATTTTCAAACTAAATTAAAATTAACTAAATTAATCATTTTTAGCCTGCCAACATCAGAGAACCCTTGCACAGCATCAAGCACACGAGTCAGGTATTCCTGCGGGAAAAGTCTATATTCCAGCATGTCGGGTTGACGGCAGTTATGAACCAAAACAATGTCACCCCGGTACCAAGGAATGTTGGTAAGTGTTCGTACATATACAAGGTGTTAAAAGAGTACGTTATTTTAAGACATATTTTAAGGCAAAAAGTTGAAACACCTCCGCAAATGCATACAAGGTATAAGCATTTAACAAAATTCTAGACCCGATTTTGGTTATACTTGTGAAAACAGTGATTTTTACAATAATAATAAGCTAATATAGCCCAATTAAATACAAATTGTAAATTCCATTAACGTAAATGAAGACTGTCAAAGTATTTTTTTGTAGGAAGCAACTGAAAGTTCTTTTTTTTTTGTCTTTTGTTTTTTTTTTCCTAACTTGTGTTAAAATGTTAATATTTTTTTTATGTAAAAAAATGCTTGTGTGGTTTCAGGGGAGGATTTTTGCTATACGACTTTTATTTTTCGATTCGAAAACGAAGCGATATGCATTAAAAAACCTGACGAACAATTTTTAATTCTAAAACAATGCGAACATTTTTTTCGTCAAACTTTTTTAACTTTGACACTCTGGACTCGCATTTCCAAACAAACAAAAAATAGGCTTAACGAAAATCAATGACCATTAATTAATTAATAAACTAAAAGGTTTACATGTCTTTTCTTTACATATTTTGTCTCTTATAGGGTTTAAATTTGAATATGGGATTCCCCTGTAGAAAATAATCACAAAATAGTACAAATTTACAGCAAAACCGTAAAAAAGCATATTCGACTTACTTTTTTTCCAAAAATTTGTACATTTTTAGGAAATTTTGACAGTATTAACTCCTCCTTTCCTCAAACGTAACTTCTGCTGCTATCTTTGCAAAAAGTATTTGCGATTTTACAAACTTTTTCTGTGATTTTGATGCCAAAAATTTTTTTTATTTACCGAGTAAAACCAGATTGAAATCTATTGGAAATTGTAGAATATCCCAATTGTTTTCAATTATGTTTAGTGATAAGGCAAATAGGTGGCGCTAGTGTACAGCTCACGGCTTGAATCCCGGATAGTTCTATATGAAATATAACAACAAAGACGTATAAACAATCAATTGATTATTATCGTTCTCATTCTCAATCGTCATGTAAATTTTAAAAGAATCTGTGACGGGCTTCGAATTTGTAATCTGTTTTCGAATAAAGTTACATTCTGCAGAATTAGGCCTTGGTAAGTTATACAGTCCACTTAAAAATCCAAAACTTGCTGCTCATTGCAAAAATCCTTTGCGATTTTAAACATTTTTTAAAATAAAACTGAAGTGACGAAAAGAACAAAGTATAATAAATATATAAACATATATGTAATATTCAGGTGTGTCGACGAAAAAGGTTTTGAATTGTCCAAAACAAGAACGAGAGATGACAACATATCTTGCCATTTGGAACATAAAACAGACGAATGCAATTCTTTTAAATGCGAAGAAGATTGCGAGCATGGCTTCGAAATTGACGAAAATGGTTGCCGAACCTGCGAGTGCATAGATCCATGTCAGAAGATTTCTTGTCGTGGTAGGTGATGCTAAATTTGTTCGCACCGAAGAGTTAAGAAGTAAACTTTGCCAGTTGGTAATAATAAAGTAAAGTTGATGATTGAATAATTAAATCACCAAATAATAGATAAATCATCACCAAAAATATTGTGCCAAATTGATCCTTTCAAGATCGTCAATGTATTCATTCATAGATTCCATAAAAAAATATACCTTGATGATGGCGTAAAATACAACATAAATTGAATAAAACTTTTTTATTTATTTATGTATTATTTTTATTTATTAATTATTAAATTTTTTATTGACAGCTGTCGATTTTTTTGTTAAAGCATCGTTTGAAAGGTCTTATTCCACAGAGTGTTATTTTGCTATAAAAACAATGCAGAGTTTATTTTCCATGATACCCTTTTAGCACTTATCCAGATATCCTGAAATTGAGCCTGATTTTCAAATTAATGGTCACCATTAAAAAAAAAACTCTTTAGAAACATGATAAAATTTAACCTAACTGGGTCGCTATTTAAAAAAACCTTGTTATAAACATGCCAAAAATTTTTGAAATATCTGAAATAAGAGCTTTGAAATGATATATTACAAGCCATATTTTGTCCTTTAAATATATTTTTAAGATCTGGAAAATTTTGACAAATGAAAAACCCTGCTGAAGTGTCCGAGCAATTTATAAAAAAATAGATTTAGTTTTTTCATGTCCTCGCTGTATATGAAGATTACAAGTTTTATTATGTTGCTTATTATTTGTTTTTTTATATACCAAGAAAATTCGTTTTTAATGATTATATGTAGGAGAGGGCGAAACCTGCCGTCTAGTTTCCGTGGAATGTACGAACTGGCCATGTCCATCGGTTCCCATGTGTCTGCCAAAGAAAGAGAACCCTTGCCAAAATGGGGAACCCTTGAAAGTAGGAAATAGCGACGAATTGTTTATTTGCGGGCCGGAATTTGAAAGTTGCCCTTCTTCTCACAAATGTCAATTGAGCCCCGTAGGAGAATATGCCGTCTGTTGTTCAAAACCAAGTAGGTATATTAATTAGGATGATATTTTTACCATTTGATAATTTTCTTATTGTATTTTATATTTTACACCGTTAGAAAATGAGCACTAAGCAAAATTTCGCATGAAAGTATATTATTGGTATAGTAGTCCCACAATTATAAGAGAGGACTAACTTATAACCCAAATGCTTTTATTATTCTGCTGTTACTCAAAATGTAAATTTTACCGCCCAATACTTGACCTTTTGCTTTGTTATTCTCCTCAATCCTGCGAAAGCTTCACTTAAAACACTTCTGTTGTAAGTGATCGCCCTTTTGGTTCTTTGCACTCTTGAAGTCCGTAACTTGGACTCAAAATTTTCAACCCACCCTCTGAACATCATATTAGTCAATAATAACAGAATATTAGTAGCATCACTGATCATCTCTAAAGGGAAAATTAATGTTAATGAAAATAACGTATACATATACATAACTGATACGTATACAGATACCTCTGTGCTGAGAAACGCTTGCCTACCAAGTCTTATGGTCTGGACTGTAGATAAAAATAACCTGATCAAGTTTTGATCACTAATGATCACCTAATCTAAACTTTTTTCGCATTATGTTAAGATTTAAAATAGAAAAATTATAGAGATCTTTTTATCGCTGCCAATTCAGCGATTTTCAATGAATCAGTGTTCATTGATTGCTTGTTTATACAAATAAATAATTTTCAGGAGATGTTTGTTTCGAGCCACTCGATATTGGAAAATGCGAAAATTTGGAAATATCGAGGAACCTCACCCGATATTACTTTAATTCCAAAACAAACAGGTGCGATTCTTTCGTTTACAACGGCTGCGGAGGAAATCATAACAACTTTCAGTCTGAAACAATGTGCAATACTGTGTGTCCTGGTAAGTTTGTCACATCGCACTCTCAATTACCTTTTTTTACTGTCATGTATGCATTACTAAAACTAATATCTGACTCAGTATTTGGCGTTCCAGCCAATTCAATGGCGATTTCGATATAAGAATGAAGAATATCTATTAAAGTTAAAAAAGAATGTATAAGTAACATTTGATATCAAATGCGCTTGGAAAACTCTACCAAAAACAGTCGTTCTAGGATTGGGCTTTCCACTTTAATTTCTAATAATGCTTCTTCTTTAGTAACGGTCTCTAAAACTTGGGACACTGTGAAGATCTTCGCTCCTTAGGTCTTACAACATAAAACTTAAAACAATCAAAGTGTAAGCATTTTCTCTTTCTGGTAAATATAAATTAATAAAATCCAGTAGAAATATATATCAAAAATTCAATTTTTACATAAAAAATAACGTTATATGTACACAGTCTGGAAAAGTTAATGCTAAGTGTACAGTTCGAGTTTAATTAGCAACATATTCAGATTCATCCTGGTAGTATGAATGGTGAGTTTCAGTTTCTTAAGAAAATCACATGTTTTAATTTCTTGGTCGAGTCACGTACATATTATTTGTCAAGCATATCTACACGAAATAGTTGAGAGGAATTAAATCTTGTAACCTAGGTGGCGATTCAGTCGTCTCTTGGACATAGCATGCACACTGTATATTGCTTTCTTACTTAAATAAATTCGATACTTAGTAAAAATGCTTTTAAAAAAATCGAAGTTTTTTTTACAGGTTATAACTTGGTGAAATTTATTCATCACCTTACGAATTATTTTTTTATATTGTCCTATTTTCAGTGTTAAGCCAGTGTGAACGTTTGCGCGAGAAAAATCAACGAGCGGCAGAACGTTATAAGAAACCCACATTTGCTCCACGATGTGATCCAGAATCGGGCAATTGGTTACCAATTCAATGTCTGGAACACGTTGGAGTTTGCTGGTGCGTGACTCCGCAAGGAGAACCACTCAAAGGAACATTAACAAGAGGCGCGGAACCAGAATGCAACTTCAGACAAGCGAGGCATTGGGCAAGCGATAGATCTGACTTTGCCAGTGAAGCGGACCTGGGTAATTGAATGTCAAATACTAAAACTTAGTCGAAACTCCACATTTGTCATTCTAGTTTTGGAGGAATTGATGATGCAAGTGGGTTCGTTTGACGGCAACGATATGTCTGATAATTCGGATTCGATAGACCAAGACCTGCCCTCAAAAACTAGATGTCAAGCATTGGGAGGTCAATGTGATGGCGAAGGAAAGTTCCTTCCGACTCAGTGCGAGGATGATACTTGTTGGTGCGTGGATGAGGCCGGAAATCAGTTACCCGGGACCAATACTTTTATCGGAAGAGAAAAAACGTGTTGCAAGTTGCCCGCTAATAAACCGATTTCAAAATAATGATATGTCAATTATTCTAGACGCGACACCATTAGAAAGTGCCGAAGTTACATTGGGATTCCACGGCGAATTTGATGACGTATCCTCCATACCTGTAGTCAATCAAGTTACTAAAATAGTGAAAGCGCTTCATGGAAATTTTAAAAGCGATGGCATTTCGACTGAAATTGCACCAGACGCGCTGTATGTGAGGTTTTCTCTCATCGGAAACAATAAAGTAGATGTCGCCTATAAATTGGAACAAATGGTGAGTAGGGTTTTTTCTATCTTTGCGCAGACTGCGGTCACAGTTATTTGTTTTTAAGTTACATAACCGATGTTTCAAATTTGACGATTCCAGAATAAAATCCGAAACCCAATAAAATTGTTAATTTAATTAATTAATTGTTAATTTAAAATTAGAAAAAACATTCGTTTGGTGGTCATTTGTGACCACCCTGTAAAATCTATTTCCGCCATGGATAGATCCATATAAAAATTATCAATAAAAATTCCCGATATTAGTTTTCAAGAGAAAAAAAACACATTTTTCCAAAGACCTGCTTTTCCGTAAAAAAATAGCATAGTACTAAAAATTTCGTACCCTACATAATGACAAACAGTATTCAAAACCAAGCGAATAATTTAATTTTTGAAAATACCTTTTTTGTATTAAACATTTGTCCTCAGTGTCGTACTTATTGAGATAAGGTATAGGAACATCCTAAATGGACCACTCTGTACATGTGTCCACGGTTATTTTTTTTGTTTTACGGTTTCAATATTAAAGTGGTAAAGTGCAATTTTTGTATTTTCGAAACAGTTAAGCAATAAAACATAACACAATTAAATTAGAACAAAATATGTTCAGATTTTTACAATTATTCATTAGTTTATAAGAGCTGTTTCGACGACACCGTGCCTTTGTCAAACACAAATTATGACAAAATAAATTTAAATTTAACAACGGAGACACATTTAAATCCAATTGGTCATTAAGTAATAGATTCGAATATCTAATTTTATTAATCTCCATGGCTTCCAACAAATTTTTTGTTTCATTATATAAAATATTAAAATTACCATCAAACTTGTGCATTTCTGAATTTAAATGAAGGGCGTAGTTAGCCTCCGAACTTTTATTTTTATACGTTAAATGTTCTACCTGTTTGTCCGATATAAATTATGGGAGATGATCCACATTTCAGCTTATAGACTCCGGATTTTTGAATTTTCCGTAATTTAGTTTTATTGCTTTTTAAAAATTTTCCAAGTATGTTTTCAGGTTTAAAAGCAATATTAGGAACAAATTTAGATAGATGGTTCCAAATTTGCTGGCTAGGCTCTCCTATGTATTTTATTGTTTTTATAAATTTAACAACTAACAAAGAGGGTTTCGTAACCATTGTTAAATGCTACTTATTTTCTAATATTTAATTCTTTTTCAAAGGACGTTTCTGTAGGATATTTTCCACATTGTCCATAAAAATTTCTGCAAGTAGTGGACTAAGTGGATTTGCTCTAATTAATCCTTCTGTGGCAATATTGACCATTTAATTCAAAATAATTTTGATCTAAACAAACTATTAAACCATCTAACAAGTCTTGTTTTATGATAGGTTGACTTGTCTCTGAGTAAGAATATTGTCTATTATGTTTACCACAATCGGTGAAATGCTAGGAAATACATTGGCCTTAGGAGGAATTCGAACGAATTTTTGATAACATATCCAGGTTTAAAGGCCATATGGTATTCTAATTTTTTTATTAATTTTGTTGAAAGTTAAACTGATGGTGCTTTTACAAAAGAAACTACAGGCCTTATTGCCGTATCCTGGTTGTGTGATTTAATTAAAGAATATAACTTTGGAGGTTGGGGATTTATGATTATTAATTGGTATTTTTCCTCGTCATTAAAAAGTGATGAATTTGGAAATATAATTCAATTAATTCGGAACTCTATCTGTCTCATATTAAATACCGAATCCAAAATTTCGAAACATATATATATATATATATATATATATATATATATATATATATATATATATATATATATATATATATATATATATATATATATATATATATATATATATATATATATTGATTTCGGAATACTAATAATAATAATTTAATAATTTTAAGTGTACGTACATTATTTAAACAAATATTAAAAAAAAGGAATCCTCCCCTTGTGTTCATCTATAAAATTTCACTTTTTTATGCACCACACCAGTTCCTTTTCTAAAAAAAGTTAGGCTTAAAAGCGCCTCCTCCTTATACCTACTATTGGTTTTTAGGTCATGCAACAGCGATTACCGGGGCTGACTGCGGACATCTCACGATCCCGGGTGATACATAAATTGTTGCCACAGGCCCCTACACTGGCAGAAAATCTTCTGGCACTGGAACACAGAGAGATCGTGTCCCAAGCGCCTGTCTCCGTAGTTGCTCCCTATCACACAGCACTGATCGTGATTGCTGCCTCATCGGCATTTGTAATATCGGTATTAACCGTTTTGGTTATTTTATATAGAAGAAAGGTACGTGAAACGGCCTCTCTTTTGTCGGTATTTTGCATTTTGTTTTCAGATGAATAATTTGAATACTCAAAAGGCGACAGAAGAAAACAAATTCACGTCAAACAGACCAATTTATATTGAACTGCCGAACGAAAAAAATTGCACGAACGTCGCGAAACTGGAAAATGTTTAGTTCGTTTATTCTGGTGGAACGTGCCTCTACCCAAGAATTATGTTTGCGGTGTGATGACTGCGGAATACTCTGGACGATTGACAATAATCTTCGGCCTCTAATAAATCCGTTAATGTGAGAGTTAGAAAAAAATAAGCGAATTGTTTTGTTTTGGTATGATATAGCTCACTGGGTGCAATAGTGGCACATCCACGAAACACTGTGATTTAAGAAAATGAAAACTAAAATATTGAGATAACTGATATCAACTATCCTACTTATTACAAAATTTATATAGTTACATGTCTTTATAATTATATTTTTATTTGTATTATTCTCTTTTAAAAAATATATATCTTGTTTGAGTTCTTTTTTAAATGTTTTTAAATTTTTTGCAGTTATTAATTTTGTTTTGCACACATGAATTTCCCAATACAAGTGCGACATTTTGATAAAAAAAAATCTGAATAAAATAGTAGATTAAAATTTCAACATCATTTTATTATAAAAATACGTATAAAGGTATAATAAGGGCAGGTTCATTTGTCAAAGAGGTACACAGTAGCAACTTAAAAAAAAAATCTAAACTGGAAATTAATAAAAACAAAAAAAACATCGAAAAGCTATAACTAAAAAACAACCAACCTATAGTTTTCAATACATGTCGAAGCAGGTATTATTTCTAAAATTAAAGAAACAACTATCAGATAAGTAGTCTTTTAACACGTAAACAAACAACGGATCTATAGTTTTTAGTAGAGAGCTACTGTCCTCAAAATCAAAATACTAGTTCCGAGAAAATCATTGACTTAGGAAAATAAATACTGAAATATTGAGATAACTCATATCGACTCTCCTACTTATTACAAAATTTATAGTGATATTTCTATATAATTATATTTTGATTTGTATTATTCTCTTTTTAAAACAAAAATTACTTTTTGAGGTTCTCTTTAAAATGTTTTCCAAATTTTGTGCCGTTATTCATATTTTTTTTGTGAACACCAATTTCGCAAATCAAATGCGATATTTTAATAAAAAAATTCTCAATAAAGCTGTAGATCAATATGTTAACAAAATTTTAAAAATTATAAAAATACCTATAAAAATATAATTCAGAAGGTTCATTTGCGAGATAGGTACATAATACTAACTGAAAAAAATCCAAGCTGGAAATTAATAAAACACTTAAAAAAATGACTACAAAAAACATCGAAAGTAAGCAATAAAAAAACAACGGCAAAACCAAATGAAAATAAACAGAAAATACTATTTCAAAGAACATTTCAGCCTATTATAAAAGTGACATTTTTTAATGCATTACTTTTTAGCAAATCCATTAAATCATTAAACTTTTTCTTTGGAATTGTTATAACATCTCAAAAAGCACGGCCTAGATTGACATTTCCAAAAGATGTAAAAGTCGCGACTGCTCTTATTTTTCTTTGCTTAATGCTAATGCTTCCGTGGTCAGTTTTATTAAAAAATGTTTTATAGAAAAATGTGTCAGAAGCATCTTTGTCTACTTTGAAAACACACGAGTCATTTATTTTGACGATATCATCTGAATTGTCCCAATGACAGTTGCGCGAAAGATCGTTAAAAGACGCGGGAAATTCAATAGTGGAACTCTCTCTAGCGGAACTTGTAGTGAGCTAATTATGTGCCGATATTGTTCGTAGCTAAAATACAAATATGCGAGTTTTATGATACAATTAACTAAATATGGATATATTTTGGAAAGTGCCATTATTGCACCCAGTGAGCGACATGTCAGTGGTCTTCATTAGCAGTGAATTATTGCAGCATTGATGTTCCACAGATCGGCGTGATGTATTTTAACACAACCGGTGCTAAAGTTTTTGTGAAAGAGTGCAATCCAGAATGAACAATTGAACTTTTATGATCAATGCGACACGGTTAAAATTTGGAACAGCGCTGTGCCAGTATTGCACTCACGTTTATCAGTATACATTTCTAGAATGTTTTATTAAAATACGCCAGCTGCAACTTAGCTTTCAGAAACTACATTGGCGAGCAAAAAAATTTATTCGCTCAAGAGATTACAAATTTTTCGGGAAAATATTATCGAATCGTCCAATCTGGTAGGTGGTAAATTGAAATGAATTTAAGATTCAATCGGAAAACCTTACGTCGGTCTTCATGATTTTGTCGGAAAACAAAATGTCTATTATAAACAAAACCAAATTATTTTTTATTTGTAACGAGTAACAATTAACAATATTGAGAAAAAATCAAAAATACACCAAACAATCTTAAGTTTTATGGTGATAAATGAACAATAAACTGCGTTATTTCATAAAAAGTCGACTACGCTGAAAATAACTCACAGATAACAAATACCTCCATTCGCATTTGTTTTTTTTCCAAATTATTTCAAATTTCTTGAGTAACCTAAATTTTTTGCTCGCCAGTGCTGAATATTTGATATATCTGTTTATACACATTAACAACAATTTTGAATTGTTAAATATAATTCTCAATATTCATTTCCTGGCTTGCTATATTCTTGCATTGGAGGGTTGTATGTTATAACCTATTATTTTTAAATTCATATATGGATAAATAAAAGATCCTTATATTTTATTATAATATTTATTAACAATAAAGAAAATAAAACAATATTCAAGACGAAATACCGAATTACCATTCACTAGTTAGTTTTGGTTAGTTAGGAATGCTGAACGGCAGCAAGATTGTACCACAGACATTATTTAATTTTTGTTATCAGAAATATTTGAAGATTCTACAGTTACTACATCTATGTTTATGTATTTCACCTATTTGCGTATACTTTATATAAGAACTCATATATCTGCCATTTGAATAAATTATAATTGCAGAGTGAAACGTCGAAGACTTATTGAATTTCTAAGATAAATTAGTTTAGTTTTATTCATCCGGCTGATGTTTATTTATTGTTCATTAAAATTTGTAAATACATTCTGAACGAAGCGAGTATTATTGTATACACTGTTCCCAACAATATACCGTCTTTACGACATAATCCAGTATTTAACTTTGGTAAATTTTTATGAAGGTCTAACCATAGGCCTAACTATCTTATTATTATTTATAAACCTCAATAAATAGATTCGCAATTCCACAATGACGTTCCAGAACCGTACTTCGGTACTTCGTGCATACAAATGCTGAAAGTATACTCCGATTTTACCAACCCTCACAAATCGACCAACAGCAGACTGGGAAAACATCCATTGTAAATCAATTATCTACATAAGATATTGGCAATCAGTTTTAGCTTTCTAATGTGTTTTCAATATAGGAGATCAACCTATCTAATGGGCAAATTCCACTTGAAATCGAGCAACCTCAAGTAGGGACTGTTTTAGAATATTTATTAAAAGCACACTAATATGAATCAATATAAGAGTTTAATCAAAGAAAAAATTATTAATTATTAAAATGCACAGTTCTTGTCGGCTCACATAATAAATACGGCTATTGCTCATGGTAAACGTGCTGAAAAGAATGGTCCCTTCCGCTTTACAACAGGTGGGTCTTAAACTCATCCCGAAGTCAAAACCGTAAAAGGTCGTAAAAACGGTATATCGTTGGGCGAACTCTGCCTACCCCTCCATGTGCGGCTATTTCGTTTTTGCTTTGTGTTCCGATTTCTCTTCAGTTGGTGAGAATATACCTACTAATAATTAATATGTAGGTATAAATGAAAAAGAAAAACAGATTTGTCATATAGTATATGCTATTTTGAATAATTTGAACAATTTTCACGAATTTAAAATATTTGATACTAATATTTTTATACCTTAAAAGCCTGTCCAATACTAAAAAAAATTAACGGATATATTTTATACTAGATTGTCCATGAACTTCTTCAAAATAATTTTTCAAAACTAAAATATTCTTATTACAAAGCAAGTTTGACATTCAAAAAAAGAATATAACGAATGTTTCCCTATATCCCAGCTCGCTCTGTACTTATGAAACCAATTGCCTTTTTAAATACAAGTTTTAAAAGAAAAGAAAATAAATATACCGGGTGACACCAGAAAGTGGGAACAACTTTTAAACGGCTTGGAAGGGTTAATATAGGCTGAATGTCCAATTTTTAGAGTAACTCTCGAATTTTAAAGGGCACACCCTAAAATATTGTGTCTAGGAGGCTGTGACCATCATAAACACTATTTACCGGGTCACCTAATCATGGGAAAAATTGTAAATGAAAATTTTCTATGGCAGATAGCATTTAAAGTAACGAACTACTATTTTTTTATTATAACCTAGTTTTTTCAAATAGCATCCTAGTGGGAACGAAAACTTTTTAAAACCGGTACTTTTTTTGCAACATTTTGACACCAAAATTTTCAAAATCCGTTAAAAAATAAGCTCACCGGAAAGAAAAATCAGATAAGCAAAAACAAAATATTACTTAGGTGGCTTTGCTTCTATTCATTATTAATTGTCAATTGTCGGTAAGATTAAAAATGCAGAAGAAACTCTCAACAAGCTCATGCAGTGGAAAGAAAAAACAGATTAGTATTAAAAAACAAATTAAAAGGATGGTTTCTTCTGAGATTCGACGATTAGAATTCTTTGTTGAAAGTGTTTTATGATATATGCTTTTGGAATACGGGGATGCAGTCAAAAATTAACGTAAGTATTGTACGTATATGTACGTCATAAGCTACAAGCACTTTTTACCGGAAACTTACAAGAACAAGACAATATAATTTTGTTTTCTTTTCAAGTCTGTCACTTTTTGGGATAATTGAACACAATATTTTGAAAATCTGTTAGAAAATAAAACCTCAACAATGTCGGTAGAATCGATTTGAAAGTGGTATATCAACGTGTGTTACAGTAACACAAGTTTTACATTGACACAAAACATCACATTCAATTAATTGGAACTGGAGTTTTGTATTTATTTGAATTAAATAAGTTAATAACCAAATTATTTTCAGATGAAACTTTCATACAATGTTTTCAAAATGTCCTTCTTATATACGATACTCGCTGGCTCTAGAAATTACATTCACTGTAACCCTTCCAAACATTTCTGGAGTTATAGTATCAAATGCAGTCGATATTCTCCGCTGTAATTCTTGTAGGTAGAACACTGGAGTTATATAACACGGTCTTTCACGTACTCCCAAACAAAAAAAATCTAACGGTGTCAAGTCCGGTGACCGTGAGGGGCAATTGACTGGACCGCGTGTTGAGATTAGTCTATCGCCATAAACATCACGTAGGTGTTGAGTGACATCTCTAAAATTATGGGGAGGCGCGCCATCCTGCTGAAAATACATATTTAATGTCAAGACAATGTCAATGTCAAAATTAAGTTAACGAAATTATTATTCTCGTCATGTTTATCTAACAGCCAATTGCAATATCGAAGTCTTCTTACAAAGTCAGCTTCATAAAGATTTTGATGAAGGTTATACCTAAAACAATGATAGCCATATTTTTTTCAGATTCTCTTCACATATTCTCGTGAGATGTCTAATGTTCTAATACCCACTTACTTCTCTTAGCGACGCAGCTGGATTTACGTTGACGTATCCCACAACATTGATTTCCTTTTCTTTACTTATAATAAAATTATCACGTCGATTATTTTGTGCATTTCAATTCCAGCTATTTAAAGAATGTGCAGTAAGGCGACGTTCCAGATAGCGGGCTGCATACAACGCACGGGCCTGTCGAGAGTTTCTTCTGCATTCCCCGTATATCAGAAACATATCAATGTTTTCTCCATTTGTAAATTGATTATTGTTTTCCACGATAATCCAAATCGATAACACGACAGAATCGATAATCAGAAAAAAATGTACAAACTGTCAGAATTTTCAATCATGCCGACTTGATGATTAATAAAAGCAAAGCCACCAATGTAATATTTTGTTTTTATAAAAACATATTTGCTTATCTGGTTTTTTATTTCCTGGGACCTTATTTTTTTACGGATTTTGAAAATTTTGTCGTCAAAAAGTTGCAAAGAAAGTACCGGTTTTAAAAAATGTTTGTTCCCACTAGAGTGCTATTTGAAAAAAACTAGCTTTTCCCAAAAAATTAATAGTTCATTACATCAAATGCTATTTGCCATTAGACAAGTGAAGAAAAATTTCATTTACAATTTTTCGCGTGGTCATGTGAGGCGGTAAATAGTATTTATGATGGTCACAGCCTCCTAGACACAATTTTCAAAAATTAAATAAAAATCTAAAAAAACAAAAAAAAAAAGGGAAAAACCTTAATATCCTATGCAGAATGATCTCTCTTGAATCCAAAATTGCAAAAACATATAGGTGGTTCATTTAAAATTCGAAAGTTACTGTCGTTTCCTCTCAAACCGGAAGTGCAACCATTGACCACATAACCCTTCCAAATTTCAAATCAATATCTCAAGCAGTTTAAAAGTGTTCCCACTTTCTGGTGTCTGGTGTATATTAAATCCTAATAATTTATTAAAGTCGAAATTGATACATACCTTGTTTCTCGCAAAAGGAGAACGAAGTTTTGTACCACCACTAACGGGGCTACCGCATTGTCTAAATTCCACATTTTTAATTCTTTTTTAACACGCACGACACAAAGTCTTAACTCCCCTCACTGCTTAAAATTAAAGATTTTAACGATAGACATAATAGATAATTTTAGATAATACTCTAAAATACTCAATTCTACAGTGATCAAGGTTGCACAGAGCCGCTTCAGACATTTCCAGTACTTTGATCACCGTTTTGGGAGTTATTGGATGTTTTCGGTAGATTTTAGGCACTGATGACGTTGATCAGTTCTGATGGAAACATCACACATCACCGACTGAACGTAGTCATGCTCTTTTGCCAAAATGTACCCAAAAACATTTAGAAAATAAATAGAAAATAATATAAATGCAACTACCTCGATAAAATCCATCGGTCACTGTAGAATCCAACTCTTGAGTAAAGTGCTGCATAATATAGTATTTTCCATTCTATTATACTGACCAATTCGTATGGTTAAGTGCCTAAAAATTAACACCACACTCACTAAGTCACCCCCATGTGACTTAGTGAGTGTGGTGTTCACATGGGTCACATGGGGGTGACTTAGTGAGTGTGGTGTTCACTTGGGCCATTGATGAAAAAATAAAAGCAGAAAAGTTGTATAAAAGAAATTTAATTTAGGTAATAATAATAATAATAATAATAATGGCCGGAATTAGGCAACTCCGTATTTTTAATTCGTAATTCTTAATCATAAACGTATTCGCAATTTTAAAACATGTTTATCCAATTCCTTAATTGTTGACAATTTGAATAGGGGGTATGCACAGCTTAACTCAATTTTTTGTTGTGTTTACTTTTGTTATTGTTATTGTATATTCAAATCAATACGTGGTATTTGGAGAAACCTTCCCCGATACGCAATAACATTCCGAACAAAATTATGAATTAATAGTGAGCTGGCTAATACCGACCTAACAATTTCACAAATTTACAGTTGGCGCTTTACACAGTAAAACGCTGACATACATGTATTTCAAATATTACCACATTTCAAACTAAACGACTTTATACACAGAACTGATTCATACACTCACTTTAAAATACTGCAATAATATGGATGGTATTCCCATATAGCTACTAGAGATATTGAGGCCTTTCAATGCTTATAAAACATGAACTTTTGAAGCAACTATACAAACATTTTGGAGAAGGTCCATTCAACATACGCATGTCCGAAATTTAAAATTTTATTTTTAACCTTGCGGCATTCAATAACCAACATGGCCCCTGATAGATCGTCAATAAGTTTGGATGCGGCATTTTTTTTAAGCATTCAGGCAAAAAAGTGTTAAGTGTGTAGATATCGCAGAAGAAAATGGCGCAAAGTGTAGCATAATGGATGAAATGTAGAGGTATACTCGGAAGACCATTCCCTTCTCTACGGAAAGATCATAGTTACCTCAGGTGCATGCATTTTTACCATAATAGGGCCTTTCTATTATCTAATAGCTACATGGGTATTTCCATATAGTAAATAAACGTAAAAAATTAAATGAAATAAAAAACTAAATTAACCTACATTTTGCGCAATTTTCGGTTTAAGCAGAGGTCTCCACAATTAATTACTTTTTTTGTGAAAATATAATGACACTGGGAATATTTTGACAGAATACTACACAGGTATATCAACATCAACATCAATATATCAATTTTGTCGTATTAACATATAAACCACCCAAATTATCTAATAGCGATATGGATATTTCAAACCTTGCGCAAGCATTGGTGAATATCGCAAACTAAGCTATCCCTCATTTAACTAGGTAATTAGACTAGAAAAGGAATGTATGCTCAAATTCCAGATACCTCCAAAATACTTTTTGTTACACATTGGCTCCATAAATATACAATCTGGTTTACTGGCTAATAAAAAAGATTTTGTTAAAACCTCATCCTAAAAAGATACTAATCATTTCATCAATCATTAGAAAAGTTTCAATATAGTTTTTTAATATCCGACAAAAAATATCTGAAATATAAAAAATGTAAAATGAGTAAAAAAAAAAACAGATGTGCAATCGAAGAGGCACAAGTAACACATTGTTCATATAAATGTTATATACTGACTAAATTATTTCACTTCCTGAACCGAAAGTTCTTAGAGTGGGTCCATAGTAAAATCATATAAATATAGGCACATAATATAGTGCAAACCGAAAGTTTTAAATTTCGCAAAAAATTCTACTTTGCTGTTATGATGAAGACATTCAACAATTTATATTTAATAAAAAACAATAAAACTGACTTTCATAATCATAATAATCATAATCATAGGTAATATAGTCTTTTAATCATGTGATGAAACTAAAGGTCTTAGTGTCAAGCAAACGTGTCTGCACATCTAAAAATATGAGCGGGGGGAACTCCTGTCTTTTTGTTTACTTTTTTTGTTTGCTTTGCTTCTCTTAGAGCCCGAGCTTGAGGATCCGCCTGGTGGGGAACTACCATTAGAATGATCATGAAGGCTTAATAAATCCCTCAGATTATTATATGCTTCATCAATATCTAAAAAAGATTTTGATTAACACATGTATTACTCATATACTCGTGTGGCCGGGGCTGATAAAGCATACAGGGTGTTCAATTTAATGCGTGGTATTCTGCCTCATGATATAAAGGACTGTAACTTTGCAAAGAAAAAAATGTAGGGGGAGGTTTGTCAATAAATTTTTGCGTCAAAATTTTTTTGACTGCATCAATTAATTTTTTAAGCTTACTAACCAACCAGAAGTATTTTATATTGTTAAAAATGATATCAGTTGTTATAAACTTAAGTTTTTTTAAAAATTTTACAATTTGTAGATTAAATTTTAGCTCTTTTTAAACCTAAAATTTATCATGAAAATAGTTTTTCTCCAAGCAACACATAATAGTATAGGGGTGCAGTCTGTCATTCAGTTTTGTTTTTGAAACCAAAGATAAACAATCATAACATGTAAATTCAATAACACCCTGTATGAAACAAAAAAAGTTGAATGTTAATTTAAATGATTCCCTTTATGGGCACATCATAACAACAATTAGTAGGCAGTAGGTCCATTTAAAACATTATTTTTAATTTTTCTTTGTTTATGTTTTGTTAATTTACATACCATCCATATCAGTATTGAAGTGCTCTCTTTGTTGATGTTCTTGATTTTTCTTAGGAGTACCTAAAACATTGTCATTTAGTATGTCCTTCCCTTGCTTCATCAATTGCTGTATTAGCTAAATGTTGATAAGTTCACTTTCCTGTGTTAAAACTGTAGAGAAACATTTAAGTTTAGTGCCACATTGGGCTTCTTTTTTCTTTTTACAATAAATATCTTATCTTTTCTTATCTTTTGGTGGAGTATATATGACAGTCATGGATAGCAGGGTACCACCCACAGAATTTTCTAGAAGAAATTTGACCTCCTACACTCTGAAAACAATATTGCATCCTCACTAATTTACTAATTTTAAAACCCAACGAAAAATAATTTCAAACGCCTATCTCAATTAATATTAACTTTCTTAAATAAAATATTTGACAATGAATATTCATATATTTGAGTTTATATAAGTTCCACTCACTTTATAATTATTATTTTATAAATTTGCAATTATACTGGAGTTTTAATTTTTTATTTGATCAACTCAGATTTTCAAAAGATATTTTAATAAATTTCTGGAATGTTTAATCCACTTTTACCACATTATTTGCCTATAAACAAACAGCAATCACTCTAACAAATCACAGAATGTTTAGACAAAACAGTTTGGACCATTCTATCAAGTATTTAATAAAATTTAAAAAAAATTTAAGAGATATAAAAATTACCCACCTTTATTCTTCTTGTTACCGTTTCTTTTCTTCTGTTTACTTTTCCTTTCAGTGCCCTTCCAGTCAACATCATCTTCATCATCAATGTCATCATCATCGTTATCATCACTGTGTATTCCACCATATGATGTATCTCCTCTGTCCTTGATATTACTTGCAGCTCGTCTTGATGTTGTTTTTTTTCTACCCAAACCCATGCATGTTTCAAGATGGGATGCAAATTTTGTTGCAGCTGTTCGTTTATCACATCTGGGACAAATACATACAACACGATTTTTTGTTTTTGTTTTATGTTGAGAGAGAATATCCGTATCAATAGAATTTTCATATTCTATATTATCATCAGGTTCCAAGTCATATGCATCTGTTTTGTACTTGCGGTGTTCATCGAATATTATACCTAGGGTCATATCATCAATTAGATTATTAAGAAAATGTTCTGTGGAAGCACTCAGGAGTTTTTTGTTACTTATTAATTCACGAAAATCATCTGCCATTTTTTCAAACAATTCATTTTGGTCAGGTTTTTGATCTTTTGACATAGTCAATTTATAAAATTTACTTCTCCCCACAGTTATCAACTTCTAACCTCAAAATTTAAAACTTTAAAAAACTCGCCTGAATTTTCACAGTCGTCAACGACGATTTTTTAAAGATCGCCACAATAAAGCCATGAAAAGCATATTTTTCATAAATTAAACTAACCGACCGGAAGAGATCGGTTTACTGTCACTGTGATCAGCTGTTAATGAACAACACATACCAAACGATAAATTTGTGCGACGTTGCCTTTCAGGAATGAACAAGAGAATCCCGTAATCCCTAACTAACAACATATTATTTGCAAATTCATGCACAAATTGAACTAATACTGAGTAATATTATTAGCAACCAAGCAACAAGCAACCCGAACAGTAACCATTCGTTATTTTTAGAAATTGAAGCAAGCGTATAATAGAGAAGCGAGTCGCTACCGGTGTATGCCCAGACCTTTCCCTATGGATCTCTTTAAATCGTATTCGGTGTCAGGGATGGCGTGAACAGAGCCGTTATATAATAATTATTATTTCAATAAATACTATTTTTGTTTATTTTATTCTTATAAACAATCGTTTATTCGAGCTTAATAGTGCCTATCTATCGATGTCATACTCCTACCGTTCTAATTTGTAACGGAAAAGAAAATTATGCCGCTAATTAACTAACTTACTTGCTTACAGCAACATACTAATAAAAAAGAAAACAAAAACGGAGATTAAAGAAGAGCTGAAATTGTACCTTTTCTGGAATAGGAATATATATCGATGCTTTTTACAATCCATCGTCTAATTAAAAGCATATTTCCTGTATAGATTTTTATATCTAATAAGTTTCAAAGTTTTTAAGATTTTATCGGCATTTAATGACAAATGTTAGTTTTTTCTTCCAAACTCGCAAAAACGTTTTTGAAATTTTTTTTTTTCAAATACAAGTGTTTAAATTCTGCCTTCTAACCTTGTAATAAATCCCCTATCTTTTTGATTTTCGAAATTTTCCCATAATACATTGTAATTCAAAATGGCTTGCTAATCTAGTCTCGTTTAATAATCAGTCTCCGTGGTACCAGTACCTTGAAAGTGAGATGCGCAGCAAGGAAAATACAGATACATAGCGCCAAATTTTACCTCAACTAGCATTTCATGTTTAAACTTTATTAAAATTCTAAGATTGGGTATTTATTTTTTTGGTACCTATATCCCTTCTAGATCGTAATTACTACGTGCAGTGAACTCGATCTAAACTGGACAGGACCCGATAGCTTAATAATCGTTTATGAGGCAATTTTTATTTAGAGGGAGAAGGGAATTAAAGACTACTGTGATAAGATATTTATTCTATGTTTGATTACTACTAATTTCTGGATGGTGTTAATGAACAAAATAGTAATTTTTAACTCACTCGTTTATTAAAAACCGCACTTGTTGCATAATATGTTATTACCGAACGTGTTGCATACTATACTTTTTCTACGACCGTCAGTTTTTGTGTACATTTTCGCAAAACACTACGAATACATTCAGTGACATGACTGTCAGAATTGACAAACATCAAAATTCAAAGCGTGGCAAATATCTCCGAAAACATCCGATTGCTTCCAAATCCGTGCGGTAAAATCCCAGAAATGTCCGAAGTGGCTCGGAATCATGGGAAACGAAACTGACGTGGTAAAGTGACGGTAGATCGATGGGTAATTAGATATTTTACAGGCGGGAGTAGAAAAAAAAGTTTACCGGACGTGTTGCATACTTTACTTTTTCTAGGACCGTTAGTTTTTTTCGCAAAACAACACCAATCCATTCACTGACATGACCGTCAGAATTGACAAAAGTCAAAATTGAAAACGTGGGAAATGTCTCCGAAAACATCCGATTGCCTCCAAACCCGTGCGGTAAAATCCCGGAAATGTCTGAAGTAGCTCGAATTCATGGGAAACGAAACTGAAGTGGTAAAGTGACGCTTCCCGCACGCTAGATCGGTGTGTAATTTGGCATTCTACAGACGGGAATAGAAAAACATTTTTTAATCATCCTGTTGGCTTGTTCAGAACTTAAATGAAACTAGTTTGGATTCTACTCTGTACCTGCTTGTATGCTGTTTTAAAGGAGCTAAAATAAAGGAGAGGAAGGATATTGATGAGTTGCAGTTAAAGTTTGGTTGTTTAGATATTTCTGTGGATTCTCGGATTTTTCATTAGTACACAAGAATTGATTGCATGAGTTTGGTCGAATAAGATTTGAAGCCCGGTTTCATGTTTGTGTTCGGCAACTGCTGATGAGTTTATTTGTTGTAGTCTGAGGGTTCTTTCGTGTTCTTTTAGCCTAGTTCAAACATTTTTTTTTGGAGAGTTGTAGTGACGTGTACATATAGCAAATTATATGGCTTTTTCGGACGTTTAATAAGAAGTTAGATGATATTGATTAGATGGTTAGATTAGTTAGATGATGATGATAACAATATGTAAATGAAAGCAATCCAACAACGATAACATCCCTATTCTCCCATTTATATAAATACACAAGAGAAAGACAAGAATCCCCTTTATCCTATTTGGATAAGAGTTCAGTGCATACATGATATGAAAAACGACAGCTTCAATGATACCAACCAACAGTTCAAATGTCCACCGTTTCCCAGGCAACCCAGTGAAAACAAACAAAAGTTTTTAGAACCTTCATTATTGATAAATATTTCATTATAACATATCAAGTTAGTATTTACATTATCCCACAGCAACGGTATGACTGAGGAGGTTTCTATTGATAACAGTTGGGTTTTCGATTCACTAGTATGTTTTCTAAATGGACCGATATGGAATGCTCCATTGCAAAGCTTTATTGAAGAAAAATCTTTAAGTAAGTCTTAGATATATACAAAATAAAAATTTTTAGTGTGTGATATCAGCAGAACACTTTTAAATATCCACATTTATTGTGCCCAATTGTGCACAGATGTAACGTGCGGTTAGTGTTATTTTACCACTTCACTTTCTTCACTGATCTGAGCCACTTCGTGCATTTCCGGGATATTACTGCAAGGGTTTAGGTGTAATGGTCTTGTTTATTAAACAGTCGCTCCGCTGCGCTCCACCCGTGCCAAATAAACTCGTGACTTAAATGCCGTTTACCACACTTGTTGCAAAATATACTATTACAGAAAACCCATGCCGAAATTATGGGGAAATGAAGTACAGAAAATAATTCTGTGAACAAAAAAAAGGGTCCTTTTATTTGTAACTTTGAAAGAAAAAAAATTAATGTGTTGCATATTATATGTTTTCTACGGCCATTATTTTTTACGAGCATGTTTGCAAAACAGCAAGACAATATTAACTGACAAACGCCAAAATACCATTAATGGCTAAAATCTATCAAAGACATGGAATCTTTCGCAAATCCGTGATCCACACGCGACACAGCTATTACATTATGTAATGACCCCATAGTCCAGTAAGAGCAATTGTGCAGTTACATCATAGCATGACATCTTTGTCTAGTTCAATACTGGATGTAAATTGACAGGAATTTTATGTGTCAGTTTTGAAATCCGAGTCAAAAGCCGCGTCAAGATCGATTTTTTTTAGCTAAGACATGCGGTTTATTTTTTATCACGTCACTATACGTGAGGTAACTGCAAAACTACTTTGACTGGACTTTACTATGCTAAAAATTGATTCCTCTACATTTCGCCCACTAACCTGTACTTTGCGGCATTTTCTTTCTACACAGTGATTTTCCCACACTTAAGCCATTTTCCTAGAACATTTAATAAGTCATCTGTCAGCGGCCATATTGCCTGTTGAATGCCGCAAGGTAATTAGTTAAAAACGAGATTTTAAATATCGGGCATGTTGAATGAACCTTCCCAACTTTTTTTATAGTTGCTTCGTAAGTTCCTCTATTAACTCTAGCAGCTATTATATATGCCGTGACCGGTTGAGCACTGATCAAATTAAAAACCTACTTTAGAAATGAAGCAGTTATTCTTTCGTTTTACGAACCAGTTAGGGAAACACCCACACGTAATTAAATAAATCAAAATATAAATAATGCTTTTGTTGTAGTTTTTGAACCCACGGATCCAAATAATGTTGAATATAAGAACGTGTTTGACGAATTCAAAAATTTGGTGAGTTCTTTAAAGTTGGTTGGTATTATGGTAATTCTTCTAATTAGGTTGATTTCATGTTGGGGAATTTTATGGATGACATCGGGATAACACCGGAACAGTTTCATGGTGCGTGTCTGGAGGGAAAGAAATATCATGTGTCCTTCGATCATGTAAGGTTCACACCACGTTCATCCTGGGTACCTTAATCAGCAATACACGAGGTCGTCAGACTGCTATTGATTTAAAACATTTTCAGCGATGCGACGTTGCCGCTTCTTTAAAAAAATTACACGAACCTTAATAGTTTAACTGGGGCGCCCTGTGTGTTCTTCAATATCTCGAAAACCGCTAAAGATAGGAATAGTAAGGTATACAAAAATAATGATCGCAGAAAGTTGGCACCCTATTAAAAATAGCAAAGATGATTCTACTCTTCCAAAGGGAAAGAAGTCTCTGGATGTTCAATAGACTATCATTTTGGTACAACTTCTAGACATCTCTGGTTATAATATAATATATAGCCGAGATGATCCACGGGTAAATTTTTATGTATATTGGATAATAATAATATAAAGCAAACCATATCAAAAGGTAATTTCAAGGATTCTAACAAGATATTTTTGTTGGATTATGTAATGTTACGCTATTGTGAATCTGCTTCACGTTGCATGCGTAGAATAAAAAGAATCGTTACAAACCAAAAACTAAATTTCCAATTGCTTAACCCTAACATCTAACAAAACAAATCTCGTCATGCCATTTTTTCGTGCCAATTATTCTACATGCGCTTATATATATATATATATATATATATATATATATATATATATATATATATATATATATATATATATATATATATATATATATATATATATATATATATATATATATATATATTTCTTCAATATTTCTTAAAAGAACCTGTAAGAGAACGGGATCCTCTCGGGGTAAAGTGGGTAGCACGAAAAACACGGAACACTACTATTTTACTAAGTTTGCGTGTCTTTAACAATTACTTTCAAAAGGAATGATCAAATGCGTGAATAAAACGAAAATAAAACTTCGCGTCCGTCGCGTAACGCCGTCGAACCACAACTCTCGTGTCGGAATCCGGACTCGTCGTGACGTGCCGGGGTCCGAGCGGAATCAAAACGGGCCGTCTCAATGCGTTGCGGTTAAGATAATGGCATCGGAGCAGTGGTGGTTCGTTACAAACCTTTTTTTATATCAAAAGAAATTTATATGAGTGGTCCAAGAGAAATCCATACTTGGGTTCCAAAATTTTAACATGTCTAGATTACAAAATTCCGTAAAAAGAAGTGTGACATCTATAGAGTTGCATATTCACAAGCTAGCACTGGATAGACTATTGGTCCAAAACGGTCGGTTTGTTTGATTTCCAACGGCTTAAAGTGTGCTATTTGGAAACAACGTCGCATTGTTGACATCATATTAAAAAGCGGGCTTCAACGAATAGATTCACTTGTTCTTTGTTTTTCTCATACTGTTTTAACGGCTCGGTTATTTTCTCGGCATTTTCACTTTTTGCAGAATCTGTTTGAACAAATCTGGGCAGCAAACGACTACGACATGTTTGTACGAATGATGACGCAAAAAAACGTAGAGTTGCAATTGCAGGCGCTAGAGCTTATAGAAAAGAAATACGGCATAACGCCGCAATCTTTTATTCCCACCAAATCAGAAGAGCGAGTTCAACAGATCCCTGTAATTATCGAACAAGAACCCGAATCGGAGAAAGAAGTAATTGCCGAAGTTGCTAAGTAAGTCAACTATACAGATTACAGTTGGGAGAGTTAAGTATTAGCCCTGTTTGTCACTGCGGCCCGCCTCCCTTCCTTCGTATTGTTTTTTTTTTTAATGAAAATAATTAAAAAATCAAAAGAAATGGACATAGGCGAACCTTTTGGAACGACGTTACAATAAACCATAGAAATCAAAAACGAAAACGCAAATCGCCAACCTGAATATGATAGTCTACTCAGTTTGAGCGAATAACTGTTAACTGAAATTATTTAGTGTTAATGTTAAGCGTATGTATTAAAATTTGCACGCCCTAAAAGTTTTAATGAACGGCAATAAGGCAACCAAATGGGATGCGCTAAAGACACTGTCTTGATGTATTTAAAATAGTCAAAATGCGATTTTCACGCTTTCTCTAATAGTATGACAAAATTCGTTTGTAGGAAATTTCCCGAAGAAGAGTCACAACCTTCCGAAATAGAAATAGAAAGTCTTATTGAGCAAAAGCCGTTACTCGAAAAAAAATTGTTTGAAGCAAAAGGTAAAACTTGATAGAAAAGTTCATTAACTTGTGGAGAAGAATATCCGCCAATCTCTTATCTTTGCTACTTTTAGAATATCAATTAAATAATACGGAGGCAAACGAAAATACCAACACTGCGCAAACTACCGACAATCCGGTAATTACTATGCAAGAAAAGACCCCGGAGGTGAGAAACCTATGCTAACAAAAATTCAAACAGCTAATGTTTAAATATTTATTGAATTCCAGATTGACGCGCTCGAATTACGAAAACGGCAGGATTACTTAAGGGCCCAAAGGGATAAGTTAATCGCCCTCAAAAAAGAAACCAGGCAAAAACAGTTGGGACAGAATTCGAAAAGTATGAACCGTCCGAAATCGGCAAAGGCTGCCGAAGCGGTTTTAACCGGAGAAAAGCCTAATATCAATTCCGGTCAAATGCAGATCCGGAAAACGCTAGCAGAACGACTTAAACACGAAGTTGTCGATAAAATTAAAAAGAATTAATAATTTAAAATTTATGGAATAATTTTAATACAACACAGTAATTGTTATGACTAAAACAAACACAATTAAGTTCAACAAAAGTAGTCCATCTTATCTGTCCGCAAAAATAAATGAAATTTAAAGATAAAACACCTTTTAATTGTTTTTCGCTGAGAATTTTAGATTTTACTGTTGATGGTTGTTTACCCGAAATTTTATAGTAGTTAAAAACTGTGTCTTGTCTTTCAACAACATAATTATCTTTTGGCATTCGTCATAGATCATTAAAATTTGTACTCAATGGATGGAAGGATGGCCTACCATGGAGGGCCACTCTTGACGCTAGGACTGCCAAACGTTCCGATTTTTAGAAATATTTGTGAACAATTCCGGACCATTCACGGACTACCTTAATTAATGTTGACTAAAATTATTTACTAACTATCCCAAAAAATAATAAAATAGATGTACACCTGCAATTGAAAATTATTAAATTGCGGTAAAAATTCACATTTTTGACATATCTTGACAAAATTGTGGCTCACATAACAACCCACAAATTTATTTACGTAGTCTACGTTCTCCCAAAAAATTATTTCTCCCAAAGCCGTAGAACATAGTTACTTAGAATGTTATCTAGTAGATATGAATAAAGTAATGGAATATAGGGTTGAAATTACAAAGTTGTCATTTTTTCTGTGAATCCAACAACGCACCATTTGCCAAAATAGTTCTATGTACATAAATCTAGATTATCATCAATGCGGTATACCAAATTTGAAAAAGCTCCCTGGGTTTCAGTCTTCCAGACCATTTACTACTACAACTTGAATCGCCCTGTATATGTATATCTACAGTGGCTTAAAATTTCGTTTTATAGCATATTAAACCATATGTTGGACTAGCAATTCTGTTTTCTATAAAATGTATTAAATATATCGTTATATAGAATTACAGCATTGAAAATGTCATAATCCTTGTGTTGTATATCCTAATTGGGGTCTTCAAAAAAATAAAAATCAGTTAGCCGTATCCGCGAAAAATACCAACAACTGAGCACTTTACCCTATTTTTTTAGTATTTTTGTGCCTACTCACTTCTTTGCAACAAGGTCGTCTAAATTTAAACGCGCCTTTTGTTCCACATAGTTTCTGATTATTGATTTCATTGTTATAAAATGGGGGTAAAAATAAATATATATTGAAAATACTTTTACTTATATTTATTTACCTAAATATAACGAGTACATATTTTATATTACAATTTTTTTTAAAAACATTAATTTATTACATAAGGAAGATTAGAAATGCCTATTTTGTTTTTATTTTAAATTATGATTTGTACAAAAATATGTCCGCCACTTTATTTATAAATAACAAACAATTATGTAATTAAATTGGTAAACTAATTATTCTTTGAAGCAAATGGTTTAAACGATTTTGCTTACAAGGGAAGCCTATTTCATCAAATTCAAAAGAGGGACTGCTGTATCATTTCAAGGATTTAGGATTGGATTTGAAGAAAGAAAAAATCCTATACAGTATTCACAAACATATAACCCCCTTAGAAATTACACAATATTATTACTTTGGTCATTTAGATTTTCTTTCCAGTTATACAACAAATTTTATTATTTTATTCTCAAAAGTATTGAATGTTTTGCTAAATTTAAATTTCAAACAAGAAAGTGAACAAACCTAAGGTCTAATTATACAAATGTTGTCTTGTCATAAATATTTTCTTACTTAATGGGTATCGCGACAATCATAATGCAACATTCTCTTAAAATTATCAATGTGATCAACACACGGTCTGCCAGTTCCCCAGTTCTTGATGTTTTTGGAAGGACAAGGGTCATTCTCAAGGATAGGAAATTAAAAATTAGCATTTCCTCCTTAGCAAAACCACCATGGTAAAAACTTTTGCGAATTTTTTTTAAGTACCAATTTTCAGGTATAAAACAAACTTCAGTTTTTTTAAATATGGGACGCACGCTATATTACATATTTTTTATTTCATAAAATTAACAATCTGTTTTGGGAAAAAAAATAGTTCAAAATTATGAAAAAATATCTCTGTGGATAACGCCCATTCGTTTCAAAAACATTGCAAATTGATACATGCTCATCGTTTTTATTTGTGCAATGCTCAACGCAATAAAACAAAAAATTGAAATATACCTAAACATTCAGCTGTACCAACACCACATAAAATGACATTTAAACCCAGTTGGCAGGTTTGTGTACACATTTGTTTTCTAAAATACAACTGAAATGTTTCGGCTAACTGCCCTTAAATCAAGCAGGCATAAAAAAAATGAGCAAACGGCTAGCTATAAACACGACGAAATCGATTACGGTAACTGTCACCACTGACATGATCGTTAACTGTCAAAATTGCATCTCTTGAAAGCGCTCTATTGCGTTAAACAAACGAACCGATCTTCTAGGACATCAATCAACCCAAAGCAAAACCTGTTGTCAGACCTCAGACTCACTACACAATATTTGAATGTGATCGAACCACTTACTACCAACACAAATTAGAATGATCAAATCTGATTGTGTCTTACCTTGCAGCAATAAATTTATCTTTCGAAGTTACACAGGACAATTTTGACTAGTTTAGGTTAGTTGGTATCAAATTTAACAAAAACATTAAAGATTATATTATTTTTTTCAACATACAAAGTTGTTCCTATCTCCAACATATAGTAATTTCATAAAGTTCCATAATCATATGACCCAACCAAGCAAATTATATTAATAACTTTGAATAATTATGGGCACTAATTGGGTTTAAGGTATTAAAATCAGTGAAATCAATGGATTTATCCTACCAATGTGTAGAGGTAGATCAAATGCCTAAACTAACCAAAATTGGCCAAAATAATACTAATTATTATAGAATTTTGCAAAAAAAATCTGAACACAAAAACATTTGCACAATGGCAATACAAGTGATAAATAAATATTGATTACAATAATTGCAATATAAATCATTTAAGTCACTGACTGTGCTTGGACTAATGAGACATCATTCTTTCTAAAAAAATTGTCACAAATAAACTCCCGAAATTTCAGTGCATGCGTTTTTGCAATTTTACGTTTTTATCTAACCTCCCTCCACCCATCTTTTATGTGTCACTTGAAACTGTGTAAAATCTTACTATAAAAATATCTAAGTCTTATAGGCGACAAAAAAAGTTTATTTTTAATATTGTATGAAGCTTTGGATTTTTTACAATTTCTACGGCACTCCATTGACACTACTCACATTTTTTTTCGACATCATAAGTATTAGATACTATTATATTATCTACTAGCTAGATATTACAACTTATTTTAAATAAAATTCACAAAATTCTATAAAATTTATTCTGTTCTGACACAAACAATTACTCGTCCTTCGATTCATAACTATACACACTAAATTTACTTTATCATTTTGTCCATTAAATAAACTGAAAATCCCCATCCAATATCGTTTTTAATAAAACACTGCAACATTGTAAACCTGGACGATAGGTTTTTTTAATATATTAACGTATAATCTGAGAATTACAGAAATATAAACAATCAAACAATATAAACAAGGTCAACCAAATTAATAAGACAGCATTCTTTGGGACAATTTTTGTGGTTCAAATATGAAAATATGTGAGATCTATAACTCCAGAAATAAATATACATGTATATATATTTTATACTCAATATTAATGCACTCTCAAATTGATTAATGCATGACAATAAAATAAATATTAGACCAAATTTGATGTACAATGTCTATAGTTCAGAAACCAAGGACTCATATATACAGTATTATATAACACAGATCATTTTTGCCTTTTCAAAACAATACCCACAGGTATATCCATAAAATATATTTACAAATTATGAGCTGTCTGCAAAAGGCAAAAATTAAATGTGCATGAAAAGAAAAATAAACGGTAATATTTATACACCTCGTCCATACTTTGCTATTATGGTATCAATAATCTCTCATTTAATAAGTTAACATTCAAACCGGAAGTCTGCCTTTTGTATTTTACATGGAAGTCTACAATCGTCTCCTAGATTTACTAAGCAAAACTTACATGTGTAACCTAATCATTTCCTTCACAATGAAAATTTGACGAAATCATACATCAGGAAATTACCACACGTGGCTGGCTAATACGACATTATAGAGTCGTTTCCTTCCACTCTCTCACTCTAACATAAGTAACAACCATTAATCAATATCCACTGAACAACTATTCCCACCATGTCACACTAGAAGTTTAACATTAATTGACCGACTACTTTGGGTACCCGCAGCGCCTGTATAGTCTTGGCGGCACTATGCACTATCGCAAATAGCAAAAAGTATATGTACTGAGATCGATAGCGCCAGCGCACAAATTTGTACATTATTCTGTGATGCGCTGACGCTTTACTCACCTGTTAGGGTGGGATAATCCGGTATTAGAAAGAGATTTTCGATGACACTATGATAACCGAGCTCTTTTGCTGGAATTGTCACCACTACTGCTACTTCCGCCATTTTCAGTTTCTTCTTCTTCATCCGAATCGCCTCCCTCATAATCAACCAGCCCCTATTTAACAATTAACAATAATTGATCCAATATGAATGTGGCGGCTCATGACCGAAAAAATAGATGAAATTATGTAAACCAAACCAATAAATAAATAAATAACCAAGTTAATCAAATATAGGCAAATTAAACCCACTACCATAATATAGAAAATGTTCACATGATATGCGAAAATTTATGAATTTTAACAATAAATAATGCCACTTATTTGACTTATTTAAATTAAATAGCTCTTTTATTTTTGGTTTTTGAAAACAATTCATTAAGTTTGTTAAGACATTGGAGATGCAGCTGCCGAAACTTGGGAATTTCTGTTGGTAATGATAAACTCTTCACAATGCACTTTGCCGATGACCAGAGGTCATTTTTGCTGAGGATGAGGATGATATAAACTATATGGTCAGGAAACTGACTGAGGCGTACAAGTCTTGGGGTCTATCAATTAATATGGAAAAAACAGAATATCTTATCGCAGGAGGCACAAACAGAGATTTAATCCTAGATCAGGGAACTATAAATTGTGTCGATTCCTACTAGTACTTGGAGTAAATATAACAAAAAGTGGCACTAGTGAAGCTGAAATTAAGAACCGCATCCGACAGGGAAAACATGCAACAAAGCAGTTAAATGGAATACTATGGAGTACCCAAATTTGATCAGAAACTAAAATCAGGATTTATAAGACCATGGTAGAAAGTATTATAAACTATGGGGCCGAAGTATGGCAAATGACTGAGTATTTACGGAAAGGATTATTGGCAAAGGAAATGGACTACTGGAGACGCTGTTGTGGACTAACACTGCTAGACAAAATAAGTAACAATGAGATAAAACAAAGAATGAAGATAGACACCTCCATTGTTCACACTATCGAAGCCAAAAGTTTAAAATCGTACGGCCACGTATGTCGAATGCCGGATGATAGATGGCCAAAAAAAATATTGAATTGGGTTCCTCCAGAAAAAAGAAATAGAGGACGTCCCAGACACGGTATAAGAAACGCAATGACCCAAAGAAATCTACAAGCAGAGGACTGGAGAGACAGAAAGCGTTGGCGAGTAGAATGCGAGAAACGACCTTAAGTTGTATAAAAAATCGCAAATATATATATATATATATATATATATATATATATATATATATATATATATATATATATATATATATATATATATATATATATATATAACAATTCATAACAGCCTTTAATGTTTACCATTGGATTGACACCTTGTTTGGGGAGTCTCATTCAAAAAAAAAGGAAATAAGTCGAAACGCGATTTTTAATCAGCCCAAAAAATGCCCTAACTCCACTAATTTAACTGACTTCACAAGTTCAATAATGTACCGATAACATCAACAGGGACGACCACTCTCTCGTCTAGGCGGTAACGTATAATTTTTTTAGAAAAATATTTACTTATTGGTATAGTGTTTTTGAGGGAGTGTCACATGGTCTACATCATCAGAAAATCAAAACTGCACACTTGCGAAAAAAATTTCACTTTTCGACATTTGTTCAGCACTACTTTAAAACGGCAAACAAATTGTTTTTAAATGAAAGGGCATTCAAACTGCTTCCTGTTGATTTTTAAAGCATAGCAATTTTATATAAAATGTTACGAGGCAAGGTTAATTGGTGTTAAAACTTGAATTACAAATGATCTATTTTCCCTATCTGATCAAGATTAAAATTTTAATGTTGTATTTATTGAAATGGGTTACTCATGTTTTATGTTTACACAGGTATCTTGCACAAAGCTCATCACATGTTTACAAAAACTAACCCAAATATTATATATATGTTATATTATATATTATGTTGCCAAAAACAAACATGAAAGAAAACTCACTCGTTTAAACATTGACAATTTGCTCTCACTAGCTGCTTGAATGTTCACTTGAGGTTGCATCTGTTGTGCGCTTGCATTGTTGTTTATCAATGGTTGCTGAGGCTTTTGTGCTTTGGATAATGCCGAGTTATTGTTTACCTGCAAACACGTTTTTTATTTATTTGCTGTTTCGAAAATGCTGGGTGTCTTCATGAACTAATTAAAGTACATACTTTACTGGGCCCATTAGCTTCTATTACTCCTTGACCAGAAGTTTGGTTCTTATCTATAATTTTCCCAATTGCTGATTCAAGATTGGAATCTAACTTCTTTGACAAAATATCACTGGGAGATAGAGTGGGAGATTTCTGAACCGAATCTCCTTCGTCAAAATCATCATCTTCATTAAACCACATCTCTTCCTCTTCTTCCATTTGCCGCTGGTCTCTTCGATATCTACTGTTCCTTAGTATTGATGGAACACTAGACACGAAATTAAATAACAATTATTGAAAATAAAACAAATCTCCATCCTCAAATTATTTAATCAATCACTGGTTAAACAACTTACCCATCTAAACTATTTCGTTCCTTTAGTTTGTCCTGATGCTGGTCATATCTTAACTTTAGTGCTTTAAATGTCTGAACATAACAAATATCATCTAATAGTTTGCCATAATTTTCAACAACATGAGAACAAAGAGTTTTGATATCCTCCAATTTTATAAATTCAAACATTTCAATTATTGCAGAATCCAGAAGGTTGTATCTGCCATTGTTACGAATAAATGCATCCACAACAGGAGCAAACAGGTTACCCTTAATTATGTATCTATTATAAAATTCATCCTTAAGCGCTATTAGCTTTCTCATAAACCTAAAATAGACAGTTTTTAGCGTATTCAAAATGATTATACTAAAATCATGCTTATCTAATAGGAACAAAAATTTCTATTGCAAATCACTAATGTATTAAAAGAAATGCAATTAAAATTACCGGAGAGCACATAAGACCAAAAATTTGTGGGTTGACTTCATGAGGACAAGTATTCTACGCAATAAATCTTTGTTCAGGATGCAGTTCTTTATGTGGTATGTGTGATGCTCTACACAAAATGATAGTAGTTCCAATATAAGTCCAAGTAACTGCACAGTACGGTAATCTTCCTTTTGGGGTGTGTCATGAATTGTATTTTCAAGTAAGGGTGCTAAAACAAGAATTTCTATAATTTTCAGAAATAATTCGACATGAACACTACCAAATAGAAGACAAAATAAATAAACAAATAAATAAATAAAGTTCTGTTGTGTTGAAAAAATGTTAGAGGGTATCATTGTATTAAAATTATTCCTATTAAATATTTTAAATTTACTTTTCACCAAAATTTCACATACCTATAAGAATCTGAACACTGTGTTTGTAGAAGAAATTAAGAAAATCTGTCTTTTCTGATTTGTTTACTGAAGCCAACATATTTTCTGGATCCAAAAGTATTCTAAGAACTCCCATCAACTGAACGGCTCCTCCCAATTCCGGATCAGCATCACAAATCATTTGTTCTATGACAATATTTAGTAACATCTGATCCTGTAAAACATGCATCATGAAAAATCAAAAAACAAACTAATTCCATATTTTTTCGAAAAATGTATTTTGCAATTTGAGGTATTTTAAATTTGTCTCATACGCATATGGTTATAATAGTATATTACGCAACGAGTGCGTTAAACGGCATTTGACTCACGAGCGGAGAGAGTGTTTAATAAACGAGTGACTTAAAAAGCTTACCGAACTGTTGCATACTATACTTTTCTACGACCGTCAGTTTTTGGGTACATTTTCGCAAAACGACACGAATACAATCACTGGCATGGCCGTCAGAATTGAAAAACATCAAATTCAAGGCGTGGGAAATATCTCCGAAATCCGTGCGGTAAAATCCCGGAAATATTCTAAGTGGCTTGGATCCGTCGGAAATACGTGGTGAAGTGACGCTTCCCGCACGCTTGATCGGTGTGTAATTAGGTATTTTACAGACAGGAATAGAAGAAAACATAATATGTACCTAACTCATCCCAGCAGTGCAAGAGCAGTTTCTGAATTGAATGATATGGAAGAAAGTGAAGTATTTGATTTTGAAGAAACAAAAAGGCTTTGTTCACGAGAATGTGCGAAATTGTTACAGTTGTAAGTTACTTTCCACAAACTTCTATCCCCTTCAAAGCCATTGTAATCAACAGACCTAAACTTCTTTGTTTTGTTAGAACTGAACCACTAAGTCTCAGGTTTTATTTGGTGGATAAATATCTTAATCATGTGTTCTAAGCTGCTTAGTTTGTTTCTTTGTATTTTTATTTTATTATACATAGGCCCATATATATGTTTTACTTTTACATTTCTTTTAAGGTTAATCCAGTAAAAATTTAAGTATATGTGAGACCCCTCTCCTTTTACAAAGCCGTTAAAAAGTATATGCCAGAAATGGTGAACTTTACATAAAAAGTTATGTTATAATTTATTGAATCAAAAGTACAGTAAATATTTTTCACCGCCAAATTGTTAATAAAAAGAATCTTACCTCATCAGTATTACTGGCCTGCTGTAATGTATACTCTCTAACAACTGAAGGTGAATACTCTACAATATACGTTAATATGTCGATAGATGCAGTTTTAGTCTTCTGGTCTTCCATGCCCAAAGTAATTTCTAAAGCTGATAAAATCCCTAAAGATGTGAGAGTTTTGAAAAAAGTTTCCTTTGCCTGTGGTTGCAAATTTTGGGAATAATTACAAAACTCCTTCAGGAAGAGCACAAGGTCTCTTCGTTTTGTATTGGCAGTGTTTAAGTCTGTTAACATTGTAAACAGTTCTGTTAAAAACTTTTCATCTTCTTGAACCAGTGACACTATTTCCACTTTGTTAAAAAATATAAAACTACTTAATGTTGAAAGCATGTTTTCTTCAAACACCGACGGAGTTGGCAACACTACATCTTGAATATATTGCACACGAAATGTCTGATGAATTTTCGCTAGAAGTTCAGTGTTTTTAATAGGAATAGCTTCACGAAACTTAGCTTGCTGTCTCAAATACTCCCTATGCCGTTTGGGTGTTGGTGATGCTGGGTCGTACTCCAGACAACCAACCACATCAAAAATCAAATCATCGCTAAACATCACTTCAAAGAGCACATTTTTATTTAGGAGAAAAATGTTCTTGAATATATCATAAAGGTGGTAGAGACGTTCTGTATTTTCAAGATCTTCACACATATGAAATAAATTTATTAGTTTGCGAATATAGCCTTCATTTTCGATTGCAACAGCTAATTTTTCTTTTCTCATGGGAGTCGAGAGACAATTACTAATTAAATCACTGATTTGTTCTAAACGGTTAAGTTCACAAGGTGGTAGCTCAATGGGAGGAGCTGAATCTGACATGTCATCAAATCGTTCATCTTCAGATTCTTCAACAATATCCTAATAAAAGAAAATTAAATTACAAAACATGCAATAATGTACAATTCACTTATACAAAGTTACATAAATCACACTTTTCTAAAACAAATCACTATTTTCAGAAAATTATTTAATTTTTTAAAAAACTCTAAATTTTCCAAGCTAAAAAACACTTTTTTACCACTTTAAACTTTATTGGTCAAATTATGTATTTGCATATATATCCAATAATGGTGAAATAAAATAGAAAAATGTCAAATTAATTTGTGCAGTTATTTAATATAGATTTTATTGTAAAGACGACAAAAAAAAAACAAAATCAATATACCTGTGTGATTTCGACAGAGGGATCCTTTCCCTGAACTTGACAAATTTTCTCCCAGATCTCATCACAACCCAGTTTTTCTTGAAAGCTGAGTGCCAAATCAAAATTATCACCTTCCGACCAAACAATTAGAGTGTCTTGTTGTTTCTGGTAGGCAGTATCCGGTTGAATTTTAGACTCTAGTAGTAAGGAGCCATCACTTTCTGCACGAACTAATAATGATATACCCTTCAAACGATCTACATAAGAAGATGAAACATGTCCAGTGCCTCTATCATCCCATTGTCTATCTGCATTTAAAGCATACAGCTTGACTCTTCGTCGTGTATCAGTCATGACTACAATTTGCGTTAGTCTTCTGCACTATACTGGAAAGTTTCCCACATACCGCCTGCAACAAATATTAAGTTGACATAACTTGAACATAAACATAACATGACAACACACCAATTCAGTTTAAACACTTGTTTTTATTTAGAGCTGCACAATAAAGATAAAAGCTGGACAAGAAAAATGAAATAGGTAATTTTAATTTACTTGAACTGAAGAATCACAGCCTTTGTGTAAGATTTTACAAAATTACTGTTGCAAAAGAGAAATAAATATCGAAAACTACATGTCAGATGCATATAAAAATTAAAAGCTTTGACTGATTGATCCACCAGTTATTACGCGATCGTTTCAATAACAAATCAAATTTTAATATTTATCTTCAACAGGCTCAACACAAATTGTTATCGCCATTTTGAATCCACAACAACGCTTTCGACAGGGTTCGCATGGCAGTCGCAAAGGCTGGGCAGTGATAACGGCGCCAAGTTTAAACAGTACATAATATAATATGTACATAAAGTACATATTATTTTTAACAAATAAATGTGAAATACGCACGCAAAACGAATAAGAGTTTTTAACGTACTTCGCTAAATCTTTAAAAAGTGTCATGCTAGTGAACTGTGACGCATTAAAATGAATTCCAATTTCTGTTGACCAAAAGAAACAGGATGGCTTTTGTAAAACTGAGCATTTCGTGTAATTTTACTTTTTTATATTTGGTACTAGACAACAAAATATCCATTTTTAAATTTCGCAAAAAAAATATATTTTTTTTAAGTCGGAACGCATAATCGTCCCAATTTGCGGAAAGTTTCTTTAACCAACAGTTAACATTTGTTCAGATTTTTTAGAAGAACAACTGGATAAATGTCTACTTTTAAACTAATTGATGTAAGATTTCACTAGGCTACTACAAATTTGTAGGGTCAGTGGTAACAAAGAAAAATGAATTTTAGTAAAAAAAAGTTCCCAGGTGGAAGTGACAAATTCTTGTCCGAATGTAAACTTAGGTTACAATACTGTGCTTATGTAAGCTGAATATGCCCAATTTGGACTGTCATTTCTGTGGTATTAATCAGAGAAAAACAAGAGGATTTAAACTAACCAAATACTTGCTGATTTCTACACAATTAACAGGCAGAAAGTTAACCGCAACATTGGGCAACGATCAAACATTTAATTCCTTCTAAAATGTTCTGTACCAAGAATCGTAAACCTAATAGGATTGCCTAATCCGCCAAATCTGTCCGCAAGTGCAATGCGAAAACTCTCGCTGGCTGTGGCGTAGTGAAGTCCTGTATTAGCGCGGAAATGGAAATCTGAAACTGACCCAAGTTTTGATGGACGTTCGAGTATTTTGAGTAGCTAATATAGCATTTTGTTTGGATAATCACGCGTTATTTTCATTTAAAACCAACATTAAATCGTTTTACTACTTATTTAATAATTATTGGGAAGTAGCGTAGGGGGGTCTCAGGTAGGGTAAAAATAATACTATTGCAATCAAGTTTTGCTTATATGTATTATCATGAAATACATATCTATATTAAATATTGTTATGCATAAATACATAAAAATAGCGAACAAAACGATTTTAAATATACAAAAATCAACAAATACTTATAAACTAGAAATCCCTATTTTTGGATATATTAAAGAACATATTAAAAAAAATAATAATAATAATTTTTTTTCTGGGGGTATCATCTTGTAAAGATTTTCTTTTTAGACTAACATTATATTTTGCTCATAAATTTGTGAAGTTCATACGAATTATCGTTCTCAGCTTACAAAAATGGGTTCTGCCTGGGGTTTTGGCATGCATTCTGGAAATGGATTTTTCTCTTGAATGTCACTTGTGGCATTCGATGTTGTTGCAAAAAGCTCAGACAATACCTGCTGAGCTTCTTTTCTGGCATTTTTGGAATGAAGTCTTTTTGATCTAGATAATCCTGCTTCTATTGGTGGTTTCTGGTTGAATAATAATAGGGTGGGAACAGATTTCTTTTTAAAGGTAAACCTAAATTTAAATTTTGTGGTGAATTTAATATGTTACTCAAGACAAAAAAAACCTAATAACTCATTTTGTAAGTCTCTTTCGTAATCATTTTCAGTAAAATGAACTGAGCAGACATAGCTTTTATCTGAATTAAGTTTGTCCTCTCTTCTACATCAAACTATGCACTCGTTCTGAATAATTAGGGACACTAGATCTTTCCCTTTGGGAAAACGATGAAAACTACATTTTCAAGAACTTGCTTTTTCATCAAAATAGTTTTTATTGCACCCAAACATGACACATCTCGTTCCAGGCATACCTAACGTATTTTTTGATGTAACTTATCCCACTGAAAAAGGTAAAAGAACTGTATTTCTTATCTTTACCTATATTATTACGTGTAATATTTTGGCTCGCCTCCTAACTAATAACACCGCTAATAAGCAGCATAAGTCTTTGTTTAAGGTGAAGCACATACAATTTTAAAGTATTTGTTAAACCTTAAAAATACTGTTTTGTCCAAATTTTTTTTACAGAAATACAATTAACACAAATATAAGCGCACTACTCACTAGTTTAAATTATTTTAATTGCTCAAAGAACACAAAATACAACGGTTTAATACGCCTCAAATGCATTGACAGAATACACAAAAACCGTTAGAGGACTTCGCTTACATCACAAGCGACCACGTCCGATCCATAAATTTGGCGAAAGTATCTCTTATGGGATTGGGCAAACCTATTAGGTTTACGATTCTTGGTCCTGTACTTGTCCTTGATGAAATGACATCACATTAGTAAATATAACCCCATTTCATTACTACATATCGGGTTTTAAATTTAACTAAATTGAAAAATGCCCCTGCTATGGTTAAAGCTAAAAGAAAAGGAACTCATTTTAAAAGTATCAGTGGGAAACACTTAATTTTAGTGACGAAAAGAACTGAAAATAGTATAAATATTTCGGTAAAATATACCGACAATTTGTTTTTCTATAGATACATTGTTATTTTAGCAATAATGGTAATGTGTAATATAACCTGTTTCCTTTTTAATATCTTCTTTAGCATTGTGAATATTGTCGTTTTTACCGTTTGTATAGGTAAAATATATCAACTTTGTCATAGAGTTCAGGAGGGTAAGATTTAGAAAACAATGCCAATAACCAATATTATTTTAATACATTTTCAGAAAACCTAGTCGTAATACGTAAATTAGGATTTCAAATTACTGCAAAGTATTCACTGGGAAAGATTGCCACATATATTCCTTATGAGAAAGTACAAAAAATATTTATAAATGAAGTTATCGCAAGAGTAAGTAAACAGTTTTTCTGTATGGATCACATATAAAGCTCTCCTATGTTATAGCACAGAGTAAAATACATACTTACATTGCTTACAAAAGACAGTGACAATGTATTCAAGCTGGTTCCTTTATTTAGAGTAAGTTATTTAATTCATGGACTTTAACTTAGTTCATATTCTCATACAAATTATGAGATATCCAATACCTATTAGATTTCTGACATATTAGCAACCGGAAAAATCAGTTTGTCTCATTTGCAAAACTATTCTCTACTTGAATGAGAATGTACTCTATTTCCCCTCAAAATAGATTATTTGTTAAGACTAGTTTTAAGGAGTTAATTTTTTGTGTTTACAGGATACAGAACCACGACTTGCATGTTTAAAAATAATCTACAGAAGCCTGGTATTGTTGAAAAATAATCAACCAGAAAACAGCTAATTGTAGAGCTTTATTTACAAATTGCCACATTCCAAATAAGTTTTTTTACAAAATAGTTCAATAAAATTTAATGTTAATAAATTTCTATATCATTATTTATCTCATAATTACTATATTCTATCAATAACATAAGATACCGGGCAAGACTGTTTTTTATCCAAAATGTACAAAAGATTTGAAATTTTTGCCAGTTTATCATCCTCTGTCTTAAACTGAAAAACAAAATAAAATAAAAAAAGTAACCCAGAGGACCTAAAAATAAATCTATACTACTTTTTAATAGACATTTACCTTTGGCAGTAAATTAACATTAGGTAGGGTATATTCTCCTTTTGATAATTGTTCTTTTACGATTACTTCAGCTTCTCTTAGATGCTTTAGTCTGTTAGCAATACATGTAGAATAGGCGTCTTCAATCAATGATGTGACAGCAAATCTGTGGCTAACAATTTCTTTGGACAAGTGTACGATTCCCAACAAAGAAGTTTGACTAATTTTCTCCTCCATATTTTGATATTTTAGGATATTTTTTCCAATACTCGGAAATATTGCATGTAACTGTTACTTTTTAAAAATGAAAATGCAGAGAAAAGTATTTTTCAATTGGTAAGTCAGACTATTATGCCTAGAATGACATGTTCATAGAAAATTATTTTTCGGGATTGTTTTTTGTCTGAGTTGGAAGATTTTTAGCAAAGACGTCTACACAGAATATACCTACTATTTTTTTAAATGCAACGAAGTTAACCAGGTCTATAAATAAAAGGTTGTGAGGTGTCATAATAAAAAATTGCCAGATTTTTCCTAATATTCGTTACTGATTATCAATATTTGTTCTGTGATGGGCCATTCACAATACGAAGAAAATTGCACTACTATTCCCCATTCGTGGTCAATAGTATTAAATTCTCATTATTCGTTTCTCGTGGGTACGATCCTCTTGTCTTATACCGATAAATAAAAAATATCGTAACAAAATCAAAAGGAAGCCCGCTCTCAACCTTTTCGTCTAGGTCATCCTCGTCAGAATTAGAGTTGTGGTGTCAATCTCGGTTGATTCGGTCACTTTGATTAATCACTTCATAGGATCGAACGACCGAATCCCGTTTGTTCGTAACAATTCGATCGCCTTGTTCGCTCTCGCTGCTGCCCTAACCGGTCTGAAGTGATCGAATACAGGATAACCGATCGACCGAGCGCACCAAAACAAATCGAATTCGCCTTGCGGAATACGATTCATTTGAATGGTTTAAGATTTAAATGCATGATTGAGACTGACCACGGAAAAGGAATGGGAGTATTGTTATAATTATTCTATAGTATGGAGTTGCGACATCTGTTGGTAGATTTGCTTATGTGTTGAATTGAATATTGAATGAAATATCTATTTCCACACAGGTATTTAATATAAACAAATTAATGTATTACTGGTACAACCCAATACACAGCGCCTATTTTGATAAAATCATGATGCAATAAAACGCAGAACAGCTAAATATTATACTAACTAAAACAGCAAACAGAACATATAGACACAACAATAATTCAAATTCAAATGAATCTGAATCGGTCGTTCGGACTGTTCGGATTCAGTGACTATTGCCGCTTATGTTGGCAACAAAAAGTATTGAAATGAACGATTGATTGAAATGATTCGGTCACTAATTGATTTGATGCTCGTAAAATTAACGATTGACACAACACTAGTCAGAATAGAGCGTGGATCATAATGATGTCTGGAAAAGTTAAATTGAACGTACTAAAAGTCAATAGACAAGGTTTGCCAAAAAATGTTACCAAGGAACAGATGAATGGCCAAATAGACCAGTCGCTCACAGTAAGCAAAATATTGAGGAACAATCAAAATCAAGGATCCAATAGGACTTCTGAAAATGGCTCCAATAGGGCTTTGGAAAACGGGTATAATTGGACTTTAGAACACATCTCTAGTACCACTGTGGCAAAAAAAAATTTAAAAGAGAAACTATTGGTATTAGGCTCCGCCAGTCCCTAGCTAACATATGGGATGGACTGCTGGCAGGGGGGGGCCAGCCCCTAGAATATCAAGGAACTCTGAGCTTTATACCCAAAACCTAAAAGTATGTATTTGAAGGTGCCAATTCTACATTCAGAAATAGTGGTTAGTGGGAGCACAATGGCAATTAAAAGTTGATAATATAAGTTAAGCCATGTTCAGTAGCCGTCCAGTATCACAGGGGCGGGATACATAGTGAAAACTCTTTTAGAAGAATAGAAGCTCGAGGGTTTTGAACTCCTGGGGCTCATCTTGGAAGGGGGAGAAACGGAGGTGCAACAGGGCCACTCTTACCAAATGAAACACACAAGGCAAAAGAGATAAAAAGTAAGTATGTTTTTGTATAATTGCAAAAAGATAACTACAAGTAAAACAATTTTGAGATGGATATTAAAAACAAATTTTTTGCTTTTAAATTCTGATGTTATTAAAAGAATTAAACTCTATAATAATCCTTATTTATCAACATTTTTCTTATCAATTAAACCTAATAATAATCCAATATTTATTCTGAACCTAAAAAATCTAAATTTAAGCTGGAATCATTTACTTTAAGGTGGAAGATTACCACTCTGTTCTGAACATATTTCTACCTAACATGTTTATGTGGACTATTGATTTAAAGGAGGCTTATTGTAGGATCCCAATTGATGGTGAATATAGAACTTTTCTTCATTTTACTTATGACAAAGAAATCAATCAATACAAATCTTTTTGTTTGGCATCAGCTCTATTAGTTTTCACCAAAAATCCAAACCTATTGTCTCATGAAAAACCAACATATTTATCTGGGATTTTTTTTTCAATTCTACTGAAATGTGTATTTCTAAACCACTTACAGCATATGTGACTTTGCCAGGGGTCCTAAAATCAGGTATAGTTTGGTGGCAAAAAGCTATTAAAAAATCTTTTAATGTAATAAGACAAGACAAATTTACTCATGGGTTGTGGACAGCAGAGGATAAATTTGGACACAAATTTTTTTTTAAAGCAATTTCACTTGTTCTTAAAAGCCTCATTCCAATCGTCAGATCTAAGAGATTGTAGGCTGGTTGACAAGACCACTGCCATCGCCTATATGAACTGAATGGGTAGTGTCAAATATCTGGACTTGACAGCCTTATCTAGGGGAATTTGGCAGTAATGTGAAAACTCTCATGCTGATAAAAAATCTAGAACTCTAATGTTAGAGTTACAGACCGCTTCAGCCTACCAGAAATTGATCTTTTTGCTTCCTACGTAAATAACAAATGCTAAAAAGATATATCTCAAGATTCCCAATAATAATTATTTTGCAGGAAATGCTTTCACAGTGTCTGGGAGAAATTTATTTTTCTATGCATTTCTACCATTTTGTCCAATTCTAAAAATACTTAATAAAGTAATTTTGGACAAAGCTACGGCAATTATGACAGTTCCGAAGTGGACGTCTCAAGCACAGTATTGTCAGGGAGCCCACAACCCTTGGAGCAGGCGATAATATTTTTTTTTGATTTCAGGTCATCAAAGCTTCAAAACCTTTCACTGGAGGCAGGATTATTATCCCGCAAGAACTTCTCAAGAAAGGCAAGGACAGGCCTTGCCAAATCCAACACAAATTAATATGAAACTGTCTATAAGAAATGGTGGGAATCTTGCCAACATCAAAAAATAGGTCCATTGGAAGCAACAGAAGATGGTTTAAAATTTTTCGCCAATCTCGTTAACTACAAAAAATTTTATTATGGATCCCACAACAATTTCCATTCAACGTTTTCATTAATTTTCAATATCAAGTTGGAAACGCCCAGTATTAGATGCTTTCTCAGGGGCATTAGTTTGTTCCCACAGACTCTAAACAACATTTGGAAGACTGAGTTGGAAATGTAGTACTGCACAAAGACAGCATCCAAACTCTATTGCCTGACGACATAAAAACTACAAGACCCTCCAAGGAGAACCCCTGCCTATGCCTGCCCTTTTTTCCATAGAGACCAAATATTTGTCCAGTATTATGTTTGGAGCTTTGCATTAGCAGAACAGTTGAAATAAGAACAGAAGCACATTAATTCTTAACTGCAACCATCACCAGATGGTTCAAATCCACATTAGGTTGGGGCGGATACAAGGACATTTAGGGAAAGTTATAAACTTCGGCAGAGATGTATCCAAGATGTATCTCCCCCTTCCCCGCCCGTTCACTCGTGAAAATAAAAAAATATGTATTTTCATATTTATTGGAAATAAAATACTTATTATCTTTGTGTATAAAAAAACTTTTTATCTTATAGATATTGAAAATATATGCGAACTAAATTTTAATGCTTAATTATTTTTTAAAACCACCCATTATTTACAAGAATACTTATTTTGACCACCTATTGTTTTTGGAGCAGCATGATTTTTTTAAAGCAATTTGTAAAACTTCAAACAACTTAAATTTCCGTTGCACTTTGTAATCATGGCTGATTTCAAAATGCTCACATGAAGTTCACTTTTTTCGCTACTCCTATGCTACTTCCTATGCATTAGTAGCTTGTAGGCAGAGTGCAAACTCAACAAAACAATTATTGAAAAGTTCAAGCTATCGGACACAAACATCGAGCCCATTAGCTTGCCAATCTTCCAACTTTTAATTGGTTATAAATTCCTTTATTCAAGATATTTCGTCAAATGTTCTTTTATTAATGTTTCATTTTACAATAAAGTTTTTAAAGTGGGTTGAATTTCTTAGAATGTGGAATTGCGTCGTTGCCAATGTTTATAAATTTTCTGGGAGATAAAATATAACTATATTGAAAAATCCGGGACAATCCAAGACGAGTAGGTTTTCCAGGACGTTGTCGGAAGAGCCTGAACCTGTACCGACCAATCCTGTACGTATTGCCAGCCTGCTTTAGGGCATAATCAATGAAACATGCTTCCACATCGGCGACGCATAACAACAGAAAATATAAGGACAGTAGAATGGTCGGCTGCGTCACACAGTTTCTATAAGTGATTACGACAGGACAACGTATTGTTATTACTAGATTAAACAAACTTTACCTGTAAAGGTCTATCCTAGTCACAATAGTTTTCCTGTAAATAGATGTCACTTTCCCGCCGTTTTTTCTCAATCTTTAGATTTTTAAATTATAATGAGAAGTTAGCGGCAGAATTGGAAGTAAAGACCCCATTTACTCTTTCGGCTTTAAAACACGTAAGCATAGTTTTGGTTTTGGTTACTAGTATGGATACTATCCAGTTTCTATAAATGATATCTACGGAGAAGAGAACTATTGTTATTAGGACAGCACTTCACAGGTGAGTTGGTTTAATCCAGTACTTAGTTTTTTCCGAGGATGGGCGAGTGTCTCTGGAAGATTTCCCAATGTGACGTAATGTATTCAATGGTTTTGGTAAAACATAAATAAATCTGATTAGATCTTGTTAGGTGTTGATAAAGGTTTTGAATAAGTAGTCACAAGAAGGATATCTAGAGAGATGTCATCCTATTTAAGGGGATCCACCAATTATGTTTGGTCAACAACTAGTATTTTGGGCAAAGGTGCTACTGCCACGGTTCATCAGGGTGTAAATAAAGTCAATGGCGAACCAGTTGCTGTGAAAACATTTAATCACATTAGCACCTTAAGGCCCCAAGAAGTGCAGATTAGGGAATTTGAGGTGTTGCGCAGGGTTAATCATGAAAATATTGTTAAACTGCTTGCAATTGAGGAGGAACAAGAGAATCGGGGAAAAGTTATTGTAATGGAACTTTGTACTGGTGGTAGTTTGTTTAACATATTAGATGATCCAGAAAACACATATGGTCTAGAGGAATCAGAATTTCTTTTGGTGTTAGCACATTTGTATGCGGGTATGAAACATCTGAGGGATAATAATTTGGTACACCGAGATTTAAAGCCAGGTAAAGCTGCAAAATTTTATTTATGGGATGAAAATATTGCTTGTTTTTTATTAACAATGTTAATTGTTTTTAATGTTTCAGGCAATATTATGAAATTTATAAAAGATGATGGCACAACAATTTATAAACTCACAGATTTTGGAGCAGCTAGAGAGCTGGAAGAAGGACAGTATTTCCAGTCTCTCTATGGAACTGAAGAATACCTGCATCCAGATATGTATGAGAGAGCAGTGTTAAGAAAACATGCTAATAAAACTTTTGGTGCAACTATTGATTTATGGTCCATAGGAGTTACCCTCTATCATGTTGCTACTGGCAATCTACCATTTCGACCTTATGGTGGGAGGCGAAATAAGGAAACAATGCATCATATTACTACAAAAAAGGTTTGAAAAATGTTTTTTTTTATATATAATCCAAAGGTTATATTACATCCATTCTAAATATAAATGTTTTATAAATAAAACTTCAGTTATAAAATGCAATAATGATTTGTGAATAATTGTCTAAAGAATAAGAAAATGTATTTTTTCTTGTTTATAATGTAAATTATAAATTATTCTGTTCCCTGTGCTCAATATTATTCAGTAAAATTTTCTTGTGGTTTTCAACTTTTTAATATTATTGCTATATATGTAGGGCCATTTCATAATAAGAATAATAGATAACGTTTTTTTATTTGTTTCGATTAAAAATTTGTAGATAAATCTCCACATTAAGGTGTGGATCAGCGCAACTATCTTTATTTGTACCTGCAATGCAATTCAATAAGTTTTTCTCATAAATTTGATTCCATACCTTTTCCATTATATGGTACATTTTTCTCAATATCCACTTTGTTTTTAATTATTTTTTTTAGTTTCATTTCATGCTTATATTTTTTTAAAATTTGTTATTGTTTGGAACAAATGTTATTGTTACATAGATATACAGGGTGATGGGTGATTCAACATTTTATGATTTTGTTCAACGCTGCTTTTGGAGATACAGGAGGATTGTGTAGCATTACAAATAAAAGAAATTATGAATTTTAAACTTATTTGGATGTTATTTTTAGAGCGCGTTGATTTCATATTTTAATATAGAAAAGGTTCTTGATAAATACCATCACAAGTCTAGTTAAAAAAAATAACATCATAAATTTAAGCATATTGTAAAATGCATTTTAAGTTTTTCATTACTAATGACATTTAACTTTTTGAAGCAATATGAACGGACCGGTTAGATGGCTTTTCTATGAAAAATTTAACATTTTTGCAGATTATCATAATCATATATGATTTATATATATTATATATGTTTTGTTGTGTAGTAGCTAGTTTTGAGATTGCCCATTGTTTATGAATCACCATTTATACTCATCTAATATATTCTTCTTTGTAATTATTATTATCATTTATCATGTTTCTTCAATATTAGATTATCTTAAAATTGACTAAACTTATCCCTAAAATTGAATCTTAATTAAAACTATTCGCATACTCTATAGCGTTTAAAACGTAACATTAATTTTAATTGCCAGCTTTCAATACGTTTTCAGGTAGGCAATTTGTATTCGGTATTTTTAATTTTTTAAATAGGAGATCTATCGATTTCTTTTTTTGTACATTTGTTAACAATGTAAACATTTGGAGACCTACCGTATAATACTCTCAAGCTTCAAATTTGAAATTAGATCAATTTAAACGCGCCCAAGTTTCAAATGTGAGTTAAATCGGTCACATATGATATCATTCTCCATCTAAAAGTGCATTAAAGAAAGTATAGAGTATTATTAATTACGCACCTACTGTGGTATTGAGGGAAATTGATAACACCTCATCTTATTGTAAATATATCTTGGAAACATAGATCACCTGCTTACACCATTTTGCAGTCCACTGGCCCATAATATGTGACATGTTAAAAGAAATTTCCTTTTGCTTTTAGGAAAGTGGGGTAATATCTGGAATTCAAACTAAAGAGAATGGTCCAATTGAATGGAGAAGAGAATTACCTTCAAACTGTCAATTAAGTTTGGGATTAAAAAAAACTATAACTCCACTTTTAGCTGGTCTCCTCGAAGCTGATCATAGAAAGATTTGGAGCTTTGATACATTTTTTAAAGAAGTGGATGCGGTTCTCAAACGTAAAGCTGTAAACATATTCCATGTAAACAAGTCAACTTTGATTAAGATATATATTGACCCGAAAGAAACTTATGATCAACTGCAACAGTATGTCAAAGAACAAACTGATATTCCAGCAGAAAATCAAATTTTGTTATATAAAACTTCATTGTTAACCACTCTTATTGAAGATTATGTGCATGCTAGTGGTTTTCCTCAAACAAGGGAAGATGACCCTCTATTCCTATTTAGTAAAGAAAATAATAACATACTAATTCAATCTTTTCAAGAATTGCCCAAGTTCAATGATTTTTCTTCTGTGATATCTGTGGAAAATGACGCCAGTCAGGCCAAATTTGCCTGCAGTATTGGGCACCAAGCAAAGCGTCATATAGAGAGATATTCATTATATAGTAAACTGATTTGTGATACAGTGGAAAATTTTACGAAATATGTTAACTTAAACTTAAGAGAATTAAATATAAATTCCCAACATTTATTAGACAAAACTATCATATTGAAAAATACAGCGCAAATTCTGCAACTGTCGCAAAATATTAGCAATTACCATTTGAAATATAATTATCCTACGGAATTGGAAGACATTAGTAAAGAGTTTACCCAGGTTGTGGTAGTTGGAATTCATACACTTTACAAACAACACACCATGGAAAATTATTTGAAGTTGCAGTGGGATTCAATGAGCAGAGAACTGAAATGTCCGTTCAACACATTAGCACCAGCAAGGTATTTTAGTACACAGCTTTTTGCCTAATTTAAACAGAATAAAGTTCCAAAATTGTGTTCCCTAAGGCAATTAAAATGGTTCTGTATAGTTTAGGTTACTTATTTGAAAAATACATTTTGCTTCTGTTTAATTCCATTAACCATTACTAAATAATTCAACATTTTTTAATAATTTGATTTGTTATGTGTTATGACAAAACTAGGAAATCAACTAAGAAGCATCCAGTGGTGAGAACACTGATTTGAATTTTGGAATTATTTTCGTGCTTCTTTATTTATCATCTTATTTAGCTTTGTTGTTTCCAATCCCTCATTGCCACTACAAAAAAATTATATTATATTATTGGTACACATGACGGTTTTTTCATTATAGGTTTACATTAAACCTGGTACGATATTGGTTAACCTATTTTGATAAATCTCCTTGTAGATAGGTCACTCCATTAAATTTTATGAATATAGAAAGTCAAATTTACCCTAAAGGTTACTTTGTAGGACCTAATGATTGGTTTATATTTTTCAGGGGTTAAGCATATTTATCTCGCCTCGCCTTTTTTGGGGTGTACCAAATGGTACTGATTTTACTAAATGCTTTTGTTTTTAATGAATCTTTAGTCATGAAATAAACATGATGTTTAGCTAATTTAAGTTTGTTTACACTTTTAGAGCCAAAAGCCAAGTTGAACATTTAAGGGATTCTTGGCAACATCTGGTCAGAGACAGGGCAACAAGAACGCTATCCTACAATGATGAACAGTTTCATATATTGGAAAGGATTAAAATTACACAGACAATAAATAGACTAAAAAATCTTTTGGAAAAGGAAGTTTTTCCACAGTATGAGCTACTGTCTGAGAACTTTGGTGATTGGTACAAGATGGCTCAAAACATACATCTGAAATCTGAAATTTTGGCTTCGGATGTTGACAAGTATGAAAGTAAGTTGAAAATGTTTGAAGAAAAATTGACAATTGAAAATGTTGATTATACAGACCATCTTAAAAACAATTATGAATCAACAAAGAAAATCAATTTGTCTAAAAATGTAAGAAATGTTCAAAACCAAAGGCTTAGGAATTATTTACAGGAATATAAAATCGAAAGTAGTACAATAAAGGATGTTATATCGGAGAATTTTAGGCTCATGAATATGTTAACTGAGTCAACAAATGAACTTAAGCAAAAATGTTTTCCACTGGAGGAAATCTGACTTTTATATAATGGTTTTTAAGAGTGACTATTGTAATGTTGCAAATTGGCCTTTGATCGCAGTAATGTGGAAGTGTGCAGCCAGCAGTTGTTAAACATGAGGGTGTTATGCATCTCGCGGTGTAAATGCTCACTCTGGGGTGGTTTCATTTATGTAAGGCAATTGATAATAGAATTTAACATTTTCCAATTGCATAGAATGGATGAACTAAACTCTTTTTAGACTCCTTCTTGCCCATTATGATTTAATTTATTATCAAGTTCGCCAATAGTTCAAAATATTATCAATTGGTGAGTGACAAACGATAATTTTTTATGTAAAGTTTTTTATCACTATTATTTATTTTTTGGGGTACTTTAGTTTACATTTAATATATCAGCGAATATTTGAACGTAATAATTATAGATTTGGAAAAGAACAGCAGTTGAATAAGTTGGTGCTGAACTTATACTGCTAAAAATCTAAATTAATTTTATTTGCTTATTGATTATATAAAAAATCTGTAAAACATTTTTGTTTTTCATGTATCATAAAGGCTGTTTGACCATACTTCGCACTGCAATATGACACCCAAAATGTTAATAATTAGATTAAATTTACAGGGATTAGCAAACCAAACAATGACAGTTTAACTACAATAAGACTAGAAAAGTTTGTCCTGATAAAATCATACACCTGACTTATTACACTGTTGTCCACTTTAAACATAGGTATTACTTTTGTGATAGTTTTCTGTAAATATTTGTTCAATATGAAATTTATATTTTATTAAATTTTAATCTGGAAAACGCGTGTTTGTTCAGATTAATTTTCGGTTGCAGCCGCTAAATAGTTTCAGTTCAGACCCTTACATATAAGGTGGAATTAGGATCCCAGAAGCATGCCTATATATGTGGGCGTTTCAATTACATTATTAAATCATTGGTTTAAGCCATCCTTAAACAAGGTACTTAAAAAACATATTCGATACAAAAATTAAACTGCAAAGAACACTTGCATAGCATAAAATATTTTCCCAACTTCTTCAATTTCTTTTAAATTACTTACAAATTTATTACAAATTATTATTATTATTACATTTATTACAAATTTAAAAATGCAACTGTTTAACTATTTAACTGTTGAACCTGTTACTTGGAATATTTTCCCCAATTCCAGTCACTAATGGAATTTGAGCTTAAATGGTCACACATATTTTATTTTGCAAACTGAATTTTATTAGTGGCACATACACCTTCATTTCCAAATAAAAGAGTTGTCCAATATTAATAGAATTTATTATGTTTATTCTACAGTGTATAATACAAAAAAAATATTATATGCATTGATAACCACATAAAAAATGTTCCTCATTCATTATTAACAAAATACTTTGTGACAAATACTTGCAAAAATGTTTTAACACAATTTTCTTAGTATTAGCGCAGAGAAGACAAATAATGGAAATTTGCAGGGATAAAGCACTGCATATAACAACATCCTTGGCTTGATTCACAATCAGGAATGTTCAAACTTCAATAACAAACAGGTCTTTGTATCAGGTTTACAGAAATTAAATCACACTTTTTTGTCCAAACAGTCAACATGTGGGGTCCTGGATTACTCATTAATTATTTGCTAAAATATAAACAAAAATAAGTATTGGGCATGATGCCATAAAGGATAACATCAGGTGGTTCTCATTTAGCTAGTGCTGGACAGTGGTTTAGGTGTCATGACACAACTTAATACTTAAAAGGATCTTTCACTTGCAAATAATGATGCCTATTATCAAACATGACTACCCACTCACCCCTATTTGAAACACTTCCTTCCCTCACTCGCAAAACTACAGACTTGATGGTTCCAAAGATTGTTAGAATGAAAGTTGCTACTCAAGCTGTAAGCTGACACATTTGACAGTGAGGACAATTATGAGAGATCCTAATTCTAAAACAATTAGTTCAAATGGGGGTAGAAAACTTTGTTGAATTTTGGAGTTACGAAAATGTAGTTTGCCTTTAAGATCACAGGCGTCAGTTATATTGTGCATATATAGTGAGCGGAGTCAATGTGGGGAGATAATGAAGTGAAGCATTCACGTGCCCCTCCCATCAGATGTACATTCTTCTTGATACACTGGCAGAGTATTAAATGATGAAAGTTATTGCCCGATAGGGTTGATCCTTAAAACTGCAGCAAGATCTTGAATGACTCTATCTATTGTGGGCAGAATAATCCAGGCATATGAATATTTTAATCAGGATCCACTTATTCACATTCAAAGTAACTTACAGGACACTGAATTACCTACAAAGCCAAATCTTATGATTTATTATATTATTCAAACTTAGTTTCAGTCCTCTGTATATTATATATTTCATATTTGTGCGCATAGATCTCACGAAAGGGACAAATCATCATAACTTCCATTCTGATAGTGTAACAATATCTAAAATATGTTGCGAGATGTGTTCCAAAATTATGAGACCTGTGTTCGCAAGTACACGCGACATTTGCTAGCATATTTATCAAATTAGTTAAAACGAGAGAAATGGGGGGGCTCATAAAATAAGCAAAATGAAATTACAAAATCAAAAGTGCAAGTCCAATAGTTTTAAAACACACTCACCAAATTCCACTTTTTCTTTTAAATCCACCCTAAAGTTTTTTTTATTTGTTTGTGACGCGAAAGAAACATTAAAAAATATTTTTTATAAAAACATGAAAAACATAAAAAAATACTAAACTTATGGGAATAAAGTGAATCTTAAAATCATGTAAAAATTGCTTATTTCTGGGACCGCTTCTGTGAACTAACCAGTGATTGGCATAGTCCCAATTTGATATAAAACAAGCTATGCCAATTTTGATTTTTGGCATTTTGCATACAACATTTTCTTTAATCCTTATCGCAATTATAAAGACAGCGAAAATAATAAAAATGAAAATAAAAAAAGATATTTACAGTCTCGAAAAGCACGTTTCAATTAACGGAGATCAGCCGTTAATATTTCATGTATAAATCTTGATAAATGTAAAATCAAAATTGGCAGAAAAGTGGAAGTACAAAACAAAAAGAAGTACGGCATATATATCTATCAATCCAATGAAAACACGATAGATACATCCACCTCCCTTCCACTCAGTGGTAGTGCAAATCAAGCGAGTTGCGCAACCAGTCGGCAGGGGGGTGGGACATTCCTCAGTACGCCGATGCCTCTTTGTATTCGGAACCTTCCATTGTAAAGAAATCTTCGAGTTTCCATTGTAATGTTTCAAATGTGGGACGACGCATTGGATCGCGATTCCAGCACTCCAACATAATGTCATAAAGCGCTGGCGGGCAACTAGGAGGAGCTGGCATGCGATAGCCATGTTCCACTTGGTGCAACACCTCTGCGTTGGTCATACCTGCAAAGAAAAAATGCACATTAAAATCGACTTTATTCGTTTGAGTGAAGTAAAGGTATTACCTGGGTAAGGTATTCTACCATATGTAACAAGTTCTGTGAGCAAAATGCCAAACGACCACACATCCGATTTTATTGAGAACTTGCTGTAATTTGCCGCTTCCGGTGCCGTCCATTTGATTGGGAACCTCGCACCAACGCGGGCTTCATATTCGTCTTCCTATAAACCAGAAATAGCAACTAAGGTAATGGAATCAAATCAAATACAAAAAAAAAACATGGTATCATCTACATAGTCACACAAGACACAATTGCCATTTTTTACTCAATACAGGACTCTCTGTCTGAATTTTCTAGATGTTATTCGATCAAAAATAACTAAATAAGCATCAACAACATATGCAAAAGACTAACCAAAACCCTAAGTGACATCACTTCCTTTAATTTTTATTTTATTTAAATGAGATTACAGACATGACACAACAAACAGGCAGAGCATAAAATACAATAATCATAACCAACCAATAACCTAGGGATTTTCTAGCTTTTTATTGCCACATAAGTGGAATATTGCTACGAACTCGGTTCCTAGGCCAATACCCAACTCTTAGTCAGTAGAGTTTTCCATTCAACCTAGGGATTTTCTAGCTTTAAATTGCCACATAAGTGGAATTTTGCTACGAGCATGGGTTCCTAGGCCAATATCGAACTCTTGGTCAGTAGAGTTTTCTATTGAACCTAGGGATTTTCTACCTTTAAATTGCCACATAAGTGAAATTTTGCTGCGAGCTCAGGTTCCTAGGCCAATATCCAACTCTTAGTCAGTAGAGTTTTTCATTCAACCTAGGGATTTTCTAGCTTTAAATTGATTAAGTTAAATAGACCGTCTTATATATAATATTATTATAAATTATTATATATTATTATATTATTATAAATTATATAACGTTGCCCCACTGAAAATATTTTAAATGAATTTAGCATAGATATAGATTCCATTTTTACAGGTACGGATATATATAATAATTGGAAATTTGGTAAGTTGGTGTGGTTTTTTGAATTCCCAAAATCTTTTGTCCAACATACTCCTCGTCTAAAATCAATAGGTTTTGAACTACAGCCGTTCAAAAATATTACGGTTACTTACGCCTCATTCAATGAGTAATTCAATAAAAAAACAAAAACAAAATTTGTTGCCAATTAAAAAAATGCAGTTATGGTGAATCAATTTTTCAAACTTTGGCCAGTTAGTGCACGAAAACATTTTAGCTTACATCAATTATGATAAATTAAACTTTGATAAACATTTGCAAAATTAAAAATTTGGTACGCTGTTTATACAACTAATGTTAATAACAGTAATTTATCTCCGCGTCAGTATGCAATAATGTGGTTTCAAAATCATTACCCGTTGTTACTTGTTTATTTAACCGAACTAAATAATAACAAAAAATTAATAAAAAAAAATTGTCACAGGTTTTGAAATAACTGGAAAAAGAAACAAGAAGGTAACAAAACTCATAATTTTAGCGTTCAAAATGACCTCGCCATTGTTGAACAGATCTTTTCGTTATCTTTTCACAATTTTTCTTACAAGATTTTCTTTTTGGATATACGTTATGTTATTGAGTTCGAAAAATTCATCCCTGCAAGTCTAATAAACTGTTTACTGCAGTTACATAGACAAAGGCGAAATCTGGTAACCCACTGCGGCGCTGTCAGGATATAGACCACCTGCTGCTCTGCAAAATCTACCAAGTGGCTGCAACTTCCAGGATATATGCCTGGACACGCAAGAAGCTTTGGACGTGATCCGATATTAGATTGAAAGATTATGATCTGGTTTTCGGACAGGCAAAAGAAAACAAACGAATGCATAAACCACCGATAATATTCTAAGAGTCTTTGCAAATCGTTACTGCCTCAGTGTTGGTAAACTTGGTACTTATAAGATTCGTAGCCGTATTTCTTTAATATCTTCTTTGCACTTTTCGTGCGCACTCCAATTTTTTCTACAATCTGACGAGTTTAAATATTAGGGGTCGTACTTGCAAAAGCTAACACATTTCTGCGTCTTCACTGATAATAAAGCCTCCTTCAGTTTCATTTTCGGGAAGATTTCTAAAATGCTGCATTAGCGACGAAAAATAACACGAACTGTCAAATAAATAACTGTCAAAATTTGTATTGTCATTTCCTGTGGTTTGAATCCATGGCCAAATACGCGACGGGTATGATTGTTTATTGGCAATTCTACTATTTTATTCATTTTCGTGCCAAAGCTTTATTAACCTAAACAAAGAGTATTTTGTTTTAAAATTGGCAGGAGTTTATATATGTTGAGTTTATCATAATTGGATGCAGGATAAAAAAATAAGTCTGGACAGTGGAAGTTTCCTTCTTGTAAGTTAAACTGTTTTCGTGCAATAAATGATTGAAGTTTGAAAAATGTTAAATAACCCTAATATTTTTTGTTCAGGCAACTTCGTTTTTTCATTAAAAAAAATCTTCGAATTGTGGCATATTTTTGAACGGGTTTGTTTCACAAACTATTGATTTGCGACATGAAGTATGTTAGACAAAAGAAGTTTAGAACTGTTTAGCGAATCCAAAAAGTGAAAAATATATAGGGTGTTCCATTTAAAATGACAATATTGAGGTTATATTTACAATATACCACCCTATCAATATCCAAATTGCTAATTTTTATGTCAAGCTATTTTGAAATGTTATATTTTTCATTTTATTACATTTTTTGAAAAACCAACTCCCAAACTTTAATTCTTTAAAAGTTAAGTTATTGTTTTGTAAATACTGGCAATAAAACATTTGTGTAAAAGGGTAAAAATAATCAGGTTTTATTACAAAATTTGGCGTTTAAAATCAGATACTGCAATATTGGACTCTGTTTTTGAACTGCATAAAGCAAAATTGAAGTTGGCAAGGACCTTCATTGAAATTTGACTGTGTTTCTAAATTTCCAGAATTCCTTGCAAGTTTTTTGTACCCATGATAAAGGCGAGATGCTACATACCTTAATTAATCTGGCTAATCCAAAATCTGCAATTTTCACAATATTACCATCTGCAACGAGAACATTTCTGGCAGCAAGATCTCTGTGAATATAGTTCTGAGATTCTAAATAGGCCATTCCAGCAGCTATCTGCGCCGCCATATCAATTAGCTGCTGAAGTTTTAGGCCTGAAACCAATTAAAACAGATAATTAACTTTTTCCTATTTAGAGAATAACTTCAGGTCAGTAATAACCTTAATAATTGAAATATTAAAGATCAATTTGAATTTTTGCAAGTTTTCCATATCCCATATTCTCATAAGCTCTTCCGGCCTGGCGCTACGAGTATGTCGTCTGTCAATTTACCCAACCAATTTCATTCCGTCTAAAGTCAAAATTTTGTGACAAACGCGCAGGAAAATTGAAAAAAGAAGGGGAGGCAAAAATTAAAATCGAATTTTACTTCAAGAAGGTCCTTTGATTTTTCAATTTTATACAGCTTAAAACTTAAAGCGACTCCAAAGACTAAACGATTTATGACAGAAGTGGTCAATTTCAACAGAATTGTGAGGAAATTCAACTTGGGCTTTGTTAAATTAATATAAACATGTTCTGACAGAAACTCTTTTTCAAGTTTTCAAAATTTTTCTTTGCCCTAATTTCGATTGTATAAGAGGCAGGACAACTAAATTTAAAAAATTCACTTTATAATTTCTTAAGTTAATTTCCTAAGACAAGTCGTCGATTAAGATCAACTTGGTGCCTGTGCAATAAAGTAAAATCCAGATTTAGACTCTCCTACTTGTAGGAAGAATTTCACGAATAATGAAACAAGACTATTGTGGCAATGTCAAAGCCTATGTAAAAAAATTAATATGCCGATGTAGGCTATATCTTACTGAAAGCCAGAAATTCATGAAACAATCAGCCAATTTAGAACGGCTGGTGATAAATATAGAATGAAATTAGTTGGGTAGATTGACATACTCATGGGCCCATCATAGAAAGAAAACGCCTTCATTGGACTGTAAAATCGTGATCCTCCAAAGAGAATATGGGTATAATAAATATCTGAAAATTGCTTTGGCTCTGTTCTAGACTTCGTTCTTACTTCAATTATTCTGCTTTTTAATTGTCAATTGTCAACATTTCCTTTTTCTCCTAATTATCATCCTAGGGCGATTACACATCATAATACTAGTAGTATAACGTTTAATATTCTTAGCGTTGACACTCTTCTTTTTAACATTGACAAGTGTTGTTTTAACTTTAAAAGATTAAAAGCAACACGCTAACATATCAAAACATTATTAAAGTTTACAATTTACTGGATTCCTCTTGCGTCGGTGGTTGTTGAGTGAAACTTGCTAACGTTTCGCCAATCATCCTGTTGGCTTCTTCAGGGCTTGACTGAAACTGACTCGCATTTTACTCTGTACCTGCTTATATATTGATTGAGGGGGGCTGAGCTAAATGAGGGGCATAAACATCGTCTCGGATGACTGATTTCCATATTGGTGAAAGGCAATTTAAAGACCTAAGTTGTATGGTTGCTTACAGGTTTCTATAGATTCTCGGATTTTTTGTTGGTAGAAGAATTAATTACATGCAAGAATTTCACATTTTTTGAGCCCAGTTTTCGTTCGGTCTCTCTAATATATTCTTTGCCGCTTATATGTAAACAGGTATAGAGTAAAATGCGAACCAGTTTCATTTAACCTCGTAAGAAGTGAACAGGAGCAAGTTCGACTCAATAACCAGCGACGCAGGAGGAATTCAGAAGTTTTGTAAATGGTATTTCAGTAGCCCGTGAAAGTTTCTTTGAAAAATTAACAGGCCTTTATGGAGCACATCAAGCGCAGAAAGTTAGAGGATGACTGACTGAAACTGATGAGATTACTCTGAACACTGATCTTTTTGTTATGTTGTAGAGACCATAAAGCTATCCCTAATTTTCTTAAAATATCCCATCAGGTCAAACCCTCATCCGCTTATAAAATTCTTCGAAAATCTAGTTTTGCTTTACTTCCCGTAACGAAACAGACCAAATCAATAAGATGCTTCTGTCTCTACATCTTGTCCCCAGCTGAGTTGGATACCCTTTCAAACATGATTCATGATAAAACTGAAAATCTTCGTTCATCTTCTACCCAGAATCACATTCAGAAATTTGAAAACTAACGTCAAAATTATTGAAATCATGAAACTCTTCTCAACGAGCAAACACCAACTTTCGGACACGGAAAACTCAGTTCTTGCAAAAGGTTCCAACATCGTCCTTGCCCAACGTATTATCCCAAAAGCGGAGATCATTTCAAATGTCCAGTCTATCCTAAAGAAACTAACCATCTCAAGAAGCCAATGAAATTCAATTAGAAATCCTTAAAATATCAAAATCTTGCTCTACAATCTACTCTCGATATCGTAATCCTAAAAGCAGATAAAGGTGGTCATGAACAATTAAAATGCGTTACATTAGATCCACAAGATATTCTGGTTAGTTTCGATGTAGAATCCCACTTTACTAAAGTCCCTATTCCTGAAACTCTCAACATCATTTCAGATCATTCAAGAATATGGAACCCAAGTTTCTCACCTTAATTGAAAAATGCTTTTCTGGAACATATTTTTCTTATAACAGTCAAATTTTTAAATAAACGTCGGGAACAGCTATGGGTTCTCCATTATCACCAGTCATCGCGAATATATTTATGGAAGCCTTTAAGAAGAAAGTTCTCAACACCTTTCATCTAAAACCAAAATTATGGAAATGCTATGTCAATGATACTGTTGTTATTTGGCCTCATGGTCAAGAATCCCTACTAGATTTTCTTAGACATTTAAACTCTACACACCCTAGCATACGTTTTTTACCACTGAATTAGAAACTGACAATTACCTCCCATTCTAAGAAATTCTTATCAATACAAAATCAGACATAACATTGGGTCATTGTGTTTACAGGAAACCTGGTCACACAGTCCGACACCTTAACGCATTGTCACATCACCATCCGACCGAAAAATTATCGGTCATCAACTCTCTTGTTTACAGAGCCGTAAAACTATCTTAGCCCGAGTCACTGAACCCAGAATTAAAACACCTGCTCTTCTCTCTATAATTACCACATTAAAGATATTAAGCGTTCCATCACAAAATACACTTCAGCAAAACCTTCCAAAAACAGAGTCCGAAGCAACCTCACTTTTGCAACTGTTGTCCTTCCTTACATTCAAAACATCACTGACCACCTATCAAAAGTTCTTAAAAAATATAACGTCAAAACCAGATTTACCACTTGTCCAAACCTCTCAACATGTTCAATCTGTCAAAGACAAAATTCCATTTGAGATGCCAGGAGTTTACAGTAATACTTTCATATGCGGCAAAGAAGAAAGAGCCTTAAGACTACGATATATAAACTCATCAGGAGTTGCCGAACACAATCACGAAACCGGACATAAAATTTTATTCTATAAAACTAAAATTCTTGCATGTTATCAATTCTTATACCAACGAAAAATCCGTGAATCTATAGAAATCTATAAGCAAACATACAATTTTAACCGCGACTCAGGTCTTTACCTTTCACAAATATGGGAATGAGTCATCCGAGATAATGTTTACGCCCCTCATTTAGCTCCACGCCCCTCAAACGATATATAAGCAAGTAAGTAAAATGCGAGCCAGTTTCAGTGAAGCTCTGAAGAAACCAATAGGATGATTGGCGAAACGTTAGCAAGTTCGACTCAACAACCATCGACGCAGGAGGAATCCAGAAGTTTTGTAAATAGTAACTTTAATATGTTTTGATATGTTAGCGTGTTGCTTTTCCAATCTTCTAAGGTTAAAACAATATTTGTCAATGTTAAGAAGAATGTCAATGCTATGCATACTAAACGTCATAATACTAGTATTATGATGTGTAATCGCGCTAGGATGATAATTAAATAATTTGTAAATAGTATTACAGTGGCCTGTGGAAGTTTCTTTAAAAAATCATATTGAAGTTCAATTTTAAGGTGCCGGTCTAGTATGAGGTCTATCCAGGCTTTGTTTAATTTTGTTTACTTACAAATTAGTTTGGGTGGACCGCATACTAAACCAACGACAATTAAACTTATAGCCTGAAATAAATCTTCCAGCGTTCATTTCGTCGTTCAAGTAGTTTAAATTAATTACCCCTACCTTTGCCTTTTCCTTGAAGATATTCTAACAAAGATCCATTTCTCATTAACTCGGTGATAATGTAGATTGGTTCTTCAACTGTACAGACGGCGTATAACTGAATTAGTTTGGGATGTCGCAGTTTTTTCATAATTTGTGCTTCTGCCAAAAAGTCCTTAAACAACAATTAAATATTTCAAATACCGACCACAACAGGTTAAGGTAATTTGTGATAATTTTTGCAAAAAACCGACTGCCATTTAAAAAGAAATTTGCCAACATTAACTATGACAGTGAAAGTAATTAACTAATGTTTCTAATGGATCGACAAAAAAGAATACATTCAATTTTTTTTCGTTCCAACATTTTGCTTCATGACTGATTTTAATAGTATTTGCCATTTAACTTGTGTTTCATTTTGTCGAAAACAAAAACAACAAAATAAAACAAAATTTTCCTGCCTGTCCTAAGATAAATGTGGAATTTAATTTTAAGAATCGAATGAAACAAAAGATATTCCGTTTAAAAATATATTTAAGACACTCTGTTTTAAAACATTACCAGTTAACTTGTAGTTTCTGTATAATTTCTGCCAAAAATTAATCTCCGATCGAAAAGTAGATCGCGCCTAACATTTATTAAATTACTTGCAATTCATATTTTGTCTGCAAAATGGCGTGGTTGTGTCCAAATCTAAGCGAATATCCCAAATACGTTGTAGCGAAACAAACTTATGACATATAGCGGTTTCTATGTTTCTATTTGCGGCTGCGAGTTGAATTACAATTCGATAGAGGACGCCCCCACGCTTAAAGGATTATGTATCGAGTTTCAGCCGGTAACGCCGGACGGCCATATAGTTGTCAGCAGGCATCTCACCCAATAGTGCCCATTTTTCTAGAACTTGTATAATTTGAGATATTTTTCATATCGAGAGAACCCGTGACCTGTTATATCCCGTATTGTGTCAATACATTTTACAGGACGTTTGCCTGGTCTTTTGTTAGGTAGGTCGGGTATTTTAAGCGTGGCAAATGCCACTTATAGATTTTCTAACACGTTTTCTTTTGTAAGGAATTATCTCAACCCGCTTCATTGTAACCTAAAGAAAGTTTCCCAACGCTGATTGCGAGCGGAGTTACGAAATTCATAAGATAAAATTATACAAACCTTGGGATCCATGGTGCCTGGTTTTAAAGTTTTCACCGCCACAGGGGTAGTGTTGTTCCACATACCTTCCCACACCTCGCCGAATTGCCCATGGCCCAATTTTCTGATAAACTTTAGGGAAGTTCTCTCGATTTCCCATTGATCGCGGGTTCTGTGAGACAAACCTTCGGGCTGTGGTTTTTCAACCTGGAAAGATCCATGTGTGTCGAAAATGTGTTATTCAACGAAAACGTAGCCAAAAATAAGTAACGATTTATCTGGTAATAGAAAATAACCTACTTCTTAAATGGTGCAAAAAAAATCGATATTTTGGATAGATTGGTTCTTTGTGTGAACCTAAATGCATTGTTCAAAACGATAAATTGTTAAGAAGCCTATACACCGATCTATAGAAAAAAAAACAGAAATCAAACGTAAACGTTGTATATATGTAAACTGTTTCAAATATCGTGGGAGGCAGTTTTTCTAATATTTAAAATACGAGTGCAAATAAAAAAACTAGTAAAAATAATCACAGATTTCATGCAAACTTGTTGCAGTAAAGGCAGCTATTGACTAAGATATAGAAAATTAACTAAAATATTTGAAGTGCTCCAAAGTAAAAGCAAAACAAGATATCTTCATTTGTATCAATTTAAATATTGGTTTAAATTGGTATTTTGGTACGCAATGATGTAGGTTAAGATATTTTGTTTCGTAACGAAAGTTGCTTTTTATATTTTGAGAATATCCTGGAGTTTTATATTTTTAATCCGCCCAAACAATAAAAATATATAGGTTGCAGCGTTTTGGACATGAGTATCGAAATGGTCTTTTGTTATCGTGGAACATTCTGTAAACTGGAATAATAAGACTAAGTAGGTGACGCTAAGCTTAGTAATGCATTAGAATTACTTATAAATACCAATACTGCTGCATCCTGCATTTATGCATGTATTAAGTTTATTGTACGTACATGCAAGGACAAAAATAATGTAGTTACATATCATAAAAGATAGTGTGGATCACACCTCACTTCAAATAGTTTTAAGAGTGATAAGAGAGTTTAACTAAATGCCCTTTTTTGAACTGAGTACTATGTAAAATGTTGAATTAATACATTGCAATGTAAACTTTGAGACGAACTAAAAAACAAAAGGCTTTTTGATCATTAACAAAGTCGTTTAGCATACAGTCTCAACATGAATTTTCTTCGACACCCGAATGAGCAATCAAAAAACAAAGAGGTAGTCGAGCCAAATGGTGCTTTGAAAATATCATGCAAAAGTGGCCTTTATAGAGAATATTTAGAAAATAAAGCCGTGTGCGACTACTAATTTTGTTCGATTTCTCGTCTCCAAATAAAAAAAGCAACCCCCCCTACAATATAGTTAATAATAAACACATAAATGTATTAACATACCTCCTGCTCGCTATGATTCTGCGTATTAAAAAAACAACATCAGTTAGTGGCATAGTCAATAGCTGCTTAATTTATATCCAAACAAAAAAAAGTTATGGATGTGGTAAGCTATGCGAGGTGGCTAAGAGATATCACCAGTAATTTGCAAAATAAACTAATGGGAATCTTAACAAAAACATTTCCACAAAACATCTTGTCTACTATACTGTAGACATATTCTTTGTCTTTGTAAATAACTCCTAAACCTATCCCTATCACCTCAATATTTAATACTTAAGTGAACTTAAGTTGATTTTAAGTCCGTAATAGTGAAAATGGATGGATGAGATTAACTGATTTGAAAATCAATAAATCAAGAGTATTAGATATTACATAAGCAATGCATATTAAGTACAAGATTTATAATTACGTGAATAACAAATGTGGAATAACAAAATCATTTGCATTTTTTGCATAGAATTTGCAAATACATTATTAGGGGTTTGCTATTAAAAAAGCCAAAATGGTGTTTTGCTATAAAACTTTATTTTTGAATTATTTGATACTATGTATTAATTAAACAAGTCCAATTTTTTGACTGCAAAATGCAATGAAATTTGAATTTGATTCAAAATTCTATAATCAAAAACGGCTCTTAAAATCTAACGGAATTAAAAAATCAGTTCTGCATCACATCATAACTAAATAGTATAAACATTTTTAATGGAGAGAAGCAAGTTATTATGGTATTCAAATTGCGTCAAAAAACGTAAAGTGTAAGTATATTTAATAGGCACATATTTTGTTCAGAAACTCTGAACCTAAATGTTAGTGAAACTGCTGCCCCTTCAAAAAGTACTCGAAATGTAAGCAACGTAATTTCTCCCAAATCCGAAGAACTTCGAATATTTGAAGAATTGATTACATTATTATTAATAATGTAAGGTTAAAACCCACCTGTACACATGGTTTGCACAAGTTAACGCACAGCCCATCCGCATCGTTGCTATAATGTTGTACAAGCTCTTGTAATGTTCGGAACGTCGTTCTTCGTGCGATGAAAAATCCGCCTTCGTCCAACTGTCTAATACGGTAATGTTTTACTGTGTCCCCATCGCGAACTGCAATTAAAGAAAAATGTGATTACCATCTCCTTTGGTTGTGTATTAAAAAATAATTGTATATTTATATAAATATGTATAAATTTGCTAATCTAAACAAAAAAATTGAACAGAGTTACCCAAAGTCAAGTCAAAGTCAACGCCCAATTAAGTGTGTTGGTTGTGCTTCATGGGAAATACTAAGGATTAAAAAGTTCAAGTCAGTCAAAAATATATTTTATGCATGTAAAGTACTATTTTTGACATAACTCGAATTACCGTACAAAACTCTACGAAAATTAAAGGCAATAAATGACATGCCCAAAAAAAGGTGGTTAACGATGAGGTGGATTAAACATTTTTGGATATTGGTTTTTTGAAAGTCTATTTCAAAATTGAGCCGGTTCCAATTCGGGACCTTTCAAGGGCATGGGATATCCCAGTATTAGGTTAATTAGTTTATAATGAGTCACATAATTTTCCGAGTTTTAAGAAATTAGTGTTGCTTGTTTCACACGTGTGCTCGGCGTGGCATGCATAATATGTAACTCAAGAAATGCTTACCAGAGAGTGAATAATCGTTGTGCCGGCTTTCGGAGTCTCGAATTAAGAAGGCCCCGTGTTCGTTTTCTGGAAGAAGGAGTTTCTTTTCCGCCTCTATGCGTTTAATTTTTCGGAAATACCATCTGAAAATAAAAATCGCACAATGAGCAACATAAAAATGTGGAAATTTATAGTTGATGATCACGTCGGGAAATTCATTCGAATTCATATTGTCAGAATATTGTGCCAAACCTGATTTCGGCATACACGCACCTCGACCATAATCTAGTCAAATTAACGCACTACCCAAAAGTATACTAAAGTCTGCAGAACCTTGGGATTATATTAATTCATTCCAGAAAATTCAACAATTTAAATTAAAAATGATTACTTTTAAACTTTGGGTTATTTTTTCTTATTCTCGAATATATTTGCGTGATAAGTAGCACACTAAGTGCTCACTGATTCAGAAAACCAGCATTCTTAAAAAATGCGAATATGTATTAACAAGCTCTATCGGACCCACTCTTCAATGACACTTGAAATACGAATGCCAAAGCAAAACGGGCTAGGATTGGGATTTACGACCCGTCACAAAACCAACTAACTAAGAAAATGATACTGTAGTAATCGTAAATAGATAATATAAATACCAAAACAGTAAAAAAATAAGTCTTATTAGCAAGTTCAGAAGATTTAGAAAGCAAGTTCAGAAGATTTAGAAAACGACACGCAAATGACAATTTAAGAATATTGACCTGTTTTACAAACCTAAAATTTACCTAGAAACACGGCCGCTATATCTCTAGTAGCTACATTAGTTTCTAATTTGTAAATAAGTTAAGTCTTTAGTTTCTTTTCTGCGAGGGAGCGAGATCACAGACGGCGTCTTTCGCAAAGACTGGCTGGAATATTAGATCGAAATCGCGAGCCAGCGCCGCGCCCTGAGTAGTCAGTCGAAAAGACACACCTTGCAGCGAGGAAATACAAATAGTCAATCGAAATAAATAAAGACGTTATATAAATTATTAGTAGTGCATATAGTGAAGAGCATTGTGTAAATAGGGACGGGCTTTATTACACAACTGTATCTGTATTTATCTGTATTATTACACAACTGTATCTGTATATGCAGCTACCGAACGGATGTAATTATATCAAAATGAATAAGCAACCAATAAGTAAATAAAAGTGCCAAAACTTAGACTTAAACATCCAGTTCGCCAATCTTGTTTGTTTTTTTTTAATTAATTTTATTAATTTAAAATTAAACACAATAAAAGAATTTGAAAAATAATTTTGTACAACTTTTATGGTTTCACTTGACTGCCCAAATATCTCGATGTAAGAATAAGTTCATTTACAACAGTATTGAGAGACAAGTTGCTTGTAAAAAAGGTATGTTTGTGTTTCTCTTTTCAATAAGAATTGTTTTCAAGTGGCTATATTGTTTATTTATAGTTCCTGCAAACAATAGGATGATTTTTATTTATTCAGAGTAAATTTTAAAGTTCTAAACAAAATCTGCTCTAAACGATTTTATTTATTGAATTAAATGTTCCGAGTTTGTTTAAAAAATAACAAGCCAGTGTGTTTGTAAAAATAATAAAATATTAATAAAAAGACTATTTTATTTTTATTTTTTTTTTTAAATGAAAAATAAAAAATATATATATAGTTAAAAATTTTTTTCAATTTTTCAAAAACTACTGAATTTCGCATATAGAATATATATAGTAATGTCATATATTTCCGAATTGGTTACTATGTATAAGTATGGCTGTTAGCATTATAAACATAGTTTTACCTACGTTTTTCTAAATAGGCTCTTGTGCTCTTTATTTCGCAAACACACGTCACAGAAATCACAACTATAGTTATCCCGACTGATTAAAATCGTCATCCCTTTCGAATGCTAAATTTGCAAAAATACCGTCACCTGCGCGATAATAAACCACGACCAATTAAACGATCATAAGTTAATACAAACTTTATTTGCTTTTACTTCAGTAATTCAAAAATTGATAACGTTGATTATCTATTTACAAGTAGGTCATGAATCGCTTCTCTTGTGTGCCAAACATCATTAGAACTGTCAATCGATTGATTGACATGAGATATCCGATTGTTAGACTAATGAAGACACTTGTCGCCAATTTTAATCATATTTGGTACTTTAAAATTCAATAATTGACAGCATTTTCGAAATTTCATTGTCGTATGATTATATAATTTTCATTTAGTTAGTCGATACAATATCAAACTAAAACCTGATGCCGTATTATCAAAAAACCCAACCCATTATTCGCAATAAGAATTATCCACCATAGTTATAGTACAATAATTTAGCCTAAATATCTCCCAATAAGCCTTGGTTGATAAAAAAAATGGTTTATCATACGATTCAGGATTACTAATGCCGCGTACAGACGTGACGAGACGTGCGCATGACCGTTCGTGACACGCACAAAACCAGTCAACATTTCGAATGTGCACGAGGTTCGCCCCAATCCATCTGGGACGGCACGTCAAAGTGTGACGAATATAGTACGACAAGTTTCAAAATTTAAACACTAATTAAAGTCGAATCGTGGTCGTTATCGACACAAAATCTTTGGAACAAAAAGAGCACTAAATATGTGCTTAAATGTCCCTACCTTAATATAATATTCCCGCTACATACGAGTTTTCGGTTGCTAAAAACCTAAAAGTTAAAGCTAGCCTGCGCAAAACATTTTCAAGAGGTATTAACATAACAACATAACTTAGTAACACTAAGTAAATCAAGAATGCAAGATATGGCGGCTTATGAGTAGTATTGTTCCTTATCATTTATTCATTTTTAGTTATGTTTAAACCATTAATGGTTGGTCTTTGATACCACGACTTTAATACCATGAGTGAGGGCAAATAACATATTTTTATGTAAGGAGATTATTAAATGGATTAAATAAATTTAAAATGTAAATGTACCACTTCAATTTGACATTCAAGGCTCAACTAGATAGCCATGAATTAACGTAACGTATATCACACAAACGAATATTATTAAAAAATTGAATTGATGGGTAGAGGGAAACCTTGCAAAAGTGACAGAGGAGGAATTGCTAAGTGATGAAGTAGTTAGGTACGAAGTGTTCCATTGAAAAACAAAAACAAATTAGTTTAAATTTCATCAAGTTGGCAAAACAAGAAAACACCCTGTATGAAATAATTATTAGGAAATAGGTCAATTAAACGACTACATTAAATCCCTTATTAAATATTCAAAGCCCATTTTTACAAGATTAAAGAAACCGATTTTTACGTCCTGAATGAATGCAGAGGCGACTGTCTTTATACTTTAAATTTCGCGGACGACCAAGTTGTACTCGCACAAGACGAAGAAGACCTAAGTTACATGTTACGAAAACTGAAGGAAGAATATGAAAAAAATGGAATGGAAATAAATTTTTCGAAAACGGAATACCTGGCAACAACAGAAGATGGAGAAAACTACCTACAAGTCGATGAAAATCATCAAATAAAGAGAACCAAAAATTTCAAATACTTAGGTTTCATAATATCTCAAAAAGGGACGACAGAGGAAGAAATGAACAGTAGACTAGGCCAGACGCGAAACTGTATCAGACAACTAAATCCAATACTCTGGGATAGACACATCACTCGACACACCAAATCACATATATTTAACACCATAGTACAGAGCGTAATGACATACGGCGCGGAAAACTGGGTGATCAACAAAAAATACAAAAGTAAAATACAGGCCACTGAAATGGAATACTGGAGGAGAAGTTGTAGAATTTCGAGAATAGACAAAGTAAGAAACGAGATCAGGCAGCGAATGGGTGTCAAGAAAGATACCTTAACATTGATTGAAGAAAAGAGATTGGTATGGTATGGGCATGTAAGAAGAACGGACAGAAATAGGTGGATACACAAGATAACAGAATGGAGCCCCATAGGTAGAAGGAAAAGGGGTAGACCCAGAAGATCTTGGAGGGATGAAGTAGATGAATCTATGGAAAAAAGAGGTATCGGAGATGAATGGCAGGACAGAGATGGATGGAGGCGTAGGTTGAGAGAAGGGAGACAGCGACAGCTGTAAAAAACCATATATATATATATATATATATATATATATATATATATATATATATATATATATATATATATATATATATATATATATATATATATGATGACACTATATTCCGGGATATCATCCGTTCGCTCGTTGAACTCCGACTGGAATCCTGCATCCGACTGGAATCCTGCAAATCTCGCATCCGACTGGAATCCTGCAGACGTTTCGCCAAAATCTCACTTGGCATCTTCAATGCTCGCGCTCCGAAAACACTTCGAACACTGTTTTCGGAGCGCGAGCATTGAAGATGCCAAGTGAGATTTTGGCGAAACGTCTGCAGGATTCCAGTCGGATGCAAGATTTGCAGGATTCCAGTCGGATGCAGGATTCCAGTCGGAGTTCAACGAGCGAACGGATGATATCCCGGAATATAGTGTCATCACATTTTTCCATCCGTGAATCAATACGTGAGAATATATATATATATATATATATATATATATATATATATATATATATATATATATATATATATATATATATATATATATATATATATATATATATATATATATATATATATATATATATATATATATATATATATATATATATATATATATATATATATATATATATATATATATATATATATATATATATATATATATATATATATATATATATATATATATATATATATATATATATATGAATGCAAATTAAGGAACATCAGGAATTCAATAATCTTCACTGAACTCGATGATTCAAGGATCGCGAAAGAAAGGTCATAAATTTCCCAATAACAAATACACGTCCGTACGTTATGAATAATAAACCGAAAATTTCAAATATGGCGTTAAATGCATATCACAAAATGATCAATGATCAATAACTATAGTTATTCACTATGTAAAAATGTGCTTTATCATAATTAAAATAACGCGTATACATAATAAAATTTTATATGTGTGTAGATTATGGCTTTTCCTGCAGTTAAATGAGAATTTGCTACTAGAAATTACAGGCGGGACTCATTCGACTTCAAAACTT